GTGTTTTCAGGGGTCAATAATTTTATGATGTCTCACTCAATTCCTCCGATTTATTAATATCCAAAAACGTGAAAAATGCCTTTGCTATGCGGACTTATTTTCATGATAACTCTTAATTAAGTCGCAGATGGGTTGGTCATTAATGGTCGCATTGATCAATGTCTGTACCAGGATTTATCGAGTCATTGTATGTGGCTACTCGTAATTTTGAAATCAGGAACCCGTACGTGTTCTGGAAAATGTTTCCAGCTAAGCTGGTGCCCTCGGCTAAACATCTCTTTGGTCATTCGCATCATGGATATCAATTTTTTGTTTTCGAGTTTATTTCATTTGGAGTAGATCAGTTCTAGATATCAGAACAAAGAGATATTGTGTGCACAAAAAAAGCAGATGATGTATTTAATGCACTTTGTGCAATGGACGTGTCAGTATTATATTGAGCTCATGGTGGGTCGTGTGAGGTCACTATGCTCGCGAGACTGTATAATCAGAATTTTTTATGGTCAAAGATCATTCATTGATTGAGAAAAAACTTCAAATTTCTGGAGGGGAGAGGACGGGGAAATGGGGTAATCAGCTCCTGCAGGCATTTTTCTTTCAGATAAAAGATGATCACAGCGTGTTGTCTTATCAGAGAAATTAGTGTGTTTCTTGCTTCAGTGTGTGGAGTGCTTTTAGAGAAATTTACGAAACGATGATTTACATCATAAGAGTATTTAGAAACCTGATTTCGTAATTAATTTTTATTTTTCTATCATTGTTTGCATTCTTTAAGTTGTTATTTCAGTAATTTGGATTACCCGTTGAACGTACCTACGCTTTAGAAGGTTTGCGGCCTCTGTTATTTTACCCTCCCTTTTACCACACAGAATTCAGCCACAGCTAAGTCGAATAAATTTGTATACAAAAAAAACCTTTCCTTCTAAGGAATATTTATCCCATCAAATACTGCAACCGTAACCCAATTCAAATTAAGGAGGAAAAAAATGGGTGAAAATTGTTTTTAAAACGTTTGCATTCGATATCAGTGCGGTGGACATCTACTAGGTAAGGTAAATCTTTTTTCGTTGAACTGTTGAATAATTTCTTTCATAATTACTTACGGATCATGTCATATCAATCTTTTATTTGGCTAATTTTGCACGCAAGTTTTAGCTTGCTAAATTCGTCGGTTTGAGGAGCTAATGCGAGGAAATGACTCAGACAATGAACAGAAAATTATTATTTTGGTCAAGAACATCTTTTGTGATGCTGATTTTAACCTGATAATAGAGATTGAATAAAGGATTTATAATTATCTTTATGTGTCGCCTTTTAAAAAAAGCTATTAAAATAATTTGTTGTAAATATTGACCGAAGAATGAAGAGCACTACACTGGTTGACTTGCTAGTGCTCGGCTTGCTAGCGTTCTGAAGTGAGTTCCTCGGGAGAAAGAAACTGTCAACTGACAAACACAATGAGAAAAAGGTTGATGGATGGCCAGAACAAATTCTTTCCGCCTCCATAACGAAGTTTACAATTCAAAGTCCTTGAGTACAAAGTAAAGATCATAAATAAACTTATCGAGGTGAATTAGAGCAGATTAAGTCTATGAAAGGTTAATAAAGGTCCGTTAGCTCCACTTGGTATCTAACAAAAGCCGTAAATATTTGCACAAATTTTAACTAAAAATAATTCATTATCATTACCATTACAAATGGAACAGATCCCTTCAATTCGGCTTTAAGACAAATCAGTCTGAAGCATTTATACTACATCTAAAGCATTACTGAGATACCAAATCTGTTGGTTGACCTGAAAGAAATGGCGGACAGGTTATAGAAAAAATATCCTATCACAGAACTCAATAGACCCTGGCTAAGTCTTATTACATTATGGAACGCTTTGTTTATAATCTCAAGAGTCTTAAATTTCTTTTATCCTGTGAGTATAAAGATTGTCAGCAAAACAAAGACTTTTCATACGTACTAATTCTATGAAAGGTTAAGATGTCATTCATAAAACTGATCAGGTGCAGAGGGCAAAAAAACGTCTTTAACAGCATGAAAAAACAAAAAGTACAAATGGTGTCATCCTGTGAGGGAAAGGGTCTTCGCACGAGTTCCTTGTGAGTACAACGGTGTCTTTCTTGTGATTCTTTTTAATGACGTCCTGGGTAGATTTAAGGAAATTCGTGCCATTTTATCGGCATGCCGAACGCCGTGGGAGGTCGTTTTCGGCGTAAGCAGTATTTTCCTATTTACTCCAGTGCCATACAATAACAACTTCAATAAGTCTCTTTAGCCGGAGCGGTAAATCAAACAAAACTGATGCCGCTTTCTTTCAAAAGTAGCTGACATCGGTGGCGTTGCTGTTTTAAAGATCATCCGGTAAGTGAGTGTAGTGAACCGAATGGATACTTGTTTCGTAAAAACTAATTGATGTTTAGTAACAAGTGACCTCAGTAAAGCCGTAGGTTATTTTTGTGAAAAACAGGGCCCTTATATAACACTCTCATCTGCATGCTACTGCAGTGTACTTGTGATCGTTGTGATGCACGATTCCCGAGGACCTTGGACATACCTCTCCATCTTTATCACAAATGTGTTAGGAATCATTTTGTTGTGCGACTTTTCAACAGAGAATGCGCTTTTTAACTTACTCTTGCGTTAAAGACTGGCGCAGTTGTAGCTCAGTGTGATTAAAAGGCTCAAAAACAAAGCTGACTAGGAGGGGTCGTTTAAAAATTTGGTTAGTCTAAATCGAGCACAATTATTTGTTCAGAGAAAGGAGTACAGGTTGGTGACGCGACGTACAAATATAATACGGAAGAAAGGTTTGAAATAGCCGTGTTCATATTTGATTAGGGCTAACGTCCAAGTCATCATATGATATGGTATAAGAGAGTAAAGTGCTGCAAGAACCTAATAAAATATCTCATTGGTGCAGTGGAAACATAGATATTTCATGATGTGACTACGATTTCCATGCTATTTCAATTCATATATATTCGGCCAGAGCTTTCTATTCTGCATGCGCTATGTTCGCGTTTTACACAGCACAAACTAATTCATCAAAAGTTATAAATTATTACATTTGTTAACAAAAACAGGAAGAAAAACATCCAAGATTTTTTTTTTTTTTGCCTGAAGGGATCATTATTTTGCAATGAATATCGTTTGTGGTTTTATGTCCGCTAGACATCATTTTTCATTCGATTGTCGACAAGTTTGGACTTCAACCAGGAATTCAGCCCTAATTAATTGCATGTTTTGTGTTAAAATAGCTGTAAGCAATTGCTAATTGTAATATCTTGTTTTCTAACGTGGATTTTAATGCGCCTTTCAAGTTGTCTCATATTTTCGATCTTGTTTGCTGTTATTTATTCTTAAAAAGTCATATCCATATCACTTTGTCACTGACTTGCTTTACCTGAATGGTTACTGAAATTACTTTTATGTCCAGTGAAATGTGTTCTGGCAAAGTTTGTCAAATGTGCCAACCTGATGATTTATGATTTCTGATATTCCCGTCTCGCAGTGGAAAACATACTGATGTTGACGACTAATAGAAGAAAAGTTAGGCTTTTACAGCTCTTTGAGAGGTGAGCACTCAACCTTGAAAGAAAATTAAAATCAAATTAGCTGATTATGCATGCACAAAACTGGATAATCACTCGTCCCTTTTTGCAGAACTACTGGTGCTAAATGTATGTGAGTTACTTTGATTTTATACATAAAGCTACGTTTTAAATGCTTGGATATCTGATATTTCACATTGAAATGACGATATGAGCGGTGTCTGGCTAAATTCCTATATTAGACGTGACATCTTTATTATTTTGTGCCCACGAGTTTCTAAAATTATTCCTTTATGGTATGATTCGGAACTACTCCAAAGTATCGAAGAAGTCTGTGTAACAATCGTAAGTATCGCATGGCAATAGCTGCGCTAAATAGATGAATTGTAAAAAGATAGTTGTAAGCTATCAGATCAAATGAAACCAAGATAGATTTAAACAGCACTTTAATCTTTGCGATGAAACAGGCCCGTAGTTTATCGCTCAAGGCATCTCACATTAATTCGTAATTACCGACATCTTAATAAACCGAGCATTTAATTTAATGAGAACAAAATGAGTTCTGCGTTACTGTAGATTCTTTGATGAAAACATTTCTTTAAATTTTTTTTCCTCTTTTTCAGCTAAATATTTTGGATTTATTTTATAACTTGAAGCCAACTCCCAGGTTTCTCAAAGTCAGTTTGTGTACATAAGAAAAATTTACATCCATCTCATGAAGCTTGTTTGAATTCATTGTTCATTTTTTATACAACTTTGTTATCAATAACATTCTATTTTAATACTGCCGTGGTTCCCAGCTTTGATAACCATCCAGCTGAAAATTGACCTCTCACACTCATAATTAAGCTATAGTCTTAACAGCTGAACGCTTTACTTTCAAGTTACTTTTGCACGTTAACCCGATATAAACTGTAAAACTGATAGAAATCAGTATTTCCCAGTTACTTTCAGTGTACTTTGCCTAACATTCCAGCTAGGAGAGTAATTAAGACAGCGACAGAAAATTGGGTATAAGCCGTTTGCCAAAATGTACCTTTTGTAAAAGATAAATCAAAATGCCATGCCAGAAATTTAATTTTGGATCGTGAGAACCACCCTGCAAATCAAATTTTAGTTAACAGTGCCAAGGGTTACAGTTGACTGATTATGCGTTTCATTTGAGCCTTGTATTTCATCAAATAATCTTTTATAATATATTAACGAATTTTGACGTCAATAAAATTTGCCGCCTGACCTTGGTGTCCCTCTGTCGAATTGAGATCAATCAATCATTCTATTAAAAACAAGGGATAACGGTGATAAACAATATATTATGGTCGAGTCTCAAAATCTGTACTTATTCATGTCTGTATGCACGTTGTTCATGGCAGAATATCTGAGTTCGATTTGGTGAAGACTTCGACGGCAATCAGAGGGCCACTTTTGACGACTGATCCAAATAAGTATGCTTAAACCTTGATGTTTCACTGATACCCTTTGGCTATACAAATCAATTAGCTTTCAATAGACCTCCTATGGTTCAGTAGAGATTGTGTATTACAAAAAGGGAACTAACTTACAAATGCGACTGGCCACTCGGTGAGTCAAATCTTTAATAATCTCATGTCAAGCTATTATCTCTTTTTTAAAGTTATTTAGCTCTAAAATGAAGAGAAAACTTACTTTATCCGTACTCCCGCCCCGTACGTACCTGCGATGTCGTTCGTCAGTGATCGAAATAATTCGACGAATGAGTACTGGCTCTTGACGTTCACCTTGTTACTGATCACGTTGCAATTCGCCATGAAGGTTGAAATCTGTGCTATAAAAGGTCGGCAAAGCCTTTGGGGGCATTTAATTCTCTATAATATTAACACTGCGTTCGCTAGTATAAATCATGTTCTTACTAGAGAAGGCAAGACCTGCCAAACAATTAAAAATACTTATTTCTGACCGCATGTTACACATCAGCGTTGAGAAACTGGGTAATCTGACAAAGCACGCTTTTTTTTTTTATTAAGTTGTTACCCATGAATGGTTATAGCAGACCCACTAATCTCTGAAAAGTAATCATTAATATTACAGTAAAAATCAGGCAATTTTATTATGATACGCGCGTTGAATCATGACAGGAACCACGTTACATAGGTCCTGGCTACATACAGTTTTGTTTGTCCTTGAGTATACCTGAATTTCTACCTAGTCAAAATTAGCTTGCCTAAAATCTAGCTTAAACTGCATTGCAGGTCTTACGGCCTTTTAAGGCTTTAGTGAAATCGAGTCCTCAACTCCTTCCCCAAACACTGTTGAATTGCGCACACTTTGCACAGACTTTATACCCTGGTGACATCACTGCTTTTACCAGCATTGTTAAAGGAGGGGGGCAGGCTCAGTGTATTTGCCTGAATTGGCAAAAAGTGGTCTTTTGTAGTAGGTTTGAATATAGGATATGTTTTGAATAACCTTCCCAAGGAGTTGAAACCTCCATTGTAACATATATGATTGTTTAGTTTGTTCCGTTCTCCCTGTCTAGATTTTTACCGATCATCTTCAAATGGTAATATCAAGCCTCACTAAACTCAAGGGTTTCTCTTATATAGATCGTGGTGCGTTAATATCCACTCCTTACTTTCAGCTCTGCTGACAATATATTATTTCTCACTCTATCAATGACATAAATCTATCTTTCTCGGTACGTAACCTTTGGCTACGACTAAGAATTGTTCTGATGAAGATACATTGCGGTTTATCTTCCTATTTATTATTACCCACGGATTCACCCGAGTTTTCTTGGTGCATAGAAAAGTAACTTTTTGGCATTGTCTGGCAAGTTTTATGGCATACTCACACTTTTCTTTGTTACACAGATTGCCACTCTTACTTATTTCAAGAGACGATTTTCAAGGACTGAAAAATCTTTAAATCAACGATGAACATTAGCCAAATAAACTCAACGCTGGAAGTAAATTCAAGTCAGAATAACATTGCTACACCTTTCTACAATTTTGTGCCTGAGCCACAGTCTTCAAGGACAATTAGGTACGTAATATACTGCATAGTTTTTATATTCGCCATTGTCGGGAACGCCACCGTCTGCATCATTCCATTCCGTCACAGACGCATGCGCACGTGTACCTATTTTTTAATCACAAACCTGGCTGTCTCTGATATTGGAACAATGCTGTGTTTACCCTATATACTTGTCATGGAATGGCAAAAGGAGTGGAGCATGGGATCTGTTATGTGCAAGCTTGTCAACCCCAGCTTGACAATGTTCTACCTGGTCACCACCAACACTTTGGTTGCAATTGCAGTTCATCGGTTTGTGGTTGTAGTTTTTCCGTTCAAGTCTAAACCCGGAAAGAGTAGAGTAGCATTGATCATCTTGCTTATATGGCTGATAGCGTTTCTCTGCGTGTTACCTTCATTTGGTGCCAGACAACTTGTATTCAATGGAGTGAAGGACAACGGTAAAACAAGTTACACATGCGACGAAATATTCCCTGGAAAGACGACAGAGGATCATGAGTTCTTCAGAAATATGTACACCATATTCCAATATGTCATCAACATCTTCTTGCCCATTGTGATCATAGTTATATTGTATATTGTAATTGCTTACAAACTTCGACAGATGTCATCAGCGCTTGGTTTTCGAAAGGACAGAAGAGACAGTCAAGGGTCTACATCATACCACAGTGTGGCATCCAGAAAGAAAAGCATAGACGACTTTTCTTTACGGAAAAGAAATGAGCTCGAGAGAAAGTTTTTGCGGATGCTCGCCGTTGTTGTCATAGTTTTCGTTCTTTGTTATGTGCCTTACACGACTTTCTACCTTGTTGTGTCATACTATCCGATGGCAATGACCTGGAAGTATTTAGGAATCCTCTACCACTACATATACCTGCTTATGTGGTTTCCAAATGCGTTAAATCCGATTTGCTATGGTGCTTTAGATGACCACTATGCCTCTATAGTAAGGTCCCTCTGTTGTGTACGGAATAGAGCTCAACGATTTGCCAGCCGGCTTGCAAGCAATGGGGTCAACTCATTGGGAGGACGGTCCAACAGACCAGGAAATTTGTTCAGCCGTTCCAACCAAACTTTGCCCCCCATAAAAGAGAAATCAAGAACACAAACCTCTAATAGAACTATCGAGGAGCATAAAAATGGAAACGGAAAAAATTGGAAAACGTGCTGCAGCTAGTGTGCATGATAAAACATGTATATCAAAAGAAGGCGGTATTCTTGCCTAGGAGAACGAATTGTTATCTAGTTAAGTGGTCACGGCATTCAAACTCTCATTCCTCTCTGTAGACCTAGAAACCAGGTTGAACGTTCGTAGCTGTTATCAGTAGAGAGAACCACTTAATCCAACATAAAAACTGTCTGGAGCGCGGGAAAATTAAACGCGAGTGACCAAGTCGCGATTGGTTTGGTTTTGATTGGTTGAGAAAGTGACGGGAGTTTGTTTGGACCAATCAAAACCATTGCAATAGAAGCTTAGTTCCGACACTCAATCGAAATCGCTCCAATACCAATTGGACTGGTGATTACTACCGTTAGTAGAACCATTAGAACAGTGATCAAAGAAAAAAAAACATAAGGAATCATTACATCACAGTTCTGGGCTAGAGAGCCGTAAAACGGCCAAAACATTTAGCCGTTAGGCCTAAAAGTTGACAAAATGTAACCGTTGGTCTTAAAAAAAAATGATAATAACCTAAAAAACAAAAAACAAACGAAAGAAAGATAGTAACCGTTAGCCTTGACCTAAATTTTAGCCGTTAGCCTTAAAGGCCGTCATCTCATTGAGACCCTCTTTAATCTAAGGTTCTTTGAGACAGATGGAAATAGACTCAAGGTTGAAGATGAATTTCAATTAGGTGCAATAGGCTCAAATCTTTGGGGAAATTTTAATTAAGTTGGTGTTTAGCAAAGAGAGCATCGAAGTGGCTTGGAAGGGCCCATTACATATTGAGAATTAGAATTTCACTTTACTAACGGCTTATTGGTTAAATGATATGTGCACTGGGCCTGGACTTTTTATGCCACACGGCACGAATTGCAGAGAGGTTCTGGAGTTCTTTGAACTTTTTAGCCGTTTCTAGAATCGTCCTTGATTAATATTTAACATGTTTATGATATGTACGTCTTTATAGTTGGATGTGAAAAAAAATGTGTTTGTACGCGTCAAAATCGTTGATGTAACATTTTTTAATGAATTTTGGGTACATGTATACGTAGATGCAAGGAGAATATAAACCATTTTACTTCTGATAAATTATATTAAATAAACAAATTGTAAACATGCGGGTTCGTTTACTGCTGTACTGAACTGAGAGAAATGATATTTAAAGTGGTTTAAATTAATAGTAAGTTTATTCCTAACCAGAAAAAATTAGTTTATTAAATAGTAAATTTCGTTCTTGTGAAAATCAAACTTTTTTTTGAAATTTCCTTCACTGACGTGCGTTTTCTACTTTACCCTTCCTGACAATACTGCTCATGAGTCAGGGTGATGTACAAAATCTAAGAACTAGTGATAGTTTGGTTCTTCGATCATTTCTACACTCGTTTTGTTGATGATACTGTACCAAGCATTTAAAGCATTGATTAATTTTGTCACGCAACGAGGGAATCTTTTATAATGGCTTCCTGTCGGATATCAATCGAGTTTCGTGCCTAGACCTTCCACAGCCAAGCAGTTCTAAGTTACAATTAAACTGAGATTAATATTTGTCCCTACCGCGGCGTAATATGAACCACGGAGGTTCTCTCGAGGACAACCCCCCCACCCCACCCCTATTGGAAAAAAGACATACTGTTATCATCCCTGGCTTCGTTTGATAAGTGAATTGCAAGCTAAAATCAGATAAATTTTCAGTTTAGATAAAAAACATTTTAAAATGGATTAGCTTCGACATAATGACGCGCCTAATGTCGTCAACACAAATCAGAACCCATGCAACTAGAGTGATAATTGATTGTATATGGTGCAGGAAAGCAGTTTTTTTATAAATTATTTGAGCCAGTTCCTGATAACTTTCATTGATGTTTTTCAAATCAACCACAAGTACATTTCTCCATCGAAACATCATCTCGTTTCAGTTGAAAGGAAAAATTAATTAGAATTATTCTTTTTCGAAGCGGAAACGCTTTAAAAAAACCCTTAAAACTTTCAGATCTGAATACCAATTTATCCAGCAGATAAAACTCGTCACTTAGCCAAAACGCCTTCTGGGCTGCACCGTATCTATAAGATGTTCTGTAAAGACGTACATCACGACACTAATATGTGATAACGCATCATAGCCAGGATTCTTGGCTTTTAAAATCGTTTACCATTTCAGCTTCGAAAACATCATAGTAGACTTCAACAGGAGTCATACAATCCTTTCAGAAAAAATTACAGACATAAATGGTGGAACAGTCAGTTCAGTGACCGGGATTTGTTGATTAAAGCTTCACGCGGTAGTTAGAGGTAAGTCTCCCCAGACGTCCGCACTGATGTGACGCGCTTTCACCCAAGAGAATCTCTTGGCTCACTATAAACAGAAGGAGGTTTTTCAATATTTTTTAAGCCTCATTTAAGCCGATTTCCAATGATTTCAAAATTTCTGAGATCTTCGACTTCTAACCTTTGTTTTTATTGTTAGAACTGCAGTAACATACGAAGAGCGATTAATGTAAATTTCAGGTCAATGTTACCTGTAAAAAATTGAATAGGCCGTGAACGTCTCTCTCGGGGCTTTTACCGACACAAGGCTACACGGACTGATCTGCAAGTTTTTTCTCTGCTTATCAGAAAGAATTTTATATTTTTTTTCATGTCTGAGTGGGCTGCAAAGATTATGATTGCAATTTTATATATAAAAAAAAGAACGCTATCCATCACAAACATGACATAATATTTATTAATAATTTCCAGTCTGAATTTGGCGTTAGAATTACGAAAAAATCACTCAAAATGTAATATAGAAAAGACAGAGAAACTGTGTCATGATTACCGCTTAGGCTGTGAACTTCCAAGGTTTCTAAGTGTTTGGCATATTGTAGCCGTTCAGTAAGCGAAACGAAGCGCAATAACAAACAGGGACTGAGGTGGTAGCAAAGGGATGAAAAAACTAAGTAAGGTGCAAGTAATTTCTTTACGTGACCCGACCCGACCTAGACCTCGCTCGTTTTTCGTTCTACCGCAATATTAACTATCGCGCTGTTTGCTATTTCACACGGATTTCGCACTGTTTTACTTGTTGAACGTCTGGGACAGATTACTAAGTTGGCTGGCTTTCGATCATCCCACTGTCAAGCATGGGCAAACAAAGACTATGTCAAAGATACATGTCTTTGAAAGTTTCAGCTACCAGATAATATTTAGACGCCACCTAACACCCCCCCCCCCCACCCCCACCCAACACGGACTTGAGGTAGCTCTAAAATTCTACCAAGCTTTTGAGACAGACAGCTTCATGTATTACACACTCACTCCTAGACAATCGAAAAAGTGCCTCTTTTTCTACTCATTCCTAGGTGCAAATCGATAGCCTGTAAGATCAGTGAAGCATAAATATCCTAACGCCCACGAGAAGTCTGGGAACGAGGTGCACGTGCACCTCAATTCCCGGGGACCGCTGTATCCAGAAACTCTTTCGCCTTGTCCTCGTTCGCGGTTCCCTTATCTGTCTGATATTCTCCAGTAATAGGGAATATAACACTGGCTATGCGGCTCACTGCTTGGGTTTTTTGGAATAACTGTTAGTAGTCATATGTAAATCCTTGAGCAGTAACTTGTCGTATTCAAGTAAAGAAGAAAGGATTTGCCATTCAGGTCCAGTGTTTCTTTTTTTATCTTTTTTTCCTTTTTTTCTGAAATATTTCCGTCGATGGCATTGCCTTAATTGTCTCTTCTGCACGATAATGTAAATGAAAATAAATGGTTTCTAAGCCTGGTGAAACATTCATCTATGTCTGTTTGTATGGTTTGTCATCCAACTTTGTTTCATCCGTTCATATTCTTTTCCTGCACACCTGCAGACGGAATCAGCTCACGCTTGGCAGTTCTTTATCAATCTTTTGTTCTTTTTCTTTTTTCTCTTTTCTCGTTTTCTTTTCTTATCGCAAATATGTCTTACCTATGTCAAGTGCAGTTTGATGGGTTTGATAATCTTCCTAGACCATAATTTGTATCCCTGTCATTGTCTTTTGCAATTGAATTACCTTCGTGGGTGTTACTGTAATCGTTCGGGGGAGGGGTGGTTGGTGGCGTCAGAACAAAATTGCAGTTGGTGTCGGCTAAATAATTAACTTGGATTAGGAAACGCGTTTAATTTTTATTCATAATTCGCTTCTTGAAGTGAGTACTTTCAACGCGAGCAAGTTGAAATTAATGGCAAAATTTCAAGTAAAATAACGGCCAAACCCCTTTCGATATGTTTCATTATCAGTAAGTGTTCAAAATGCTAACTTATGTACAACCTAAGTACGGGTATTAGCGGTGCATTAGTATAAGGCAGAGTAGACAGGAGGACAATGAAAATTGATAGACACAAAGGGAACTACACACGGGCGGCTGATTAGACTCGATGTATTTCGTAATATTTTAAAAGTGGAAAGTGTGGTCAACAGTGTTTTAATTCCAAGTAACCATAACAGGGTTTTCTTATTGCATTTTATTGGCTAAGGCAAAGAGGGATTTATGAAAGACAGAGACATAGAGTTGGCTAATACAATTAAATTTGAGAGTTGCTGCGATGGAGAAAGTCATCGATAAGGTAAGTTGTGTATATTTTTTTGGTAAATTCGTTCCCCAAAACGCTTTGAGCGATTAAAAAATATTACTAAAGAGAGGAAAAAAGGTTTCTTCTCAACCCGCGTCAACTTACAAGAAGGCTTTTAGCGAGCGACTTCAGTCGATCGATCTCAAAAGACTTGTGCAGTCGTGGCATGAAATGTAATGAAATAAATACTGATGAAAAATGAGTTTAAAATACTCGTTTGATTTTTCATCTGATAAGTCTTACATCCCCGAGGTGTTATCGATAATTTTTGTCTCAGCTGGGGTTTAAAAAGAGTTTATGTAAATTATCGTGAAGAAAAATGGTAACAACAAAAAGTCCTTTTCGCCGTGATAATAGAACTTGTTATGTATCTCCGAAATTATCATATGCCAAAAACTTTACAACAGATGCATTGTCAGGAGGAAGCAACCCTTTTCTTATTAAACTTCGATATTCTAAAGAAATAGATAAACAAAGATATTTCATTTTGGTTTTTGTAAGGACGCTTAAAGCGCGGCGACTGTTGTTTTCATTTCAGTTAGAAGCGCGTTAAAGGCCGTCATTGTGAAGGTACTTAACAACGTTCATACGGCAAAAATACGCGAGCCAGTGAACGTTATGTGATAGAAATCGTGTCTGTTGTCAAATCTTGAGCTTTGATACCACTGATCCGGCTGAACAACTTGATCAGGTGATCAAATAAACAGCATTGCCACAGGAATCAAATAAACGCGAAGTTTTGTGATAATATATGAGATTGTATTGTGAAAGATGGTCTCAGTTTTCAAAAGTGTATTCAAGGCAACGCTTGGAAGAAGTAATTCTCTATCGCCTTGACATTTTCACGGGGAAATTGGGATGTTAATGGCAGAATCAATCACTCAGCGGGTAATGGCATAGTCTCATTGCTTTTCTTCATTTCAATTATAACGCGGAAAATGCGTTGGCCGGCTAACCTTTTATGTATTTTTTTTTCCTTTTTTTTTTTTCCTTGTTTTGCGTGCTTGTTTTTTGCGGGAAATCATGTCTCTCTGAGGAATTTCACAAAATGATATCGATAGAAGGGAGAAAATTAAAGCAAAATAGAGCCAAAATTCTGCCAATCACAACTGTGAACGAATTAAATTTCAATAAAGGTATATTTTTAATTTCATACTTCACACCACTTTGTGAATGTGATCTACCATCGACTGACTGTCTAATTTACTCGCCACCAAGTGGTTATTAGCCTTGGAAAGGACGCCTGTCGAGAAAATGAATCGCAGTTTCCTAGCGGCGTCTCATGTAGGCATCAAAAGTAGAGAATTGAAAAAAACCTCATCTCTACACTAAGCCTCTTGGATCATTTGTGCAAGAGAAGAGGAAAAATTAAACCAAAACACTTCGTTCACCGGCAAGCGACAGAAAAATTTAGCGCGAATTCTTGCAACCAATCACATGCGAGCACTCGCGACCTGTTCACCATATATGGAACAGTCGGGCTGTTGTGTTTTGAGAATTTAATTTGCATAGTCATAAACTTTGATCCAGTTTGTAAAGCTCAGAAACGATGAAGCATACTAAATCGGCCCGAAAATTTACCACAGGCCGAGAATGGTCCTGCTCTTCCTTCATATGCTAGTTCCAGCTGTGTTGTCGCTGGCAAACATGTTTAAGAAACTAAGAAAAGGTGACAGAAGCGAAGCGATGCGATGCAGCATGCATTTGACAGCAGCCGCTCAGGTAAAAGTGGAGCTCGTGATTAGCAAATGCAAAGTAGCTTTAGCTGGGAACCTTATTTTAACACTGTAGCTTTTAGGTTGTCATCGCATCAGTATTTTAGAGACACGGAGATTTACATACACGCAAATTGCGTTTTAAACTACGAATTTTAAAACGCATTCTGCACGAACTATCTACCGCAGTGCCGCCAAAAAAAATAAATGTCTGTTTGCCATTTTTCTGAATGAATACCTTTCATTTCAACGCTGTCATCTCTTTCTATGTGATTTAGGAAACTATTTATTGCTAGGCGAATGATACTCTCAGTGAACCCCTTTGTTTGTCTTATCTTATTTTTAGGATGTTCTTTCTTGCCTGACTTTAGCGATCGACATGAAGTCGTTGAAAGAAAGCGCTGAAAGAGCTCTCCATCTGCTCCTACCGCGAGTGGTAAGCTTAAGTTAATAACGTGCGCTCAGCTTCCCACCCGCAATATGTAGTTTGTTTACGTTTTGTGGAAACCAACTATAGTTGCGGATTCATTAATTTTTTTTCCTTTATCATAATATACACATTTTTTATTCCGTTCACGTTTTGCAAAATTGTACTAAGATATTTCCTCCGATCTTCCAAATTTTTCCACTTAAATTGCGGCGGCAACTTCTATTAGTTGTCATCGCAGAAATTAATGCCTGACCTGTTGGCAAAATGCACCTCACCGATGAGAGCTTTCTTTTGTTGTAAATATCTTTCTCTCCCAGTCACTAGTCATCCGTGACCCAGCGAAATTTGAAGCAACGAAGAGAAGAAATTCAGTCATACTGTGAAATTTGTAAACCGGGACACTTCGTAACAATGCGAGCCGTCAATCTTTACGTCAAACATTTATCGCTTCTGTAAAACACATGAACTTCTGCACGCTGAACGTGTAATTTATGTAAACTTATATTGTATCCCAGTTTACGCCCCAAGGACTGCCGCAGAATTGCATTATTTTTAACTTTGGTCAAGCTAACTAAACGGTACTACAATATTTTCTTTGTACAACGATTTCGCGTTTTGCAAATGACAACCGCACTTCTTGGGAGGTAATTTGAGATGACAGTATTTATATTCTTAAGCAAGGACGTACACGCAAAATGTTAATTTACATCTGAAGGCGACAAAACAGCTTTCACTCAAATTTTCAAGTTTTGTTAGCCGTCGTCCGGTTCTTATATTTGCATTTTTGATGGCTTGAAATCGATTAGGCGAATCACTTTTAAAAGCACTTAAAGTAAATGTTTTTGCTCTGTCGAGTACCGCCAACTTTTCTGCATTGCAGAAAGCATGCAGCTTTAAAACCTAAAAAACGAAAGAATCGATAAATCTGCACTATTTTGGCGCTAAATTTTGGTTGCATTTGTTAGGAGTTCTCAAATCTCTCAGTTTCCTTCCACAAAAGAACAGACAGTTCGCCCTGATCGGCGCCAAATATTAAGTTCTTCTCACTGTTTTGATTTTTGCAATAGCTCTGCTGAGTGAGATAAAAGGTTATTTGGCAATTTAACGAAATGACAACTAAAACTTGCCATGTTGTCTGTTAAGCTTACTGATTTTAATGTCGGCAAACTCTGTGTGTCCCTAAAAATATTTATTCGCCCACAGAAATAGTTTTCCAGTTCAGCACACGCGCCGTTCAACACAAACAGTGGTCGCGGGTCATGTTGGATTAAGCTACTTTATTTATTTTATGTGCCATAGCAATTTGGCAAATCAGGACAATTGAAAGTGCTTGTGAAAAAGGATTAAAGACTTTTAAAATCAAAAGAAGTCTTTGTCATCTTTTTTAATTGCCATTTGCAACAAATATCGCCAATATCTTTGATTTTTCGTCCACGCTTTCTTCCGTTAATTATTGATGCCAATTTAAGTGACAATACATAGTCCCAACAGTACGTTTCAAAGTTATGCAAAAATTGTACAAAAACTATTCAGCGATAGGTTTTTGTCTTGTTCTTGATTCAGATTTCATTATAAGTGACACTGAATAAACTCGATCTTCATGAAGCTTAAAATTCCCCCATCTAATTTTTTATATTGGTTTATTGTTGCTTGAAAAGGTTTTGAAAGGTTTGCATTACAGTTCAAGTTATATGCATATCTTTAACTACTTCTGAATTATTGTTGTTAAACTATATCTTTGAAAAGTTTTAATTCTTGAAGTAACAGAAAATGAAGTCAATCAGCCTTGAATTACTTTCAAGCTGCAAAATGTTAATATACAATTACAGTATTTTTTATTTTGAATTATCATGAATGATGTTAATGAGGTAGTTGTCAAAGTGTAAGCAGGCTGTAAATAAACAACAGCTGCACCTCTATTGTACTAAGAATTTCATTTGGATGCTTGACTTGGAAATTTGACCTTAGTCTCCTTGTGTTTGATCATTAAGGCTTAGGGTTCCTTAATCCGTTCCCAAATGAAAGTGTTAACAACGAATCAAATTTTAAGGCTCGTGTTTTGAATGACTGTCCACAAACATTCTAAGGGCACTCTATACTGAGCGTAGATGGATACATACTTGGCTAATATCAATTTTTATACTGGTTTGTGGGAGAGAGGGTGGAGGCAAAAAGGGTTTGAACTGGGAGGACCTTAACAATGGGAGAATAATAATATAACATTGCTTTAATTACCCTGAAGTTGATTTAAAAGGTTTAAATACCACGGACATCAACCCCTCGATGAAGTAACTCCTAATTCTTTCTCTCAAAAAAGAAAAAATATTCAAACTAAAATTGTTCAGTGACATGACTTGCTGGTTCTGTTGGTAACTGTTGTTAAAGAGAAACATTAGATACTTAATTATGTTGACAGGCAGATGTGCTGGTGTTTGTCTTGAGTTCTGTCTCCAATGAACTTGAAGCTCTCGGAAGATCTGGTATCAGTGTACCTAAGATACCACAAAGTGGAGTTGCCAGGTTTGTATTCAAAATTATTTGTAAACACTCCGGCAGATTGATTAAGCAAAGAAACAATCCTGGCAAGGCTGCAATTTAGCAATTCCAGAGAAGAAACCAAAAAAAAATTAAGGCTTTGAAAGGATTCAAGTTACTGCCTCCTAGATACTATTTTGGGCACTACCACTGCTGAACTTTATCAATTAGCCAAATGTTGGGAGCAAGGCAAATCTGTGAAGGTTGTCTCTTTCATTGATTTTCATCTGCAGGTCAAAATAACTTTATTCCATTACAAGTGGTTACTGGTTGTTAGCACATCAAGAATATTTAGTTTCTCATACAAAAGCAAACTAGATATTTTTTCAAACTTTTGTAAAATTATGGACATGAATGGACTTGAGTAAGTATCTCTCAGAAGGCACACAGAACAATTCCTTGGTTTGAGTTGACACCTTCAAAGAGGTAGAATCCAAATTAATCAATAAAATTATTGTTCAAAGTTTACAAAATGTCATGAGGGAGGGAACAATATGAAGCTATGAAAAGAATGCTATTTGTTTATAGGCCACAAGATTCAGACTCTGGAAGTGAAGTTAACTGATTTCTCAGATTTTTGCAGACTAAAAGTAATGATTTTGACTTTTGGTGTGAAGTTCAATAAAATGTCCTAATTCAGTTATCATAATTTGATGAAAAAAAGGAATGTAAACAATCAGTTTGGTTAAACGATGTTTAGAAAAGAAAAAAATTGAACTACAGCATATAAACACATGTATTGTTCACATCAAAACATTATTGTTCTATGATTTCATCTCCAGGAAAGCCATTGATAGTAAGCAAAGAATAGTTTTATCCAGCATCGACAAAGATGATCCTTGTTTAGTATATTTACCATCAACTGAAACACTTGGAAGTGATCAAAGAGGTTAGTAATTAAAAACCCTTTGGCATTTTCACAGTCAAATTTGCTTTGTCCTTTTTTTTTTTCTTTTTTGCAGATTTTGAAATTAAAGTATATTTCACATACATTTGGAATTCCCAGAGATCCAATGGCTAAAAATCACCCCTAAACATAGGCTTCCATACAATAAACCTTTAATGACAAGGACAATGGAAAAATGATGGTTTTAATTTTTTTTATATTCAGTTTAATGTCCAGGAAAAGTACACACGTGAACACCTCTGAGCCCTGTTTCACTTTCTTTTCCAGTGATTCTGTCACCACTGTACAAAGACAATACACTAGTAGCATTTTTGATGGTAAGTTTCCAGTGAGAAAAATTTTCCCACGATCAAGGTAAATTAGATAAACAACTTTATCTTTGGTACAAATAACATGTACTATTGAAGAAAATCATTGGGCTGCTCTCACTTAAGAATAATTATTTTGAAATAAAGAGATGTGAACTGTTTTCTCTACATTTACATCTGGCAAATAAAGTTAGTGCACTCACTTTAGTAAAGTAATATACATTTAGTTTTATAATTTTTTGAAAAGACACATGAGGACACATGTATGGTAGTATGTGCAATGTATATTCTTGTGAAAACAGTGCCACCCAGGCAGTGAACATTATGACTGAGAGGAAGAGAAAACTGAAACAACAGTAATTTGCAGTGATGAATATTCTTTTGTCACTGCAGATTGTTTGTGGTGTAGGAGAGGATACTCTGTCCATACTAGATTACACAGAGCAGCAGGTTTGTTTTATTGGAGTAGCCTTGATTTTCATCAGGTGCCTGTTGAAGGTAACTGTGAGTTAACATATTAAAAAGCTTTTGGTCAGCCCTCTGATCACCTATATAAAGCTTCATTGCTATTTTAAAGTCAGTGCTTATTGCTCAACAATGCTTTTATTGACTTTCAGATACTTCAAAGTTATCATCATATAACAGAGAGGAGTAAATATTTTCATGAATTTGAAAGGCAGAAGACATTTTTAGATTTTTTTAGTAAGTACATATCCTAGTCATTAGAAAGTGACCTACATACTTGCAAATGTATGTACTGAATTGAGTTCAATGTTTATTTACAACATTAAGTTTTGGTTATTAATAACTTCAAAAGTTACAAGCCACTTTTTAATCATTTTTCTCAATGCTACTTTTTTCCTTTTTCTCCACAATTCCCCCTCCCTTTCCTCAAAAACAACATGAGCTGCAAGCTTGCTTGTTTCTTGTAGCTGGCAGGCTTCTTGTTGTGTTGCACTTCCAGTGAGAATCCTAACTTGCAAGTGCATTACTATTTTAGCCCAAGAGAGAATATCTAAAATGACAACAGGGGATCTTAATTCCTTACACAGGGCCAAGGTAGACTCTCTAGACATGTCATTTGAATAATTTTAATGCAAACATAAAAGGCATGAAAAAAATTCATTAAATTTTGTATGCTGTGCAACAACAACAACAACAAAATAAAAAAACTAATTTCTATACTTAATTTCTCAGAGGCATAGCTGAAACCAGAAACATTTTCTTTACATACTTATTGCTTGATTGCCAAAGGTTTCATCATTGTAAATATTGCTGTTAAATTTATAACATTTAGTTGATTCATATTCTCTGTTAAACAGGTAGGTCTTATGAAAAAGAAGTAGGACCTTTGTCAAGAAAAATAGGGGACTTTGTAAGTGTTATCGTAACTATCTGGTTTTACATTTAACATTAAATGTGATACTTTACTCATGCACAAAGTTGAAAGTGTGTATTATTCATAATATAATAGGTGTTAAAGGTAACATGCCAGTATATGATACCAGAAAATTATGTTAACAGATTCTCTGTGTTCTGTCATTGCCATGAGTGGACGTTTGATCATTGTATGAGTCAAAGGTTATTGAAGAAAGTAATGCAATTTTTTTATTCATAACCTTGCAGCTTCAATCACAAACTAATGCAGAGGGTAGTGCCATTCTGGTACTAGATAACACAGCTGGGGAACTTCACAACAAGGTACACTTTATAGAAATATCTGCTTATTTTAAAACTTCAATAAACAGTACCATTAATAAGATTGATTAGATTCCAAGTGGTACTTAACATGTGTACTGACTGCATAACTTGCAGTTCATGTTACAAGATGTGAATTTACCTGTGTATAGTCTATTGATACATAATCTGTGTAACCATACATTTACATATATGAATAAAGGGATCAAGAGTTTTAAAGGGCTAAGGCTTGAAATGTCAGCTTTGAAACTGACTTTACAGTTGTCAATTTACATTATGATCTCAGTCGATAAAACCAAATTATTTTGTTATGCATTCATGTACATAGGCCAAGAGACGCATAATGTATTGTATAGTGTAATTATGCTTGAAATTTGGGGTTGTGGCTTATACACAAGTTTTTGCGGCAATGAGACTAATTAGAGAGCAATGTCTCACAACGCGTTGAAAACTTAATATAGAGCTATAACAAGGTAGGTATTTGATAGCACTACTCCTCAGTCTTTGCTAAATAACATGCAAGCGTGAAGTGCATGGATAAGATTATTGTAGATGGATGAAAATTGCTCTGATCTTGTTGGGCCTATAACCACATGTGTTTCATGTGTTTGAGCTGGGCCCCAATGAAAACCACCTTGGTGAGTTGGGTGTCCTTATAAGATATAAATATTTAAGAAGTGAATAGTTTTTCTTCAAGCAGACACTGACAGGAGGTGTTTTATAATTGTATAATTTATGATCTACAGCAAGAATGCAGTGGATCAAATAGTGTGGACATGAAAAGAATTGAGGTAGGGATAGGTGATGACAGAAAACATCAACTTTGGTTAGAGTTTTTTTTTTTTTTTTTCATTGTTCTCAAGTTACTTAACCCTTTACACCCTAACATCAGTATCCATATAATATTATTTCTCCTGACTGTTCACTATACACATCCTAAGCTACTGACAAGGAGAATTTGTTTTAAAATCAAGAGTTTCTTTTTTGGTGATCATTTCATCTCTAATTCTTGTGACTTGTGACCTTAATGTGTGATATTGGGGTGATATTAAACAGAGAAATAAGTTGCCAGTCTCTCTCTGAAATTAAATATTAGTCACCCTTTGGGTCAAAGGTCAATCAATTGTCCAACGTCAAAGTTTCTATACAGTCAGTATGTGTTTGTGGAATTTGCAGACCCAATGTAACATGTAGTCACCACCTGAATGCATTTGAAGGTCTTAGAATTAGTTATTTTCATGCTAATTTCCCCACAAATTTGCAGGTTTCTGGAAGCATTTTTGAGGAAGTCGTTAAATCTGGCCAAAAATTGAATGTTGCGGATATAGGAAAGGTACGTTGCACAGTGGATTTGCCGTCGCATGGACAACTGCATTTAATCAAAATGATCTAGGAACTTACATTTGTGCAGCCCCAGTGATATTGCTACAAACTGTTGATATCAAGCCAATTTGAACCCTTTTTTTGCTTAAATTATTTTCCTGAAACCTTTTTAGGACACAAAGTACAGATATGACCTTCAGAGAATAACAGGTAAGTTCTCAAAGCGCTGAACAATAGCTCAATTTTAGCTATAAAAATTGGATCAAGTATATCTCCATGCACAGTATATCAAGTTGGTTGAAGATTTCTGAAATAAAATTTCCACTTCTTAAGTTTACCGCATGGCCTGGCGGCAACTAGGATATTATGAAGAAAGAAGCAAGACGGAAACAAGGAAAGAAGAGCTGAACATAGATCGTTGACTCTGTATTCACTGTAGTGTACCTCATGTTGTTCTTGAATTCTGCATAATTCACACCATCACCTAGAATGAAGCCTGGAGAGAAATTTGTAAAACATACCCTATTATCTTCTACCTCTGAAGTATGAAAATGTTGTTCGCATGTTAACCTGAATTCTGCATAATTCACACCATCACCTGTAGTGAAGTCTGGATAGAAACTCCTGAAAGGATACGCTCTTATCTTATACCTCGTTCACGTATGAACAAAGTATCGTGTCTTTAATTCAAAACTCAATGGCGAAATGCAAAATTCGTGTAAATTCGGCTGACAGGTCGCCAGGGATAATTATCATATTCACCAAATCACCTTTGATGAGTTTCTGTGTTTCTCAGATGGCTACGTTCAATCAATGTTGTGTGTCCCAATTGTCAGTATCAACTCAGGCAATGTTATAGCGGTGGCGTGCGTATTCAACAAAACTCTTCCAGAAAAAAGGTACACAATACATCGAAATGTAGACTTTTACGTAATTACAGTCTCCGTTATTGCATTTTTGTCGTTCTAGACTACGAAAAATTTTTTCCTCACTATTTGGAGAAGGTGTAAAGGGAAATTCGTTTTTAAATAGTTAGGTGACTATTCCGCTTTAAGTAAAGTGTTCAAAAAACAGAATGTGTAATTGAAAATAAAGCGTAGACTTATGAATTTTCCTACATTTTTTTATACGAAGGATTTCTGTGTTATGACTATTTTCAGATTTTCCTCCTTTGATGAAGAAAATGCTCAGTTTTGTTGTGAGCATATTGCAGGTCAAGTAGAAAACACATTGGAGTGGGAGAGAGAAATGGTGATAAAAAGGCAACAAAAGGTGTGATATATTTATAGTTCCTAAATATCTCAACGTGCGTTTTCGCGGCCAGCATTGCGTCATGAGCTTTCCTTTGCGTGTAACAAGTTTTTGACCGTGAGAAAAAAGCTAGGTGTCTAAAAGTCTGCGAGGGTTCGGGCATTAATGACCATTATTAGTGCCAGATCCCTTCTCAGATATCTCGCCGGCTCACCTCAAACTTTCTCACGGGCGTTGAAACGCTCGTGCCGCAAAAGTTTGTTTCAAAATCCCGCCGTCTCTGTACGGACATATGCATCAGTTTCCAATTGGCTGGAATTCTTACAAGCTTTGTGATTTGAAATTTACCTACGTAACAGAAAGTCCAATGCTCCGTTACGCTTTGAATAAATCTTTGCCATTGTACGATACCAATGACTGCGCAATGTAAGTCAAAGGGCTGTGTTTAATTCCTCTGTTCGTAATTTGATTGAGAGACACGTAAAACTGCTCCGCACTACGGAATGAACATATACATTAATCTTGTTGTGGTTATTCATGCTCGTGTATCTTTAAATAAACAGATATATGTTCATTACAGCTCTGAATTTTTGTAATTCTGTAACTCTACTTGAAGCGAATGAAATTTATTCTCAATTTTTGAAGTGTTTCAAAGATGCAAAACACGCGATCATCCGACTTCGCCAAGATCGACGAATGCAGCTGTGAGTTATACAGTTGACCTCAAAAACATCTTCCACTGAATTCTTTCTTTCCCTGTGTAAAAAAAACTGTTCAAGACTTCCTTTCAATATTTTTTCCCCGATATGATTGATTTAAAGAGTGAAAACTGTAAAGAAATGACGACAGTTGTAACATTTGTTCTGCTAGAATAACTCCTTGAAAATTAATCTTATAGTCATGCTACGTATTCTCACGGAAACCAACGAGATTCATTGCTAATAGAGAGCTTAGGCACAAACTTGTTTGAGGCTCACACGGTAGCTGGAATTTGAGAGTTCTTTTTCCTGCACTGGCCTCAGATTTCCGTTTTTTTGGTACCTTTTTAAAACCATTTCAGTTCCAGGAGTAGCAAATAGGAAATATCACTAAACGACTCCCGTTCATTTCCAAGAAGAAAAGCAATGAAAAGAATCAAAGTTATCAATCTAGGGTACTGTTTCTCTAACACCAAATTCAAAGGTAACGTTTCTTAGACAGCGCTGAGAATTGATGTTTCGATTTTGGAAGTGAAATGGTTCATGCGCTGAAGCAATGACTCTTTAGTTGATCGGTTTGTGTGAAAGCGTCCCATAAGTAGTTCAGTTCATCTTCTTGAGCTATACTGGCGCGTCTTAAAACGTCTTCGCTATTATCCAATCAGAAATTTCTTCAACGAGAAAAGCCAGTTGAGGGAGCTGGTGAAAGGAGAATGATGGAACGCCTTTAAGAGAGCGAGTAGAGATCTTTATTTGGTACAGTGGTATTAGGGAAGACATTTGTTAACTCGTTTTTTTTTTCTTTCCGACCAGCATTTACTGAAGGTTGCAAAAAACCTGTTTACTCTCGTAGGTGAGCTCAGTTTTTAAATCGTTTGTTGTTTACATTAGTATTTATCTGCTTTGCTGAATCAGATTTGAATCTGAATTGATTTGTTGTGGACGTGTGCCATGCATTTCTTAGTTGGTAGCTTGTGACTGAAAGAGAAAAGCAGAAACAGTTGCGCCCAGCATAAACATCATAGGGTTAAAGGAAGTCAGTTACTCTTTAGCACTTTGTTAACTTTGTTATCATCGAAGTTTTCAGGGTAACTTCCAATTCCAAGGGAGTGGTTTCACTGATAGATCCTCTTAACCCCACCATGGTAGTTTACTCTGCTATAGTTATTCATTTTGTTAGCTCGTAAAAATGGTGTCGCTTTGGATACAAGAAATGATTCCATTCGTGCGCAGCGTCCCTGTGAAGTTCATAACACGACGTTCACACCTCGGGCCTTACACCTGTTACCGCTGTGTGGTTGTTTATTGTACTATCCGTAAGGTAACGCTAATGGACTGATCAGCTCTTCGTTGTATTCTTATTAAAAAGTCTATGAATTATTCTAATTTGCAGACGATGTCAGCGTTTTGTTAAGTGAAATCATGACAGAGGCTCGGAATTTGACCAACGCTGAAAGGTAAAATAGATACAGGCTACTTTCTTTTGGCCCAAGTTTTATCCTTGCTTTCGAAGTCAAGTGATTTGTTTTATTAACTGCTGTCAGACCGCGCATATCTCTTCACCCTGAAGCCTTTTTAGAGAAGACAACCACAGGACCTTAGAGCGCATTTCAATTTGGTGTCCTGAAACCAAAGTAATCACACCACCCAATCAGAGCAAAGCAAAATGTCACCCCGAACCAATGAGAATTCGAAGAATCGAGTGACCAGGTCGCTTTTGGTGTTAGTTTGCATTTAATTTGTTGGGAGGGTGGCGCGACTTTTCTCGACCAATCACAGCGCAGAGCAACGAGAAACCAAAGCAGCCCTGATTGAAAAGTGTTCTAATGAACGTATTAAAGGTGATCGTCAATCTACTTCTCGATTCTCGAAGGTGCTCTCTGTTTCTTTGGGACAAAGAAAGAGATGAACTTGTGGCCAAGGTTTTTGACGGAGAAATCCCCTCAGATGGTTCAGACAATGGAAAGGTTTGTCCAAGCTATTAAAAATTCAAGACCTAGCTTCGAGTTCTCGCACTATTTCTCATGAAGGAGCTTGAAGACAGCAAACATTATCCTGGCTCTCGATCATGATTTACCGATTCGTTTGCTCCTATCATTCAACATTTAGCGTTTTGAATGGAATTATAAGAAAATAAGTGAACTATGACGGTACATGAGCTACCTGGAATTAATGAGCTTGGTCGCGCAAAGGCCAAAACCTTCATAAAAGTATGCGTTGTTGTATTTGTCTGTTAAGTCGTCGCCTAGGCTAGTTTATTTTTATTGTTAGTCTACGTTATGAGTAAAGCTCCTACGAACTTCCACCTCCTTCACCTAAGTTAGGAACTATCTGAATAGTGTTTGAATTGTGTAGGAACCAGAAGTGAGGATTCCAGTCACCCAGGGCATCGTGGGTCACGTTGCTACAACAGGTACTGCATGAAAACGAGTTTACTGTAACAAATTGTCTGTATGATTTATGTCTTACGGCAAAATATACGTCTTCCAGTTCCGTATCGCGGTTAGTTTACTGGTTTACAACCAAAACAGCATTGATGTAAGGCACAGAGGCAGAGTTCCTGCAGACTATTGAGCTTCTGTTATCCAAAGATAACAGAAGACACAAGTCGCAAATGGACAACAGTTTTCTCTCCGAGTCATTTTATTGAAAACAGCGTGAAAATCAACTTTAAGCTGCGGATGGTGGTAGCGTAGGTAAAGAATGGGGCAATTATATGCGTAACTTGTGCTAATACCAAAACGACTTTTGAAAATGGTTCTATTTCTCAAGAGCCGACCTTCTACTTCCAAAATTTACTTACTGCACTTTTTGTCTCGTTATCAGGGAAGATGCTGAACATAAAAGACGCGTACAGCCATCCTATGTTCTATAAGGGGCTTGATGAGAAAACAGGCTTCAGAACAAGGTAAAGGTTTGTTCTCTTCTTCGCCATAGTAACGGAATGGACTTTTCAATTCTAGTACTGTTGTGTGTACGACGGCAAGGCCCACTCTATTGCAACACATGTATGTGGCATTTCCTGTCAACAACAATTTGTTTTTATACATCTATTTTTATAGTTTATTTACAGCTCCAACTATTAATGTTTACCGCACGTCGTTCATTTGAGTGTTTGTATGATTCTTCATGTTTAGAAATATTCTCTGCTTTCCGATTAAAGACGAAGAAGGTAAGTCACCCTTTTTTTTTTTCATGAGAATTGTACAATGGTCTTCTTTTTGTATTGTTAAAAAATAATATCCTTTCTTGTCTCATTACAGACGTGATTGGAGTAGCACAGTTGTGCAATAAGACAAATGGTATGTTAACCAAGATTAGAATCATTTTAAATGTTTTTTGAAACAACATGAATTATCACTATGAGAAGATACTGGTTTGATTATAGTTGGCAGCGTGACCTTCAATTAACTTCGCATATTTTATATAAATTGCAGTAATGTTTTAATGCCAAAGACAATTTTGTAAGCAACTTTGAGACCATCGAATGATGGGACCATCTGCCGAATATCAACTCGCCTCGCGGAAATGCTTTTTAACTTCTGAGGTAGTAATAAAGCAAGTTTCCCTTGCAATGATTTGTTTATGATTAAAAGCGCTCTTCTTAAAATCGAAACGCAAAGTTGACATATCAAGTTATCGCGAGGAAATTCTTATATAACAGATGTAGATTGTGTTTTCAATGCGCGAGATACAAATTTGATGTGTTAGACCTAACAGAAATTCAGCAATCTCATCGAAATGTATTTGATACAAATCGACTTTTCTTCCACATTGCAGGTTCTTGTTTTACAAAGTTTGATGAAGATCTGACCAGAGCATTTGCCATTTATTGTGGTGTAAGCATTTTCCATGTAAGTTTCCGACGCAGTGTTTTGCAGTTGTCGTGTTTGATGGTTGTTGTGTTTCCTATCGACTTCAAGCGAAAGCCTATGCAAAACAGAAACAGAGAACAGACACGTAAGCAAGCAATGAACAACAAATAAACAAACAACTAGGTCAGTGCAGTTTGCCTCTGAAAATTAAAAAAGGCGTGCATTCCTGCATACGTGTGCGGACATGAAACTAACAAACAAACAATAATAAGAAAACAAAAAAGACCAAAAAAGGGAAATAAATCAAACCAAAAACGTTTAGTAAAAAGAGAAGCGATCGAAATGGAATAGATAATTTACAACTGTTTCGAGAAAAGTTGTCGGAAAAAAGGACACAAAAAACGCGACAATCTCAAAAGATAACCGGGGTATCCGGTTATTAATGAGTTTTAATGATTATAATATATAAATGAATTCATCAAACCTGCAATGCTTCGTCCTAACAGTGACGTTTTTTCAGATTTTGCTGAAATCCTAAGTTCAAGGAACCGTGACCTGAAAACTACCCAGAACACCTTTCGGGTTTGTCACGCGCACTTAAACGCATTTTATTCTGACAACCTTTCTCTAAACAGCTGAATGTGATCAAGCCCACTTTAGTTTCAAAAGATAGCTACTTTTTGATTTAAAGGTAGTTAATTCGGTAACAGTTATCTGCATCGTTTGTTTGTTTGTTCTTAACGTTTTACCCCATTGATAAATTATGTTCAGGTAACAGTCTCCCGATCTTAACTTTGCGTTGACATCTTTTTTTCAGTCTCTTTTATATAAGAAAGCAAAAGACGCCTCACACAGAAGTCGACTATCGTCTGAAATGATGATTTACCATATGAATGTAAGTTTAGTGATATGAGCAAGGTGTTGAGGTTATTTGTTTTTTGTTGAGAACGAATCATAACCGTGTCTGGTCAGATCACTTTACTAGCATGTTTTGCTTTTATTTATTACTTGATATGAAGTGACTTATCAAGATTTAATTCTCGTGTTTTCAACCAATTTCGCTTAAGGTGTCTCAAGCCGAAGTGGATCCGCTCGTTAACAGGTCAATTTGCACCACGGGTGACGTACATCCACAGTTTAGCCAGTTCCCATGTGCGCCAAGAACTATTTTCCCAGATAATATGATTCCAGTAAGTAGAGCTTGCACTTACCAAACTCATCCTTGGTCATCAACGCTTACAAGGCAAATCTGATGTTTTCTGTCCTGCTCTGTAGGCCTGTCTTTGTATGTTTGAAGATCTTGGAATGATCGAGAGATGGAAAATTCCAAAGGAGGTGCTAGTAAGGTCTGTGTTATAAAGAATTTATTATTTGTGTGTCCTATATAAGGAAGTGGTGTCCCGCATATGACAGTAGGAGACCAAACGTTACATGCTCATAGAGTTTAAGGTTTGCGGGGTAAACTCAAGGATATGTATTTGAAATTAGAATTTCAATATTTAGTGTAAAAGTGACATCAAATCCAGCAAAAATAACAAAGAAATGATAGAGACAAGAATTTTGCCCTTTGGAATTGATGTTGGACATATGACGTGTTATGATTACAGGTTTTTGCTTATGGTGAGGAAAGGTTATAGAAACCCTCCATATCACAACTGGATTCACGCTTTCACCGTGGCTCACTTCTGTTATCTTCTTTACAAGAACGCAAAGATTAGCAATCGCTTAAGGTTTGTCAGTTTCACATACACTTTGGTGTCTGGTGTGCTTGTTCTAATTGGTTAGTTATTCTCACTTCAGGAATGCATTTAATCTGAACCCCACTTTCTGTGGAACAGATAATATCAGTGACTAATTCTCTAGTAGAAGGTGTTGTAAACTCTCAATAACTCTTCACAAGGGGCTCAACTTTTGTGTAAACAAAGATGTACTTGAGTGATATGCTTACTTGAAAAAAATGGGATTAGTTGTTTGAGGGAGCTGAAGTTTAATCGCAAGCTTGCCATACATATGTAAACATCTCCATTCTTTTTTTTTTTTTTTTTTTTTTTTTAATTGTTCGAAATAAATCCAAGACCACCTCAAGCGAGCAGTGCGTTAACAAAGTGATCTGGCTTGTGTCGCTATAGTCAAATTTCTAAAAGAAATCTGAACATCACAATATTTCGAACACGAGCGTTTTGCGCCTGTCGAGTTTCGCCTTTTGAGTTCATTTTTAATGAGAACATGTTAGACTATTTTTTTATTTTTTTCTTTTTTGTTTTTCCTTATATATGGTATTTTGCTTTCCTTGCATTACAGAGACGTTGAAATGTTGGCATTGTTCGTAGCTTGTCTGTGCCATGATATCGACCACAGGGGGACCACAAATTCCTTCCAGGTTTCTTCAGTAGGTAGACAGTTTTGGTTGTGACAATTCCTGGTCAATGTCTTGGTTTACGATGTTTTCCTTTACTAATACTCAATGGTTATTTTATTTGACAGGGCTCCACGCTCGCAGCCCTGTATAGTTCAAAGGGATCTGTGTTGGAGGTAAGGAACTTCAGTTTAGCCAGTTGAAAAATTGTCTTCACGCCAGGTTTCCTTCTAGTTCAGTGTGCGATAATCACAGCTGTTCACTGTGTTGGATTTATTAATGTTTAAAACAATTCCGTTTGGTTCCCTCACATTTCCGCAAAAAGGTTACGAAAAACAAACATGTTGTAGCGAGCGTGGAAAGTACAGGTTGAAACCAAACAATTTTGTTCCGGTTTGCGATAGTTAGGCAGATGTTTTGCGCCACAATCCAAACATCGAGTTACTTAGGTCCGCCATTCCTTCACTAAAACATGAGGCAATTGGTCCGTTTCAAGTACTCGTCAATCAGTTGTGCCTGCACTTGATTACCAGTTTACTGTAGTGAATCTGACTCTATATTATTAAAATAGAATTGGTTTCATAAAATCTCTGTTTCCCTTTCACAGAGACATCATTTTGCGCAGACTATGTGTGTGCTCAACTCTGAAGGATGTAATATATTCAAGAATTTAACTGGAAAAGTATGATGCTCAGCAGTAACTTAAAGTTAAGCCCCTTTTGTTGGAAAAAAGTATTTCGCCAAAACTTTTATTTCAGCGAATATTGATTTTCGTGAGCTGTTGTTAAGAGGGCTTAAAGGCAACAGTTGGAAAAACATGCGTCAACTTTTAGGCAGTTCGTTTTAAAAAAGAAAATTATTTTCCGTTAGTTTTTCAGAGTTTATAGAGGATATCGTTCCCCTCAACGATTTAACCCAGGAATCAGTGTTAGCCCTTTTAATACACCCCAAGATCAGTATGCATATTCTCCATACTGTTCTCTGTACATTTCCTAAGTTGCTGACAGGGAGAATTTAATTGGTGACCATTTCATTTATTCTCGTGACCTTAATGTTGGATTCATGGGTGATATTGTAAGGAGACATTGGATGCTAGTCACTCCAGGGTCAAATAGTTGACCAACAGAAGCTTCATTCTCTTGAAGTGCTCATTTGCCCAGTTGAAGCATTTTGCATGTATGGGTAATTTTCAAATGCTTTAATAATTAATTGTAAATCATGTCTACTTAGGACTTTGAAGAAGTTTTTAGTCTTATTCGGGACATTATTCTAGCAACGGACCTTGCCCATCACTTGAAAATCCTTCCAGACATCAAGAACATGGCTAAAGGTAACAACTTAAATTGGCCACCGTAAAGCGTTTCAAAGCTGACGTTTCGCGCATTAGCCCTTCGTCAGAGGGCGAATGACGAAGAGCTGACGCTCGAAACGTAAGCTTTGCAACTCTTTACGGTGGCCAATTTACGCTATCAACTCAGTCGATGATACTTAATTACCCACCGACACAGCACCACAGTTCCTTTAGAAACTTATCCCCTTTATTCAAAGGTAACACTGTTTATTTTGTGGGTTTTAAGAAATCCCTTACGTCTCCTAGGAGCGGTATGCTCTTTCAAAATTGTGACTGGTTTTTGGTATGAAAAAACTGCAAACTGTTGCGATTCACTGAATATGTAGAGTGGATCACCATTCAGCGTTAGAGACTCCATGTACACTCCAAAGTATTAATCGGAGGGTCGTAGGAACAACTCCTTTTTGGAGCATTTGGAGTTTTCTTTCTCTGAGTATGCTTGTGCCATTCGCTGAAAAACATTATCTTCCACTTTATTACCATCTTCAATAACATCATCAAGTAATACTGTTATATCGTTTCTGTTTTTGACTAACTCTTCTTAATATATTTTTCAGATGGTTTTAAAAAAGATTCTAAAGATCACCACACTCTTCTTCTCTATCTTATGATGACAGCCAGCGATTTGTCTGATCAAACTAAGAACTGGGAAGGAACGAGAAGAACGGCGGTAAGCAAACTGGTCAAATGGAAAACTGACAGTTACAATATTGGCCACTTCGCTTTACCTCGTTTTGCGTAGTGTTTATTGCGCTGGTTTCCGGACCTTTCGATCCGATTACGAGCCTTCTTGAGTCTTTGGGGTGTGTTTTTGGGAAAGAGTTCAGCTGCTTCTCCGGTAGGATTGTTAATGGCCTCTAAGCCAACTGTCAGTGGCAATTTTACACAGCTCCTTCACGTGAGGTTTAAAATGCTTTCTGTAAGATCTATCGTAAATTTCTATGGTTATGTTTGAGTGAAATCCTATCTATCTGGCCAGCTTTATTCATTTACCTCGGCATTGACATTTAATGGAAAAGCGGTGTACTCACCTCTTTAAACGATTTTAATGGTAGTTGACGCTAAGAAGGACGTCCTTGCTGTCTTGTCTATCGCAGCGCTTTCCAGTGCTATGGTCATGCGGCAAATGTAACACAAAGACGATCTTTCAAATTTTATTCTGACATCTATTAAATGTTGCTTGTTGGCCTCCATTACAGGATCTGATATACACCGAGTTCTTTTCACAAGGTGACAAGGTAAGGAATGAATGATAAAAGTTCAATCAACAAAGTGAATTTTAAACGGATTCACATAGTGGGCCCTTTTTTTTTTCACCTCAACCCTTTAACCCTTAGAAGTAATTAGTATATAAGTTCTCCGTACCATATCCACACACTATCCTGCAAACAGGTAATGAGAATACTCGACCTCATCAGGTAGAAGTTGATATCTTTATCTAACACCAAATTCTTGTACTTAATTTACAAGGAAATGTGTAGCAGCTAGAGGGGCGAATTGACAATCAGGTCTTGTGAGTTACAGGGTTAAAGGCTTTTTGTACTGTTAAGGCTTGTACTGCTACACGTACTAAAGTTTTAAAAGAAACCGTGACCACAGAGCTACGTTTTCTTGTATTCATATTTCTTTTTTTCTGGTTTTGCTTCCTCTGCCAGAATTCATTAAAAATATATCACATATTTTTTGTTGTGTTTGGTGATTGCGTTTTTTTGTTTGCTTTTGTTTTTGTTTCATTTTAGGAAAAGCACATGGGAATTACTCCAAGCGAAATGATGGACAGAGATAGAGCGTGTATTCCAAAATTGCAAATCGATTTCCTGGATGCAATTGCACTTCCGGTATACAGGTAGTTACATTTCAATGTAGTTATGCAGCTGTTTGAATGGAATCGGCCGTAGGACGTGAGTTTTACTTACCGAACTGCTGTCATGTTTGGTGGATGAGTTCGAATCTGGTAAATAAGCCTATCAGAAAAAACAAAGAAACAAACAGATACCACTACATTGCTCAACGGGTAGCTTGTGATTGGATTAATGAGTTTATTGCCTTCTAAATAATTTATGTTCTCCGCCTGTCTTCTGCTCAGACGTGCTATCTGCTCGTTATACAACAACTTGTTAACACATGTATTGAATCTATTATCATTGGTGACACCGTCATTAAACCTCTAGAAAGCGTCCGGAACCTTGGGTCCTAGTTCAACGCAAATGACTGTTCATATAGGCAAGATTTGTGGCACGGCTTTTCGCGGACTATACAACAAAAGACACATCAGAAAATTCCTTACCGTGCAATCGACAAAGACACCGATCCATGCCTTTGTATCTTCGCACCTTGATAAATGTAACGCACTTCTTTTTGGTCTACCTAAATATCAATTTGATCGTTTACAGAAAGTTCATAATGCTGCAGATAGAGTGGTTTTTCAGATTGCTAAATTTGATCATATCACACCCGCACTTATCGGCCTACATCGGCTCCCAGTAACATTCAGCGTTCAGTTCAGATAGCTTCTTTTTGTTTATAAGTCGCTGCACAACCAAATTCCACTCTACATTAAAGATCTTTTGTCCCTGAAACATGCCGCTAATTATGCTCTTCGCTCGTCTGTACAATCTCTCCTGTTCGTTCCTAAAATCAAATGCTTTACACGTGGGGACTAGGCCATTGCTCATGTTGCACCTGTTTTATGGAACTCGCTGCCATTAACTATAAGAACAAGTGGTAGCCTCACAATTTTTTAAAAAGCATCTTAAAACATTTCTCTTTAGGGAAAGCTTATAGTTTATTAGAATAGCTCTGAATGTTTAGTGCTTTGAATATTTTGATTTTAATTTTGTATTGAATTTTAGATTTTCGTGTCTTTTTTTTTCAGATTTTAGCTTTATTATAATTACTGTTATTACTAGCTTCTTAGGAATTTTAATCTAACTTGAAGTAAAGCGCTTTTGAATATTTTAGTGTTAGCGCTATACAAATTCTTTAATAACAATAAAGTTATGTCTCCAAGTTGCAATTGCCGTTATTTTTTAACCTGATTTTAAGCCAACTGCGATTTTGAGACGCCAGTATTGCATGATTACGGGGGCTCGTTGGGAGAAAATATTTTCTGGTGTAAGGTGGAGTCGCGAGACGTAATACGAAAATAAATTTTCGTCCCTTCCCCTGACTTGCTTTTGTTCTTCCTATTTTGTTTATTTATCTATTTTTCTAATCATTTCTTTTCTTTTTTTTTTGTCCATATCCAGGCTGTTGTCCTCTCTACTACCGGAGACTGAAATAGTTTTGGACACAGTTTTGACCAACAGAGAGAAATGGCAAAAGGCTCAAGAAGATGGCGACTATGTGTACAGACCAGTGGCTACTACTGACAAAGAAATCAATGGGAATGTGCCTCTATCACCATCATAACGGTGCCATAACTCGCTCTTCCGATTGAACAATTCATGGAACAAATTATAGTAGGAAACCGCTCTACGACAAACCTTTGGGACGTCTTTGTTGGCACTTAAACTCGATAACATACATATTTTTGTATGAAGAGCGGGTTCAAACTTTGCCTAAAAGAGTTGGCCATTGCAGTATCGGATGCATCATTGTCCTTGAGTAATTACGGCGCTGGTGTATTGCCTTCATTGAGAAATGTTTTCTAATATTGAATTTCTCCTAGAAGCAAGAGAAATAACGGGTTCAAATGCCTAGGTTGACTGTCAGTGATAACTCAGAGCTGCGCTCTGTGTATTGGAAGGCTATGCTATCAGATACTTGAGATGCCCAAGTAAGGCAATAGATACGAAAAGTAATGGCCTCTGGTACCCGAACAACTGAAACTCAACTGTATTTATCATTTAATATCCAGAGGTCATTTCTTTTAAAGGAATGTAGGCATAAATTCTATTTATTATGTGGCTAAAATTACTACAAACCACATTTTTTTCCTCAGAGTGCTCTTAATAGTGACCAGTGTCGCACGTGGGTCACAGTTTCTTTCACGGCCGCTTTATTTTCATCAGACGTTTTTATAATTCAGGGATCCATCTATGAATAACTGACATGAACGTAAAAACAGAATAAAATTAGGACAAATCCTAAGAGCGAATCACAGTAAACTCAAGTTCACAGTGTAAGACCCAATTTTTGCCATTTACAATTTGGCAAACTGCTAAGTAGGTTCCTGTGGGTTGTTGTTGGATTTCGATGCCAAATCCGCAGATCCTTAAACATATTCCCCTTCCTGTTGGAGTGATTTCCATACGAAAGCGATGAAAAACGGTGGGAAAAAAACATGTAGGCCAACCGTCTATTTTCGGCGATGTTTATTTACCCGTTTATTTTGCTTTATTTAGCTTTATTTGGTTGGATGTAATAACTGTTAGATGCATTTTTTTGATAACATTATTTATGTTAGAGCAAGCCTTAACAGATGCAGTCACGTTTTATTTTCATACTGTAGAGCAGCTACTCCAAATACCAAGAAATTTTCTCTTAGTTGGCTAGCTGAAACATTTCTTTCACAACATTCATCAGTCGTTTAGTAGGTTATTTCTTTGACGAATTACTTTAAAACTGTAATACGATGGAAAAGATTTCCTTCTAAGCAGAGATTTTAAGCACGTAAAATTTCACAACGATTTAGAAATATAATATATTATAGAGTTTCAATCAACAACTTTATGATCTCGTTTTTGAGGGACTGTTGATCAGATTGATTCACAAAGTTTAGCAATCGTTGCTTTTTCATATCTCATTACATATTTCAAAGGCAGTTCATCTAAAAGGTAGCGTTCAAAATAATTTGCAATTTTTTTTAGGTGAGGAATTAACGCTTACCTTGTACAATGGGTATTTTTCTTGTTACGTGCTCTTTTAAACACTTAATGAACATTCTTTGATTGCAATGTTAAAAATAGCATTCTCTGAATGTTAATTCAGTTCCGACTTTAAGTTAAAGATTACACAAAACGTAAGATAGGTATTTATTTAAAGGAAAGGCGCAAATTGCCAGATATGTAAATTTGTTATGAATACACAATATTATGGTTAGTATAAGTTTACAAAGCTGGACAAACAGTATTATAACATAGCTAGTAAATTTGTCCAATCAAATTCAATTGCGCGAGCGTGCTTCATATTCCTATTGTGCACGCTCATGACGTAAGCAAACAAATCCCTCAAGAAAAAAATTTTCCATCGGGTTGAAAGTGTTATAAAACAATTGGTTCATGCGTCAGCTGTGCGTTCGTCGAGATATGAAGCACGCGGGAAGTTTGGAGAGCACGAAAGATGCGTAAGAGTTGCTCGAGGCGTAGCGAGAGCAACTCTAGCTTCTTGAGTGCTCTCCAAACTTCCCAAGTGCTTCATGTCTCGATGAACGCACGCTGACGTATGAACCAATTGTTAAATGATATCTGGGCGCGCAGGCCAGCTATGAAGGCGTCTCATCCGTGCAGCATGTGGAAAAAACCAGCTGTGTAAAAGAAAGCTTCAACTATTGTTGTACGAACTCAGACAAACTTATTTAGTGTGAATGGGAGGCAATTATCCTAAGAATCTCAAAATGTAATGTAGTGAACATCTCTGAATTCTGGCCTGGCGGCGGCGCTCTCATACCGCAGGTAATGATCGAGGGCACGCAGCAGTTGCTCGCTCAATTACCAACCGCTGTTCGGGGATTGAGCTTGCACTTATCCCTCTAAGTCAAGACCGTTCCGTCTAGGAAGGATCGATTATGAATATAAGTCACCTTGTACATAACCTAACAGTGGTGTAGATTTAACGTCCACATATTGATGTAAAACAGAGACTAAATGCAAGCCAAAGTTAACCAAGAAACGTCTCCTCCTATCAGCTATTACAAACTCTAATCTCATTAATCTCTGAGCATAGCTATCTTCTCTGAAAATTGATATGTACCTGCCAGACAGTAACCTGTGCCTAAGAAGGATAACAAGTTGCACTTCTTTAGGTTATGCGTTGGTAGTCTCGGTGCCATTTGGCGAGTCATATAGCGTGACATTGCGTGACATTGCGTGACATTGCGTGACATTGCGTGACAATCGATTTGCCGAGAACTCAATTCTCTTTCACTCTTTCACACCGTTAGGCTTCGTCACTTCCATTTGTCTAAATTATGTTCTTTTCAGAATTCAAGTGAAACAACTGACGAGGTCCACTAAAGATGTTATCAAGAGTTTTCATGCATTTTTTTCCCCTCTTAGCACTGATCACACCCAAAACAATCGAAAGTATTAGTACATCTTCAATTTCACGCTGAGTAGTTAGGGCTTAACCTGTGTAGGGTCCATCTCGATCCATTTTGTTCCCCGTTATATCTCATGCCTTCCAACAGTGACATCATCCCTACTGGCTAGTTGTAAGTTTCGGCACTTAACCACGGGTTTTCTTTCATTCTTTCTGTTTAATTTGTTTCACGACTACGTACTTGGGTGCACGTGTTTTTGTTTTCTCTCCAATTTTTTTTTTTTTAAATTTAACTCCTCATTTTCACTTTCTCCTGTTCCTCTTGTCACTTCAAACTGGAAAACAAGCAAACCCACGCAATTCATTTTATTGCTGAACATCATTTACATCGTAATACTTATGACCTGTGACCGTAAATACCAGGATTTTTGCATTTAAATGTGAATTGATTTTTTTGTATTATTCGCAGCTCGTGAAAAGGCAATATTTACACTCGGTTTTTTCACTTTATACGAAAAGTTAATTTTTCAGAGGAAAGATAGATCCTCAAAGAATCTAAGTGGGAGATAGTTTAGTAAGAAATGCGTGGTTTCTGGTGGCGTCGAGATCTTATATTTCCGCTTACATCTATTGTTACGTAAAAATAGTTAGTGAATCCACGCAGACAGGATGTACACGTTTCATTAATAGTTCTCTTTAAACAGTTTCACGACGTTTTCCGAAGCAATTTGACAAATCGTTTGACAAGATGCAGGTAGAACTGAAGATTTATGTGTTTCTTCCATTCAATGGCGGAAAAAAGGAAAGTGGCAGGATTTTCTTAAGTACCCTCCGCACTGATTCACGTATCACTGACTCAGGAGGTTGTGCTGCCTATGAAATGTCTTCGAAATGAAGATTTTGTTGAGTCTAACTTTGGAGGGTTTTTACTGCAAGTGTTTGAGTTACCCGAACTTCTCATAATACCCGAAAGAATACTTTAATTCCGCTTTCACAACCTTTGTGTAATTACTATTTATTCCATTATTCTCTTACGTAAGTGATAATACTTCGTGGCCCTTCCGTTCGTTGAATGATGCAGTTCGGCTAAACGCCTTTACGTTCAACGTGAAATGTTTAAAGAAACACATTTGATCGGTTATGCAAACCAAGTTTAGCTGAAAAACTGCGGTCAAAATTATCGCATATTTAGCGATAATGAACGTTGGCCTTAGTAAGCAGTGTTAAGATGTCTTATTGCAAAAACTGGAAGGAAGTTTATTTATTGAAAACAGCTCTTTACAGAAGAAAAGAAGGTCAATTCGATAATGGAGGTCGATTCTGGGGTCGATTCGATAATGGAGGTCGATTCAGGGAGACACTTTTTTTTACTTGTCGCATGGTGTTTAAGACCCTATTCTCTATTTTCTTTGTTTCTTATTTCTTTCTAATTAAGATCTACATTCTAATTCTCCCCATTGTGTGCTTTTAATATTTCTAATGCTTGTTCAGGAGTTTGGTGTTTAATCATATGATATCCCCAGTTAAAATTTTCCCACTCATGACTTCTCTGCATGACATTGTTCTACTCTGGAGCGAAAGTACAACATCTTTCTAAGTTTCAGCTACAATTACAGTTTGAGCTTCATAAATGAATATACTTATATTATTATTATTATTATTATTTTTGCAAATATACTACTGTCATTGTGCAAGAAAATATTGGTCCAATGGAAAATCCGAGTTAGAGAAAAGATGTCACGTACTCGCACTATATGATTAACTCAGGGACTCGTACAATGGAAGACTACTACGTGACTAGCATGTATATTAACGTTAAAGCCACAAACATAAGACAGCAGTGTCGTTCATATTATCGCGGAATTCTTTTTACAACCCAAAAAAAACCTTAAACATTTGCTATTTTGCCACTTGGCAGAGAGACACACTGTCCGAATCTTACCTCCTTTGCTTCTCATTATGATCTGGCAATTTAAAAGCCGATTTATTACAAGAGAACGAACACACAACTACGCAGTTTTGTTCATATTTCAATTTCATTTATTTATCAACGTGTTTAAATTTTTGGAAAAAAAGAGGTGTTTTAAAGATTCTTAAAAAGATCTATTCTGGAGTAAGTCAATATTATGCTAGAAGCTAAGAAAAGCTCGTATATAATTCTTGATTACTAAAATCGCAAAACCCAAGTTTGCTATTAGCGTAAATGTAAGGAACTTGCCCAGTTTTTTTTTTTCCTTTTTTTAATTATTTATTTTTTTGCTTTCTTTTTAAAAGCTTTTTTACGTGTCTTTTGTTTTAAATTCAAAGAGAGATTTATGTCGAGTCCTCAATTATCCCACTCTTTCTTCATTTTCCCAGTCGTGAGAAAAGACCAAAATGAAAAATGGTTAAAATGACGGTATACGGCTCATTTTGGTTTTTGGAGACCACCTCGGGAACATTAGCCTTTAATTACGCCAACTTTGAAATTTTGGTTGTGCTAACGTTTAGCAATGTATCTTTTACCTTGTACGAAATGTCTGAATGCTACTTTTTCCACAGATCAATAAGCAAACAGACCCACTCAAAGACCCAAAAGTATTTTAGCTGAAGATGCAGGGCAGTGTTTAGGAGTAGCAAGCAGAAAACAGCAACTGTCATCTATTTCACCACGCATTGTGCCGGATAATTAGCCAATGACTCATGATTTTCGATTCAGTCCGGTCTGTGTGGTAATATTGCCGTATGAATTGCCATGAAAAATCAAAATTTCAGCAACTGGAGAAACTAGTTAACGGTGAAGATGTTGTTTGGGGTGTTGAAGTGTCTTTTTTTTGGTTGTTAGGCTGCGAAGAAGGTGCTTCCTTATTTTTCAAATGATAACGGCCCTGAGGGATGTGAACACCCATGACGTGAGGTCTTGAACATTCTATAAAAGTCTTTCGCTTGAGAAGATTTCCCCAAATGTGATGTTGATATTGTAAAAATTTCAAAAACCCTTTCTAATGAAAAGGTTTATTTATTTCCGCCGGGCACTGATACGATGAGGGGGTTTGGAGCTCACGAAATCATTTTAAAAGAATTAGATTCTTGTTGTGATGGACGGAAACGAAGGGTGAGAGGCAAAGAGTAACTTGAAATGAATTTTTTTAGTATTGTTTTTATTTCACGAAAGAATATACTAGTAAACTGATCACTTAGGAGAAAATGGCACACCCGCATTCATGCTGTATTTTTTCGACTAGAAATGGTTCATTTCCAAAATAAAAATTAGATTTTTGTTCAGTCTGTGGAGTGATACATAGACTGTGATGAGGAAGCACTCAGCTGATAAACAAAAATGGATGTATACGATTTCATTGACACCTGTGATCTTCTTCAGAAAGACTAACGCCATGTTTTTGCCTACTCTACATTTCAATACCATGGCGGACTCAGCTGTTGCCGAAATGCGAGCCTTACGAGCAGATTCGTTCTTGCTAGACCAGCGAGCTCGACCAAGTCACGACTGTTATCAATGATTGCCGAAGAAGACGATCTTTGTACAGTATCGGTGTTCTGTTTTTGTCTGTAGTTAGCATTCACGTGTATATACTGCTTGAATTATTGCAACGCACGTGTCAAGCCTTTGCCGATAATACTTCCGCTTCATGGTGAAAAGCAATTATTTGACAATAAAAATGCGAATTTCTTTCCTTTTAATAAAAGTGATCTTCTCAAAAGTTTTAATCCGCCTCTAAGAACTAACTTAGGTCACTTAGGCAGACGGTATTAAGCAGTGGTAATACTAGATAAAATAACTGAATTGTCTTTGTGTTTTTTTTTCCCACAATTATCTTACAGTTACGTAATGATATATGTTAGTGATAGAAAGGAATATATCAAACGAAATTTAACAGTAATCACGTGTAAACAGTAGCTTAACCGTTCAGGAACCCGTGTTCTCGGAAGTTGCGTGGGTATAGTGGTGGGCTTTGTTGTGCAACCTTACATCAAATAAAGTCAATGGTCTAATTTCGATATATTGAAATTTCCAGAGTGCAGTGGGTGATGAAAAGAAAATGATATGGTTGATATCGCACGTACAAGCAAGTTCCTGCTGATGTTTAAAAAGGATCTAAGAGAGCGAATTAACCCCAGCAAATCAGAATTCGTAGAAAGCAAGTGATCAAAGGCACTGGGGTAACCTTGCTCATTTTTAATCGTTCCTTGACTCGTCTATTATAAGATACTTTGCTGCCTCGATCTTGGATTTCAAATTAATTAACTTATCTCAGATTTTCCAAAACCAAGGAGTGGGTTGAATCGCAAGCTTCTTCCCTAACTGAAAATGTATGCGATAAACACTTGGGATACCATTTTCTTGGTCATCGAGTTTGTGGTGTGCCTTTTAGGAATCGTCTTCAATGGTTTGGTAATTCTTACAATTTGTAGGAGCATCCATCATCTTTCCTCACCGAGCTATCTCATTCTAAGCATCGCAATCAGTGATTTTATTTCCTGTTCAGTGGCTGTTCCATTTTCGATCGCAAGACACTTTAGAGAGGGATGGCCATTTGGCATGGCTGGATGCAAAGCTCATGCTTTTATGATCTTCCTTTTCGCTCTCGTCTCTATTACTCACCTGGCTAATATTTCTGCCGGAAAGTATTTGAACATTACGCGGTCTCTTTACAAGAACTCTTACTTTAGCAAGAGACAAATTCTACTGGTAATCTTGGCCTCTTGGATTTTCTCGCTTGGATTCAGCATTGCGCCTCTGTTGGGATGGTCGCGATATGGCTTAGAGGGAACTAATGCTACTTGCTCTATAAAGTGGGAATCTACTCGAGGAGGAGATAAGGCATATTTTGGAATTGTTTTTATAGCATGCTACGTATTTCCAATCGCAGTGATCACATTTTCCTATTACAAGATCCACAAGGTTTCCAGAGGGATCGTTCGCACTTCATCCCAGATTGGTTGCATTGGATTGACGATGACACAAGCTTTGTTGAGGAAACACCGCAAATCAGCCATGTACTATTTGGCTATCATAATTGCTTTCATGGTTTCATGGTCCCCCTACGCTGTTGTGTCTTTCCTCGCAGTGATAGGGAGAAAAGTGCACCCAATTGCAGCCAGCACATGTAGTGTGTTTGCAAAGATCTCATTTATCCTGAATCCAATTCTGTATGCTATTTTTTCCCGCAAGTTTCGACGACGGATGGTTCGCGTTGTTCCTATGACCAGGCCAAATCGAGAGGTGAGACCAACTACTTGTGTTCAAAACTCAGCAACATTGGCTTTGTGAAAAATATCCATTTGACAGAGAGAAAGTTAATATTGCCTTTCTGAACTCTCCCGCTGAAATAATTATTTTCATTGACTCAACTCTGATTTAATTCAATAGCCTTTCGTGTCATTAAAACGTCAAAGATATTTTGATTCACTTGTGATTGACTTCAGTTGTAACTTTCTCTGAACGATAGCACATGAGTTCTTGAAAGCTAATGCTAAGATAATGAGAAACGTCTATATAAATTATATTTCTTTTTGCCCGTAAATTTAATTCATCATATAGTTACGACGTGATGTTCTTAACTCAATAATTACGTCAGTAGCAAGTCCTTCACCGAGTATGTTGGGCCGCAATGTCGGGGGAAACTAGCTGCAGACCCCACAACACGCCATTACCACGGGTATCAAGGACTTTTGACTTGTCTTATAAAGCCTCCACTCTACTTGTCGTTGATTATTGCTGATGACTACTGTCACCAAGTAAACGCTTTGAAATACATGCTTATACATTCGCTATAGAAAGGCATGAGTGGGCATGCCGGCCAACCGACTACGCAAGATTTAATTTTTGTTGTTAGAACGCTGTACTAACCCAACACTTTTAGAGAATCTCACTAGCACACCACAAAACACTTAATGCTTTCCATCAACCGAATCTCCCATAAAGGCTCACGGTCGGGTAAGGGTGCTTACGATTTTCCAAGACTTTCTATAACTCTGCACTCAACTCGAAATAGTCTTTAAATAAATTGCCATTTTGTTTCACGCCCGTCAAACTTTTCCTTTGTTTATTTAACTCATTAGAAAACCACAACGAGCACCTCATTAAACGTAGGTATCAAACTTTAGGAGTAACACTGAATGAATCGGTTGCCTAAGCACTAAGAGAGTTGTTAGACTCTCTCCTTCTTCGAGAAAAAAAGTCACCTCAATTTCAGACCCTTTGTTATTGGCAAATTTACGGCAACTTCTCATTCAGGTACCTACTCTTCTTTGAAATCAGGATCTTCTTTTACAGTGGTTCATACCAGCAGTTAGTGCGATCACATGTATCAACGGTCAATCAAAAGAACGAAGAGCGCTGTTGATTATGTAACGAGACCATCTAGTGCTCTCCGCCAAGAAAGGGCCGGGTCACACTTGAGTGAATTAATGGAGAATAATACTTGGGCGAGCGTTTAACTCGAGATGTCGAGTTGATCACGAGAAGAGAAATTTCATATCTACAAGCAACCGTGTATTATTTTGTTCATCATATAAACACAATAGCCCTTTACTGTCAAGAAAAGTCGACTCTATTAAAGAATGAAAATAAAAGGATCGGCAATCCCCGAAAAAAAAATCGTAGAGTGCGTTGGCGCACTCAAGATGAAAACATGCGTTGAATCACGACAAAAACAGACAATGGGCCTAATTTCAATATACAAAATTCTCAAGTATTGAAATGGTCCTTACCGACAGAAGAAATCATTCAGGTAAAAAGCCATAATCAGCCTCTAGCAAATCTTCCAGTTGTCGATTTTTGTTCTCAGCCGCGAGAAATGCCATTACCAAAGTCACTAAATACGTAACTTTCGGTTTTTCATTTCGTATTTTGGTTTTCTTCCTTTCTAAGAAAGTTTGAACGTCACTGTCTGAAAGCATCGATATGGATATTTCAGTTTTTTAGCAGCCATAATCCGAAAATATTCCTACAAACGACAATGGATAGAGAATGGTGAAGGCTTTGCCGTTCATTCATCAACCTGACCGAGTGGCGCGAAAGGCGTGTGACGCGTCAGCAACTGATTGGCAATATCAAACACACGTGAAAAAATATCGTTTTTTTTTTTTCACGTGTGTTGTTATGGCTTTTCTTAGGGCTGGAAATCCTGGTATAACACCGTAGTTTGTATGATAAAATATTTTCCAATTTTCGCGAGTCCAAAATTGGAAAAAATTTCCCGTTTTCCAAATTTGGGCGACGGTCGCATCAAACTAGTGTTCTTTGACCAAAACTTCACTGACTGCTTCATACGTCAATCACAAACCCATCTTGCTCTGAAAAGTCGTGGTAAAATAACCAAAGATCTCGCAAGAATCAGTACTACGCAGGAACGGAATTTTTTTTCGTGCTGATCTCAGTGCGTTTTGGTCGACGCTTGCGCCACTTGTGCTGGCTTTAATACTTGTGATGGAAGGAGAATTTCACGTTGAAGCTATCTGTTTTTTCCAAATTGTTACGGTGCTCACATGCCTCGTTTCCCGCGAAAGAAAAAGGGTTAGATGGACGAGGAAAATTCTGTCATCGCGCCCCAAACTAGGGAAGCGAACTCAAGGATTTTTTCACACTGAAATCATAAACCATCGTGTCTTGCACAACATGACAACTAAATGGTTAAAAAAAACATGATTGTTTGTTTTGCCAAAATTTGGAGGCCTCCGAGGACATCGCGTCGATTGAAGACCGCAAAAATTTGGCAAGTTTTTCAAATTGGAGATACCCTACTTGTTGACAGATTTTTCACGAAACAAACAAAAAAAAGCTCTAGTGCAACCCGCGCAAAAGCTTTTTCCGATGCCTCCGTTGTTTGTTACAGTAGTAAATGATATATGTACAATCAAAACTTTTGAAAAATTGCTTAACATTGTATTTAGTGAAGTATACAGTTAACATTTGAGCGTTACAACACGATTGTTTCCTGCAACTACACATGATCTGTCTGTTATGAATTATTAAAGTTGTTTCACCGCTGACCACTCGTATTTCGCTCTTTCTTTTCTTAACCCCGCTCGTCACCTGTACCGTAGTAACTCCCGAATAAAGGATGGCCTGCGCAGGTGTAGTGTTATCTAGAGCATTTATCATTGAAGACTAAGCGTCTACCAAAGGAAATGCAACAAGGGGAAGGAGAAGAGCAGAATTTTGACCTGCTAACTGGTTTGTATCTGTTTACTATAACCGAGTGAATGCACCGAGTAGGTGACTTCAAATTTGCTGTTTGGTCGGTCTGCAAATTTAATAGTTCCTTTATTTAACCATTCGACTAGCATCTAATTTCTCCTTACAATATCACCACTGCATCGAACACTGAGGTCACGAGAATACAATATATGATCCCCTACAGAAATTTCCTAAGGTGCTGATAAGGAGAATTTGTCTAACAATCAAGAGCTTCTCTAGATGGAGATCATTTCCTCAATTCTCGTGACTTAAATGTGTGATTCAGGGGTGATATTTTAGGGACAAACTAGATGCTAGACACTCTAAGGGGTCAAATAATTCATTTATGTTCCTTGACAAAATCATCTGTTGAAGCTCAGCGTATGAAAGAGTTTGTTAAAATAGTTTCAGGTGGTGTCTTGTGTGAGTTTTTAGAAGTAGCATTTCACCTCATCTTATATGTGAGGGAAGTCTATCCTGCTGTGGTATTTGAGAGAAGAAAAAAGTATAATGTTCCTGTACAGGTATGGTGTCAAATTTTTGTCAATTGTTAAGGTTAAGAAAAATACCTCTTATTGCAACTTATCATGGAAAGCTGTTTTTTATCTGTAAATCAGTTATGAAGGGTTTGCAATTACATGTATTGTTGAAATCTGTAGCAAATATCATGGCTCTTCTCTACTCATGAGTTTGGGTTGGAGACCCACTTGGAGCTGGTGATTATTAATAAAAATTTGATTTTGGAGGATCAGAGAGGGCTACACATCGAATGGTTACTGGATGATTCTTGTCCTTAAAATTGGCAGTTTTATCCTTAACTTCCCATGCATTATTTAGGTGTAAATTCACAGAGAAAATATATGTGGTCCCAGTAAAATTTATGAAAATAACTTAAATACCAGTAGTGATAAATGCAAGGTCTCTGTTTTCCATTAACCCTGGATTCTATTTTTTTTTCCTTTGGCATCTTCTTGAATTTGAGTGTTCTTTCCCCAGATGTGTTGTCACCCAGATCTGAACCAGTATATCTTAGACGTGCTTCATACCATGAAGCCCTTATTGGAGGAGGTGTGTATTTAAATCATAGCTGCTAGATGATTATAATTTTGTTCTCCAGTTTAATGACTCTTTTGTTTTTCTTGAACTCTTTTGAATCTTGGATCACTAATACTCAAATTGGTAAATAAAGTTGTAGGCATTTTAAAACATTTTTGCATCACAAGCAAAGATTTTAAAAAGCTTCTACCAATTCTTTTGTTGTTGTTTTATTGTGCCAGGTTTCTTTAACCCCTAACCCATAAGAGTCACTAACTTCTTATTTCTTCTGACAATATCTCCTCTGAATCACACATAACGATTACAAGAATGATACGAAACAAGAATAAAGGAAATGATCACCAACTTGGGTGTAAAACGTTAAAATTCAACTTAAGATAGCTTCCATGTATTTTATTCAGCCCAACTCTCTAAAAAATTTTAAGAAAAAAATAGTTTCTGCATTGCAGAGTAGTGATAGAACACAGATGATGTAAAGATATAGAAAGGACTAAAAAGAGGCACTGGATGTGCAACCAAGTGTGTTACTGACTATTTGTTTTATATCTAATGATAAAAAAGCAAAGTGTTGTCAATGGTGATGCCATCTTGTAATGTGTCTGTCCTCTAATAGATCATAAGTAAGAACCAGTCAAAAATTCCAATAAAATCCAACTTATCATAATGCCTGTTAGAGTCGATCACAATCCATAGTTTGTTACAAACTATGACATTTCCACTTGCAACAAACGTTTACTTTTAGGGCCTGTTTACATGGAGGTGAGGGACCTTGGGTAGGTGAGGTATCCTACCCAGGTTGGGTAAAACCGCCTGTCCATCAATCTCTTATCTTGATCATGTTTACATGGTAGGTGGGGTAACCTGCATAGGTGGGTAGTAAGGTGGGTAGCCTGGTCTGGCGGGTAGGGTAACCCTGTCAGCTGGGGTCATTATTTACTAGGTAATTGTCTCCAGGTGGGGTATCGTGCCTACCTGCATTCGCATTCATGTTGCTTTGGTAAGTAAACCAACAACCTCACCCCAGGATCTTGGAATGTAAGATGATATGTTAGTGGGGGCTATTTTTTTACCATGGCTAAGCAGATAACCTCACCTACCTGGGGTCCCCCACCTTCATGTAATCAGGGCCTTAGGCTTAGGTTACTTTTTAGCTCCTTTACTACTGTAGATTTTTTAGTGTTCTTCCTAGTTATGCCTGTGGCATTATATCTTTACTAGGGCAAAGTTCAGAGTGTTGCCTTGGTTATTTCAGACAAAGTAAGTTACTTTTGCTTGTAAAAACACCAGTATATAGTGCATAACTTATAACTTACATGCTGAAGGTGTTGAATGAGGAAACAACACCTCACATGGATGTTTGGTCTTTTTGAATGTGTTAAGATCATTTTTATGTTAAGTACACATAAACAACATGTAGTGGGTCTCTTTTATGAGCATTTACCTTTAAGGTGAGCATTTTCCAAAGATCAATTTATATCAAATTGTTAGGAAAATGATAAAGACATTGGAAACAAAATGATGACAAGTAGTAACCTAAATACCCACTGTTTTTGAAGGATACACGCTGTTTCCTGTTTCCTGTTTCCTGTCGTTTGGTGTTAACCTTGTAATGTTATACATGGGATGCCAGGTCACTAAGTACCTCTCAGGGTGAGAGCCATTGGGGTTGATTTTCTTCGCAGCAATTGAAGACACGTTTTGAAAGTAACTCTTAAGAGTCCTTAAATAACAGAAGTTAATGTCTATACAGACTTAAACTGGAAGAGGTAAAATTAAAACATGTACTGTATTTTCAACTGAAGGTACATCATTTTCTCTTTCTTAGAAGTTCATTCCTGTTGAACGATTTGTTTTTGAGGTTGGTAATCCAGAAGGAGTCTGCACAACAGAAAGGTCAGTGTAACCTTGGTTAATGTAACTGACCAACTATGTTATGTACACTTATTCTTGGTACATTATACTCTAATTAAAAATAATCTTTGGAAGGCAAATGTAAGTGTGGCAGTTATTTTGCACGATAACTAATTTTGTAAAAGTTATAAATTGGTGGTTCATTTTCCTTTTCAGCCCGGACAATTTCTTACTCTCCACGGAGAGAGCTCTCAGAGGTTTTCTTCTCAAGATCAATTCATGTGATGCACTGTTAGAGCCAATCCCGAAAGGTACATACAAGTGAGGTAGTTAATTTTTGTGATGTTCTTTTAAGGTAAGGAGTTAATTGTTGGTTTTGAGTTTAGTATCCTAACTGCAACACATTAAGGCTTAAGATAACTTAAACTCTCCTTTAACTCCGTTGAGTGACCAAGACAGAATTTCACTTTGCAACATCAATACAAAATCAAGCAGACAACTGATGAGAATTTTAAAAAAATCATAATTAAGGGATTTTTAATTGATGCAATAGCAAATTCTCCAAGCTGAAATCACAAGGATCGTATGGTAGACAGTAAGGAGAATTACTTATGAAATCTTGGGAGTTAAACAGTTAAGGTTCGTAAGTTAAGTTTAAGAATTGTCTTTTGCAGGATGTACATTTTCCATTCTTGTATACACCAAAGAATCGTCTTTCTTAAAACTGCAGGAGGGTCTCAATCTTCAGGTTTGTCAGGACCAGAGAAAAGTACATTTAATAAATAGATTGCATGTTGCTGTGAGCCAGTTCAGTAATAGATCACAGATATCGTCAGATATGCGTGCGTAATGCAGCTTATTATATGATGTATTGCCTTCCGTTGACCCAGGGGGTGTCACTTATTTTTTTCCATAAACACACATGATTGGTATTAGAAGATGCATCCTTCCTTTAACCATTTAGAGTGTAATTATCTAAAAACTATCGGCATTTGGGGATACTGACCGTGATTGGTTCGAGGCCTTCCGTCTGATTTCCCTCTTCCGTCGAACCCAAACCATTTCGTTTACGGGTTATTAAAGAAATAAAAGGAAACAATACTCGAAAGATGCTTGTCTCAGTTAAAAGCAAAGACTATGACGGCTAAATTTACTTTGTTATGGATGTAGGAGTTTCCTTGGGTTGAGGCAGATGAACGAACGAAAATGAAGGAATCTGTCATTATACCTCTTAAATCAACTTCCACTGGAATCCTAAAGGTAAGCGATGTTTTACAGAATAGCGGAATATTAGGGTGCCAAAATGCGTACGTATTTTTTAAATTTGTGGTCTTAATTACACAAATTTTCCAAGGGAAATGATTGTTGTATCATGGTATATTACTGAGTGCTCGTTTTTGTAGCCGTTTCAAGTTAGTGATCACTCAAAGGGTCCCCATGTTTGATGCTAAAGGACACTTCTCTCCGTGCCTTTTCCCTGCCTTAACAATCCACAATGGCGCTGAAAGAATTTGTGGCAAAAAAAAATAGTGATAACGAGGGCACCAAAAGTACACGTGCACCGCCAGTTATGTATGGCATCGTTTTGGAGACAATCATCTTACAACCAGGAGTTGAACAGTGTTTACAATTAGATCAAGTATGTTAATACAGAGGCACATATTTACAGAGACAGGAATATAAATTGTTGGTTAGTTATTTGGCTCCTTATAGGCGTTCTAATGGAAAAAGGCCTCGGGAAGTCTTGATGTGTGTTTATAGATGGGCATCGTTTTGAAAACATGTTTCTATTTCCAAAGATGCAGCTTTTTGTCGAGGAATGTGCTGAGAGGACCAGGAATGGTAGAGACAAGGTTGAAGACGTTTGATGTGATTGCATTCTTCCCGTCAAAGAGATCGCGCCTTCCACGGACTTAAAAAAGAAAAAAAAAATAGCAATCTTAGCGTTTGCATGCCACGCCTTGAATACACTCTAAATGGCTAAAAATAAATGGAAAAGTAGTAGATGGTAACTTCTCTGCTGGCATCATCCATGTGAGCCGACGATGAAGGAATATATTTTTGAAGAAACTAAGTGTTTACCACATGGCAGGTGGAAAATCAGTCGAGATCAATTTATGGCGCATCTACACATCCCATTTTCCCGCCCTCTGATAGGCTAAAAATACAAAATTGACAGCGTGCTTAGTAGGCTTACAAATTCAGCAGTGCTACTACAAATTCACTAACCTAAAGCGGAACAGCGAAACAACAGGGCACAGCGTCGTGCTTTTTACAGTAGTTTTTTTTTTTTTTCGATAGAATAAAAGTATAGACGATGGAAAACTGTGTCAATCGTTTTCACTGCAATAAAAGATCTCTAACAAGTGTCTTATCTTACCGAAATAACGACCGGTCAACGGACAATGTCCGGACTGATTGGGGATTTGACCGATCAAACTTTTTCCTTGCTGGTAATGTTTACCGGTCACGTTTGATCGTAATGAAAATGACTGAAAAAATTAAAAAAAGTTTCCATGCTGTTGAGTTGTTTCAGTAGTTATCAGTATGTAGCAAGTCGCTGTGTATTGCGCAACTTTGGTCTGAAATCCTGGCTGAAATGCAACTAGAATCGTTGTTAACAATTCGCGCATTGAAACAGACGTGGGTTCGGGCACTTCCGGTCACAGTGTTAAAAATAAGTTCACTTTTATTTGTTAATTTTAAAGTTTTACATTTCTCCTTGCATATACAGTAACTACTCAGCCCAGAATAACTATAATCAATGCTAAGGAACTATACTTTATAAAACCAATAATTGTTCCTCTCTTCGCAAGGTTATCTACGTGTTTATCTGTCGCGTGCGTAATTTAAACATTCAAGGTTGATGTGTACGATAATGATATTAAACGTGTTACGGTTTGAATTACAAACAATGGACCTATTCATACAAAAGCTGATTTTCATTTCGCCGCAGTAATTAATTTTTATTGTTGATAGTGAGTGCTCTAAAAAGCTATAAGCCCCAAGCAACGACCTTTTTTGGAATTATTTAACGTCAATTTTGGTTTATCGGTTCCTTTTTTTAAGAGTTAGTTATCTCATAAGTTTGACCAGAAACGATACACGACTGAGCTATAATATATTCGGCTGGTCACATCTCCGGAAACTATTTCGAGCCTTGCTGCACAGTGAGACCGTAGAGACGTTTTTGCAAAATTGCCATTAAACAGATTATCTTAACAAAAGAACTAGCCAGATTCTGAGGTAAAGCGCGAAAGAATAAAAGTGAAACTTTTTTTCCATTCATTAAACGACCAAATTTGTGCATCATCTACTTCAAAATTCTTAAATAATCCTTTCGACAATGTAAATGTACAAATAGTAGCATGTCTAATGACTGAGAATAAGTTAATTTATGTCAGACAGTGCAAAGTTGTGGCAGAACAGTGAATTTAATTGATTGACGGGAGCGTGGCGGAAAAATAACAAAAATTGAAATGGTGATCAGGTAGGAGAAAGTGAAGTTGGATTCAGAGTGCGAGGGAGAATGCTACGAGAAAAAAAATTCCTACAAAGCACAAATAAATCGAAGAATGAAGGTCTTGGGCAATGACAAAAGAGCAAAAATGGAGGAACTTGAGGCCCGATAAGAAAAATAAAATTCTTAAGAAGTGTTGCCGACCAGTTCGCAAGATTAGGAGCCTGGTGCGTGGCCTCTATGCTGTGGTTACTGCAGTTGACCAAAGAGAAAAAGCGCAAATACTTGTTTATTCGCCGCATAGTTTAAAGCACAAAGTAAGTTTTTGAGGGAAAAACCCGACTACTGCGGCTATAGGCGAACGCAAACGGCAGAGCGAGGCAATAAGTCTGACAACAACTGCGGAAACTGATTTTGCGATGGGGAGAAGAAGCCGGAGAAGGAAATTCAGTGAGTCCTTGTGCAAACAGTTTGGTCCTCGAAGAGGGCAGGAACAGCAGACCCTGAAAGCAGTCGAACAAGCCATTCCACATAACTAGAAACGAACCAAGCCCTGTAGTCAACCATTAGAGGCTAATATAACTCCCGCTAACATTGCTGACCTCCGTTGAAGTCATTACACAAATCCACTGTAAACGACTCAATTTGACAGATGGCGCAACCCTGGAGAGTCCAGTTTCCATCGTGATTGCCAAACAGTTGGCTTTTGATAATCTATCAAAAAACCTTTCTTGAGATATTTTTGCCATGGATACGTTTTACAGACACAAACTGACTTTTTTACATTTATATTTACCTTCGTAATAAGTGAATCGCGATACAAAAGTAATTGCGATTCTTAGACGATAATACCGCCTAATATTATCGATGTTGAGAGAAAATAGAAGGTCGTTGCATGTTTTGTATATCGTTACTCCTTCCGAAATGAGCAATGAACATTTTTTTCACAACTAAGCGCCAATAATGCAGTATTGGCGTCTCAAAATGCCGTTGGTGCATGGTGCTTTCTGTTCCGAAGAAAGGGATAATTGAAAGAAAACACAGTCCGTTACAGAAGAAAATTAGTCCACTTGGACTACTTTAGACACACTTTTCTGGACACATTCCCCTTCTACTCTCTTGAAGTTTTATCATCATTTCTTGTTAGTCTACCCTTTGTCCCAAACAGGATGATACAAATTGCCGAAAGGTACAAACTGACCGGGCTACACACCACATGGAACTGCGAACTACTATTGACGAGATGGGAATCCTGTTGTCATTTGAATGGTAGACTTAGCGATTAGATCAGCCATTCCAAATTTATCTCATCGCAATCTGAGTCTCAAAGCTCTGTCATACTCAATTGATATATCGCTGGCAGTCCCATGGGCAGTAAGAAGCGAATCCTGTGTTCTGATTGGCTACCCGTGCGGGTATGTAAGATGGGCCCACCTTGCCCGCTCGAGATTGCCCGCTTTGGTCCCGTGCAAAAAAGAAAATTGCTTGCAGCGAACTTACAAAAAGGTTCGTAATTTTTGGACATTGTCAGCTATGGAATCGCTAAAAGAGGTGGAGGAAAATCGAAATAAAGGAGACATAAACGACTCTCGTGGGTTTACTGTGCTACAAAACAGTTTGCTTTCCATCCCGTCTCTCGAAATGTAAGAGCAATTCTCGATTCTTAATAAGGCGAAATCTTTATGCTATAAAAGAAATCCTTCATTGATCAAGCTTGTTCGGTCAAGTTGGTCAACAACGCAAACATATCGGTATTTTATTGTATGTTTAGATATGACATAATGTAAGGTGACCATCGAGTAACCGTCGAACATTAAATAACTACACATGTTCGATAGCTCTGGTATTAAAGTTTATGTTGACATTGGAGAAGATCCTGCCACATGACTCGTACAGGGGATCGTAGAAGCACATAACAATAAATTTCCAGATTTTACCCCACAGCCCCAGTGGGATCAAAGACAAGCGGGCAAATGGAGAGGCCACCCAAATCATTAAAAAGCTCAGGGAACCACAAACCAAGCCATAGATAAAGGACAGAAGACCGCCGAACACAATGGTCAGTACCCAGTATGTGCCAAGGATGGTGCCTTCATAAATTGTTTTGGTAAACTGGTGAACGCACTGCGGGCTACGAACTGCTGTTGGCTCGCAGACCACATCTGAATAAGCCACCTATAAAAACGAAAAACTTGGTCAGTGTTCTAACGGAAATTTTCGTACCGAACTCTCGCGTTCATCAATTTTAAACGAATTTTAAACCACAATTTAAGTGATTACCATTTGCAGGAGCGCCTTTCGCAAAGACAATCGACTAGATTTTTCATCGGTAGCAAGAGAAATTAATCCCATTATTGATTGGTAAGCTATTCAACGAGGTCTTCCTACTACGCCAAATCATAACTTTTATGCTTAGTCATTAATCATTGATTAATCACTTATTTTTATTAATCATATTTCAAGTCTGGGGTCGCGAATCGCACTAGTAACGAATAACGACTTTAAGATGTCCTAATTGGTAAATGTTACGTTTGTTCACACTTTAAGGATGAGATTACTCATATTTGTGGGGAAACCCACGGAAGTTCAGGAGTCTAATGCATCACCCGCTTTTAAAGTCATAATCAGCTGGGCGCCTCTTATAGTTGTGAGACTATTCCGATATGATTTTTCAGTTTCGCCGCAGCCGCTAGCTGAAAAGTGAGGCAAGTGCTCTCTGTCTGATCAAGAATAATTACTTTCGGAAAATAAAATGAAAAATGTTTTCTAAAATAGGTATTCAGTTGTGAGTTCGTTTGTCTTTCGGAGTTAAGTGGCAACCAAATTGGACCTTGAGAAATTTAAGAGGTCGTCCGCGTAAGAACAGACTACTCGCATTTCGGCGGATCACAGAATTCCTTGAAATTTTTACTGTGACATGATTAGTTTATTCTATTGGAAAAAGTCGCATTTATTTGGCTCGTAGTGCTATTTCGCCAAAATTTAGCGACGATATGAAAGGACGGTCCAGGACAAAGAAAATTGTTTATTTCAGAGTCAATTTTAAGCTTTTTCGCTTTCGTTTCTTCTATAGATTGATGGCAAAATATCTAAAATCTGACTCAACAATTGAGAATTACGCTGTTTCAAAAATACCGCACAGAAAGCTCATTTCAAATTTGAGCAAGCATGCTGTTGTTCCAAGAAACTTTTCACAAAAGTATAACCGGATGTGGAGTCCTGATCACTATCCGTGTTTAGCACTAGGGCTATTGTTTTAAAAACAAGAAAAACATTTTTGGGGACTAGTCTTTCCGAGCTGCAGGAGCTCGATAAACTTTGCTAACATTCCATGGTCAAAAAGCGTGACTTAATTTATGCATATTTGTGGTTATTTCCTTTCTCGTTCAAAATCAATATGCGAAGAAGTGACTCTTTTGAAAACTAGCTCAGCCTTTTTGTTAAGGCGAGGAACTCCATAAATTCATCAAAACGTGCCTCAAAATTACAAATTACGAAGGTATAAAGGGACGTCTTCTGCGTAACATTATGCTAAACTGTCCCAGGCGGACTGCTAAAAACATGTTGACAAACTTCCATCCAGTTAGTCTTGACCAGTCTTATACTGTAAAAAAAAATTAAAATGCTTTGGTTTACGGATTAACCCTAGAAGAAGTGCTTATTTATAAGATGTCATGACGAAGACAACTTCGTGTTTACCTGAGCTTGAAGTTATTGATTTCAGTCATGTCACGCGGCGATACTTTTGACATTTAGAATGTCACGGAACCATTTTCAATAACATCGAACACATGAACACTGAGTCACTACAGTTATCGAAAGAAATGGTTGACGTGAAAAGTGATACTATTCCATCTTTGTGGTAATTTATACTAAAATTTACCTCATTATGTATTGAAAAATGTAACTTTGTTAAAGACATAGTTACCAAAGATGTCGATTACCGGCAAGCACCTTGTAATGCCATTCAGTGGTACAAAAAAGTAGTAAATAAAAAATGGTATACATGAACAATACAAATTAAAGTAAGATTTTCCTTTTCGTTTTGACTATCACCTTCAGGCGGTTAAATCTTTGGATGTGACCATTTGTATTTTTAAATTTTAAGGGGCCCTTTTGACGTGATCATATTCGAGTAAACAATTCGGATAGATTCATTTACATCGCGTGATTTTCAATAGGACTTTAAACTACAGTCATTTGAGTCGGCAGAAGAAGTTGTTATTACACTTATGCGTGTGTGTGTATTTTGCTTTTTTTAGCCACTAACTACTCTTAGTTTTACATTTTTCTTTGTAACATTAAAATTAAAAGCTAAAAGCTTTAAAAGCTTTAAATCACCAATAATATCTATGAAATCAGCCCATAGCTTTTGAATTTGGGCACTGTTTTCACAAGTAGGAAGAATTGTTGACATTTGTATATATTGAAACAATTTCAACTTCTCAGGACCAGTCAGGTCTCTGTACTCTAATTTCTTGCTTTCTTTCCCAATGTGCCACTGAAATGAAACTCCCAGGTTGTTAAGGAGCATTTCATAACCCGCCGTATATTTATATTTATCTCTTGGAAATCCATCTGTAAATGTTACCTTTCTCTCAATGCTATCTAGTCTTCTTAATTGTCTGATCAGAAGTTCAATTAAATTGCCAGAAATTCATAAGAACAGATGTAAAGTATCAATGACTACATGATCAAGAGGAATAAATGGGAACAAAGGATTATTTTTGCAATTGAACTGTTTTGATTTTGCACACTGACTTATTTGTGCTAGGTTTCGTGCCCCTAGACTAAGATCAGTCATAGACCATTGCTTATTTGTATCCCACCTCTGTAGCCTGGGGCACTTACACCATATGCAAGCATAGTCTTGGTTTGCAGCCCCCAGGCCGCAAACACAAGCCAGAAACTTCCAGTCTCCACCAAGGAAATACTCAATATTATATTTACAATTATTTACAGTAATTGTCTTAAGCAATTCCATCTCATTCCTGAGATCAGGGAGACTCTCTTGTAAATTTTCATAGCTTTCAGTTGTTTTAATTATTGCCAAAATGTAATTCCCTTTTTCACCCATGGCTAAATCTTTCTCATTTAATATAGTATAAGTAAAGTTCACTATTTTCAACCTCTTTCCTATTTGTGTTCCATCCCCACTGAGCTTTACCTTAATTGTGTTCTCTTTCAAGTCTAGTCTTGTTAACTGTTTTCGAAGGCTGTCTTCAAATTTCACTTGAACACCTTCTGCTTCACCCGGAGTGCAACTCAAATTCCATGAAGTATTTAACTCGTTTATCCGTTTTGTTATCTGAGACAGTTTTGGCATATCTTTTGCCTTGACTGAAAACTCACGCCAGGCTTCATTGGAGATATTAAATTTGTCTTTTAAATACATCCACATATTAAGGTCATCTAACTCTTTGTCTGTCATTTCCTTTTCTGCATTATCAATAAAAGGAAGTTCCCCTTCTTCAAGAAGACTAAAAGTCTCTAACTTACCAGTGTCCTCATTGAAGACATCTACCTTGGTGGCAACATAATTATATAAACCAAGGAATGACAGGGTTGTGTGACATTGTTCCTTCAACTGTTTTTTGACACGTGCCTGATGCTGTCGGGTGTACTGCCGAAAAGATTTTTTCTTTGCTGGGCCTCTTGACCTTTTTTCCAAGCACATGTCTGCAACCTTTTTCGCCAAACGTTTAAATCGTGTCTTGCTCTCTTCGTCTTTCTTCTTTGACTTTTCCAGGGCAGTTTTCAATTTCTCTTCAAGGCAAATCCGTTTAGCTGCTTGCTCAGTCACGCACTCCTCGAGTGCTCTTTTCTCACCTCTCAGCCGATCGCAATCACCCTTTAATTTCAAAACGTCAACTTCGTTGTAGAACACTTTTAATTTATAATTTGGTCCAAATTTCCACCCGTTAACTAATTTCTTCAGGGCTTTTCCGCCTGATTTGCTTGCCCGCTTGAACGCTGTATGGAGGATTGATATCTTTTTCTTAAAAACGTTCAAAATGCGTTTGTTTACTTCCACATTATGTGCTCCTGAATCTTCCAAAATTTTCTTCACGACAGATGCTATAGGAGAATCGTTACCTTCACCGTCATCACTCTTTTTCTCCTTCGATATGGTGTAAATGAGGAAACTAAAGGAAAAAAATGGAACACCGGTAAATCTATTTTAAATGCCGCTAACATAAAAAACATGTAACACAATCTTACTTTAGAATTGTCGACATTACGGGAAGAGTATTTCCTACTTCTAGAGCCGGTTACGGCGCTTGTATTCGATGTCATTTATTCCTTTTCCGAGCTCAACTACCTTTTCCGACGGTACCCTTTACAGTGTTAAAATTTAAAGTAATAATATTATTTTATATACTTACTTGTTTATTTCGTACGAGAACGAACGAACAGAATCACCTGATGAACTGCTTCCCTGCTCTCCTGAATCGTTCCCAGCCGATCCACTTCTTTCAATGGAAATGAATAGCAGCAGTAAAAACATATATTGGTAAAACTTGAAGGCCATCGGTCCATGAGAAAATTTTTATCAATAGTTATGAATCGCACACCAAAACGCGGGGAATTTATTACAGTTTTCAAATCTGGCGGTAACACGTCTATCCCGGCATGCAGTGAGAAGCTGTTCCTCAGTCTTCATTGGCAGGTCTGATTTTCGCGCTCAGATTTCTTAAAAATTGACTCGACTTAATAAAACAAACTTCCAAGGACCATGACTTAATTTATGTTTTTCGAACTAAAAAAGTGCAATTAAGATGCAATAAACATGTAAGTTTAATAAACCGTTGGTAACCAGTTGTGAAATTTTTCATGAAAATCACAGTAAGCACAAAACTACCAAATTTTCATTTTATTGTAAGAGAGCTTTTGATGGGCGTGGCCGTCGGAAATATGATAGAACCTTTTGTTAACAAGGAGTTTCATACGATTTCACTAGCTGTCTTGAAATTAATAACATGTGTTCCAAAAATTGCCGATTTTTTTCCTTCGCGTCTTGGATATTGGCAAGTTTTCGGTGCCTGCCAGTACTTTCCCAGCCCATCATCAAACCGTCATCTTTTGCATCTGTTCCTCAGTGATCTCCAACCAATCAGCTCTTGCCCTTACCCTTGGTGTTTAATTAGATGCGTACTGATATTAGCATTACATCCATTCAAATGTACTGATTCTTTACATCCTCGACTACTTTCACATTTGCTTCTCGTAATGCTCGAAAACGAACATAAAGCGGCCATTCTTCAATGCAAATAATGCGAATCTTTTCCATAAGAATTTTCAATTATCCCCTTCGCAATGTAAATATTTCCGACGCATTGAGTATAAAATTTGCATATAACAGTATTTGAAATTAGCTCAGTTTCAACACCTTGACCGGTAACCGGTCAAGGTGTTGAAAATACTAAATGGCCGGCAGTCCTATATTCTTAGTAAATTTCACAAAATCGAAATATTCCAGCTAATCTAAACTATCATATGTCGATTTAGTGATAGTTTAGATTAGCTGGAATTTTTTCGATTTTGTGAAATTTACTGAGAATTTAGGACTGCCGGCCATTTACTGTTTTGAAAACCTTGACCGGCAGTCGAGCTGAAAAAAGTTCTTAGTGTCACAAAACATGGTTTCGTCTTCTGACCCAGCGTAAACCAAACATTAAACTTGAGATCTGTAAAGCATTTCAAGATCGCTTGAATTTGAAATGAGCTGTCTGTGTGGTATTTTTGAAACAACGTATTTCTCAGTTATTGGGTCAGACTTTAGATATTTTACCATCAATCAATAGAAGAAATGTAAAATTATACAATATTTCCATTTTGTGTCATTTGATCCAATGGGTCAAGTTTTAGAGCCCTCAGCGAAAAGTTTAAAATTGACTCTGAAATAAACAATTTTCTTTGTCCTGGACCGTCCTTGCATATCGTCGCTAAATTTTGGCGAAATTGCACTAAGAGCCAAATAAATGCGATTTTTGCCATTAAATAGACTAATCATATCACAGTAAAAATTTCAAGGAATTCTGTGATCCGAAATTCGAGTGGTCGGTTCATACGCGGACAGCCTCGCTTATCGTAATATAATTATAATGCATAATAACATTCTCCTTCGACTCCATGATGAAACAGGACGAAATAATCAACTATCAAGCCTGATGTGAGCAGTTCATTTGAATTTGAGTTCATTACATACAAAATCTTATTCGTGCCACGCTCAATTCTAAACTGACTCACAGAATTGACGAAGGTTCCTGAAACGACTCATCTTCGAGAAATGTGTCGCCAAATACATTTACGTGACCAGAAAGCACTGAAAAGAAGTTCAGTGACTGAACCTCTGCCAAATACCGATACAACACTGCCTGCATGGTGCTATAGAAATCACCGATTCGAAAACGCAACGTTCATGCTGGCGCTCACGGGCTGCCTTAAATGACAGCATAATATCGAGTAAATTGCAACCATCTTGCAGTGATAACGACTCTAGACTAGACCTGTTTCATATCATTAATATTTTCCTTTTACCCTTCGTATACCTTCCCACATTAGTTGCCGCTTTTACTGTCACTGAAAATTTTGAAACCACAATAACAAATTAGTCTTCACCTTCAAGAAAAGTCGGCTTGATTTAAAACAGAGCTGTGACTGTAAAGAAACACGACTATTCAAAACCGGATGTGGATGTATCGTATACTTCACAATATGGCTGACCTTAGTCACCTATAGATGAAAACATCGTAGTCCAGCTACTTCATTTAAACGTCTTACCTTCAGATAAGCGTTATTATTCTGTGGATCCCTGTCTTCATCAGTGGCGATAAGCAAAGTTGCGGCATCCATTCTGTGTGTCTTTGATGTGCGGTAAGGTGTAGCGCAAAGCTGACAGGTGACAGGTACGATGTTACACAAGTGTGGAATCAGGGATCAAACGCCTAAATAGTGTGTGATTGACACTTCCCAATATGGTCATTCTATGTGCTTCAATGATCGCTTCTTGAATGTGAGCTCGAGTGAGTCAGTAGAAAGGAAGTCCGAAAATAAACCTTTACAAAACCTTACAAATAGGGGTGGGATCAGGGATCACAGTTCCGGGACCAGGGGATCATGATCAACAGTGTTTTTCATGGAATCAGAGATCAAGTTTTCCTGAATACGAATAAAAACCAGAAACGGGCTTTCAGGCTTTCTTTCAGGTTTTTTTTTTTAAGGATTTATCGTTATTTAATTTGAGACTGCTTTTTTCTTCATGGTTTTTGGAGTCATAACCGTACAGTACTACTAGTCACGCAATTCTTTCCGCTGTGTGACGCTTAATCAAAATTAAGTCCTATTACATGCCATTTGATCAACTTTGCCCCACCCGGGTTGTGCTTAAATCTTACCGGCTAGAGGTACGCCTGAGGATCACTAGTGACGAGTTGATTATCAGAATTGTCGGCCATTCTATTACAGCGGACTATTCCAGTTTTACCAACAGTCAAACGACGTGATTGAACCAGACATGAACATCATAACATGTTTAACATGTGAAAAATACATTATTGAGTTTAAATCAAGGAAATTTCGCTAAATTTTGTATGGCTGTTTCCTTCACCCTCGTCACCCTTAAGTTTCTTGTTCAGCAAAGTCTTAATTGAACACTGTAGCCGCTAAGACCTTCGCTTGCGAAGGTGAACAAAACTTATGAATAGTATCACCACTACAATGCCCTTGTCATACTGGTTAGAAAGATCCCAAAGATTAAATTTCTATTGTCTTGTACCTCTAGCCGGTAGGATCTCAGGACGCTTTGAAAATACCACCGGCTAGAGGTACAGCTTGCATATTTATTCAGTGTTAACCTCTAGCTGGTAGGATATAAGGAGGCTTAGAAAATACTTCAGGTAAAGCTCACATATTTAATCGACTTTGCCTAATTTTTATTACAGTCTGCTTTGCATTTTACTTTTTAGTCTTATACTACATTGGAATAATTTTTTCAAGAATATCTTCTTGTTCGTTGGTCGTGTACCTATCTCTGCTTATTTGATGGCACAGTACACAAACTATGAGCATCAAATGACTTTTTAAGGGGAATCAGCTGAAACTAAAGCAGGCATTATTAGGCAATAAGCAAAGGGTTTCTGGTTGGTGTTCAAATAAGAAAGGTTTTGTTTCTTTAAATAATAGCAATTTTTATTAAAAAATACAATAATTAACACAAGCACAAGTTAATCTCATATATTTAATTGTACAAATTCTATATATATAGTAGATGACCATTTTATATTTTCAAGAATAACTTGCCTTAAGGTTTTCATACTCCCATATATGTTGTTAAATATCATTGAAAATAAAATTGGAAAATGTCAATTTGGTGAATTAAAATCATGTCATCCTATGACTACCTAAAGATGACTTGATTTTAGTATTTCAGACAATGGTTGGCCTTGTCTACAATACTTCTACTCAAACAAAAATATCATGAAAATTGAAACTGTTCTGTTCTAAGAAATTCCACTCATACTTATGCAGAGTGTTACATAACAAACTTCAGTAAATCTGGTTGACATGTTCGAGTCTAAAATGAATTTCAAGTCAAATTAATCTAAAACTGGTTATATTTGTAATGAAATAAATCCACAACCAAAGAAAATACAAATCTGATTAGTTTAAAATTTATTTACTTGAAATTCATTTAAAACATAACAATGTTAATGATTTCAAGCTTACTTCACACATATAAGCTGCCCCTCTGGCTGGTAGTGTTTTCAAGTCTGAGACTACGCTGCGACTGCACTGAAGGCGGTCGGAATATGCTATTGATTTGGCTTAAAAAATTTAACGGCTAGTTTTACAAGATCCCCTGTGATTACGGTAAAGATTAAATCAGCGAGTTCGGCAGAACTATGTTGGAGACCAGACCACCGAGGAGCATGACAGAGGTATCTGTTTCGATTAAACACAGACCTCCGCCGTTTCAAAACACGCTTAAGGGGCATAATTTAGTTCGTACTCGGTTCTAAAACTCCTCATGGAGAGATCGAGGGTGAACTTTTGCTGATCTGTCAACAAACCTTCCTTGAGATAATTTTTCCATGGATGCGTTTCACAGACACAAACTGATATTTTTACATTTATATTTACCTTCATAATGGGTGGTTCGCGATATAAAACTAATTGCAATTTTTAGACGGTAATACCGCATGATATAAGCGACGTTGAAAGAAAATGAGAGGTCGTCGCACGTTTTGCACTTCGTTACTCCTTCCGAAATGAGCACTGAATATTTTTGTCACAACTAAGCGCCGATAATGCCGTATTGGAGTCTCAAAATGCCAATTGTTTAACCCATTAGTGTAAGGTGCTTTCTGTTCCCAGGAAAGGGACAGTTAAAGGTAAACACAATCCGTTACAGAAAAAAATCAAGTGGCTCTTGGAGCCAGCTCATTCATGTTATGGCTTAAGTTTGTATTCATATCTTGGACTTGTTGAATATTGGTACAGTCGAATTCGGTTTATGTGAAATTTCAAGACTTTTGGAATAAATTTTCTTTTCTTTTTGGGTAGTTGTGGGAATTGGAAATAAGGTTGTGTGGGCTGGAGGTGGGATGGGCAGAGGTCATCAGACAGACAGTGCCCTTACTGTTGGTTTGTGTGCCGAATTTGTGGGGCGGAGGATGGGCTGGCTGGGCATGATCAGGCATCAAATGTTGCTCTAGCAGCAAAATATATGTAACCCTCATCTTTCACGATCATTCACACTATTCTGAAATATTCCTTGCCCGTTTCTGGATATCTTTTGTTTTTAACAAAGCGGCCGTTGCATTTGGTTTTTAACAAAGCGGCCACAATCGTTCTTAACAGAATTTCAAGCCTTCATATTGTCTGATTTTCACATATTAATATTTGCGTAGTCACCAACCAGATGAGAGATAAAACCACCTGAAAAGTAAACAAATGGCTAGTCACGAAAGTAACGCCATTTTTCCCTACAAAAATTCGCCGGTTCCTCATGTAAGCCAATAACAATAGAAGGCACATATGTGAAAATCAGTGTGTGAATACCCCTGAACGTTGAAAATATATCAAGTCGAGGGAACAGTTTTGGTCCCGGTCAGCATTTTTGGCAACAAAGTGAAAACATAACGGTCAAAAAGATGAAACGTATGGACCACTTGCAAAGCCAATTGTTTCTCGAATATTGCTCGTGTTAAATATTCGATAGTGACACCTCATTTACATCTACATCCTCTTTTATCGAGTTGGTGAATTCTGTACAGACATCAGGCTTGAAATAAGAACGTCTGTGATCAAGAAACGGGCAGGGAATATTCCACATAGTGCAAATAATCGTAAAAGATGGTCGCGGAAAAGCGATTGCGTTACACTCGGTAAGTTGTAAGATGACATATGATCACGTATCAAACAAAAAAACAGTATAAATTCTCAGTCTGCATTTTGTACCTAGTCTGCATTTTGTACCTAGTCTGCATTTTGTACCTAGTCTGCATTTTGTACCTAGTCTGCATTTTGTACCCGGTCTGCAGTCTGCATTTGAACTGACCGGATTGGTATTGCTGTTTTTGTTTGAGCGAGCCTCGAGTCCGGACCGAAATAACGGAGCTCGAAAGGAAATTTTATACTATCTTGGCCGCTATAATTGATGTGTTGACTGTATGTTGAAGAGTTCCCGAGGACAAGCACAATGATAGAGCGATGATTATTTTATACCAACTGAAGACGAACGCAAATGCGCGGCTTGCCAATATGGCTGCCTCTAATGCTGATGCTCTTCTGCATGGTCACAACGTGTTTTGAAATGAACCCGCTACAGGTCCCCTACTGTAGGTGTGAACAGTTCGCCTTTTCGACTCAAGTTGCATTTTTAGAAGTTCGGAAATGTGATTTGAGGTTATTATTGTTTTTAAACCATAAAAACATGTTATTTCTTTCCACGCGAGTTTCTGAGCTTCATCGAAATTAATTTTGACTTTCACTAAGCGGGGAGGGGTAGCATGCGAGACTACTTCTGTTTACGGTCCACAATGCAACTACCGTCCACGGAATACAACTTCCGTCCACGGAATACAACTTCCGTCCACGGTCGACAACTTCCGTCAACATCTGCTCCACCACGATCCCTCATTCATTGCTTTCAGCATGAATGAGCTAATGAGCCCACTTGGATTACTTCAGACACACGTTTCTTGACACATTCCCCTTCTACTCTCTTGAAGTTTTATCATCATTTCTTGGTAGTTCACCCTTTGTCCCAAACAGTATGGTAGAAATTGCTCAAAGGTACAAACTGACCTGGCTACACGCCGCGTGGAACTATGTAGACTATGATCAAATCAGCATTCCAAATTTACTTCATCACAGTTTGGCTCAAGGCTCTGTAGTGCTCAATTGTTATCTCGCTGGCAGTGCCCATGGGTGGTATCAAGCGAATCCTGTGTTCTGATTGGCTACCCAAGCGAGCAAGAGATTGTCCGCTTTGGTTCCGTGCAAAAAAAGAGAATTGCTTGCAGCGAACTTTCAAAAAAGTTCGTAATTTTTGGACATGGTCGGAGATGGAGTCGCTAAAAGCGGTGGAAGACAATCAAAATAAAGGAGAAATAAACGACTCTCGTGGGTTTATTGTGCTACAAAACAGTTGGCTTTCTTTCCCGTTTCTCGAAATAAAAAAGTAGTTCTTGATTCTTAATAAGGGGAAATCTTAATCCTACATAATAAATCTTTCATTGACCAAGCTTGTTTGGTCAAAATTGTCATTACAGCAAACATATTGGTATTTTATTTTATGTCTAGATATGACATAATACAAGGTGACCATCGAGTGACCGTCGAGCATTAAATAACTACACATGTTCGATAGCTCTGGTATTAAAGTTTATGTTGACATTGGAGAAGATCCTACCACATGACTCGTACAGGGGATCGTAGAAGCATTCAACAAAAAACTTCCAGATTTTACCATACAGCCCCAGTGGGATCAAAAACAAGCGGACAAATGGAGAGGCCACCCAAATCATAAAAAAGCTCAGGGAACCACAAACCAAGCCATAGATAAAGGACAGAAGACCGCCGAACACAAAGGTCAGTACCCAGTATGTGCCGAGGATAGTGCCTTCATAAATTGTTTTGGTAAACTGGTGAAGGCACCGAGGGCTACCAACTGTTGTTGGCTCGCAGATCACATCTGAATAAGCCACCTATAAAAACGAAAAACTTGGTCAGTGTTCTAACGGAAATTTTCTTTACCGAGACTCTCGAGTTCATCAATTTCAAACGAAAACCACAAATTAGGTGATTATCATTTGCAGGAGTCAATCGACAAGATTGTTCATGATATATTTGTGTGGCGCTACCTAACAGAGAGAAATCGTTGCGATAGGTGTAAAAGACGCCGCTTAACAGAGAGAAATCGTTGCGATAGGTGTAAAAGACGCCGCTTAACAGAGAGAAATCGTTGCGATAGGTGTAAGAGACGCTGAGATGTACAAAGAACAAACATTGGTAGCAAAATAATACCAATCAATAATCCTATTATTGACTGGTGCGCTATACAACAATAGTTTTTTAAATATTTAAAAGAAAAAGGAGAACATATCTTCCTACTACGCCAGATTATACCTTTTATGCTTAATCACTAATCATTGATTAATTATTTTTTGGATTAATCATATTTCGTGTCTGGGGTCGCGATATCGCACTGATAACGAATAACAACTTGAAGATGTCACGATTGGTAAAGTTGATGGCGAATAACCGGATGTTAAGAAAAGCGAGAAAGAGGAATTGGAAATGAAGAATGGGGAGTAAGGAATGGGGAATGAGGAATGAGAAATGAGAAATGAGAAATGAGGAATAAGGAATGAGGAATAAGGAATGAGGAATGAGGAATGAGGAATGAGGAATGAGGAATGAGTAATGAGGAATGAGGAATGAGGAATGAGAAATGAGGAATGAGGAATGAGGAATGAGGAATGAGGAATGAGGAATGGGGTATGAGGAATGAGAAATGGATAATGAGGAATGGGGAACGAGGAACGAGGAACGAGGAATGGAGAATGAGGAATAAAGAATAGGAAATGAAGAATGAGGAATAGGAAATGAAGAATGAGGAATGAGGAATAGGAAATGAGGAATGGAGAATGAGGAATAAGGAATGAGGAATAGAGAATGAGGAATAAGGAATGACGAATGAGGAATGAGGAATGGGGTATGAGGAATGGAGAATGAGGAATGAGGAATAAGGAATGAGGAATGAGGAATGAGGAATGAGGAATGGGGTATGAGGAATGGGGTACGGGGAGTGGGGAGTGGGGAATGTGGAATGGAGAATCCAGAATGAGGAATGAGGAATGGAGAATGAGGAATGAAGAATGAGGAATGGGGAATGAGGAATGGGGAATGCGGAATGGAGAGTGAGGAATGGGAAAATGAGATGGGAATACAAACAGGAAATGGTAAATGGGAATTTTTTTAGATTTATTGTCTATAATGCGGAATAAATATTTTTCAGCAAAATTTTAGGAACGGAATGAATTGATGATAGCGAAAGAATTTACCCTGACTTGTCTCGTTATGTCACTATCAGAAGCTAAGCGAGTTATGAAAAAGGGAATAATTTTGATTAACATCAAAACTCGAGGCTCCAGTCAAGTGTTCGTTCACACTTGATGAAGGACGAGATTATTCATATTTGTGGGAAACCCAAGGAAGTTCAGGAGTCTGATACATCACCCGCTATTAATATCCTTTTAAATTTATTATCAGCTTGGCGCGTCTTATGGTCGTGACATTATTCTTTGAAATAACTTTTCAGTTTCGCTTGCAGCCGCAAGCTTGAAAAGTGAGGCACGTGCTTTTTGTCTGATCAAGAATAATTACTTTCGGAGAATGAAATGGAAACTGTTTTGAATTAAGTTTTCAATTGTGAGTTCGTTTGTCTTTCGGAGATGGGTAGCAACTGAGCTGGACTCTGGAAAAAATTTAGGCACGTGAGGGCGAACTTATTGAAACTACAATTTATTTAATTTTGATAACCAAACCTACTCCCTCCTCTGAAAACTTGTGAAAATATCAAAGAAATTATTTTCGTTACTTGCGTAGCTCCAGAGAGTGACATAACCGTGAAACAAGTCGCGGTAACTTCTTCCGATTTATTTATTCCGTTCCTTCAATTTTGCCTCAGTCTGAACGTTTTGAAAAAAAAAATCGTGAATATCGATAATCACCGCCGAAAAATATCAAATACCGCATAAAAAAACCAATAAATCTAAACATTTTCGTTGATCTCAAACAGAATTTCCTATCGTTGACTTTGCTGCGTTCAAATCGTCCATGAAAACTGATGATGGTTAGATAAAATCGTGCGAATGTACATACGTAAACCTCTTACCTTCAAAAAAGCGTTATTATTCTGCGGATCCCTGTCTTCATGAAATAATGTTGCAGTATCCATTCTGTTTGTTTCGGTATTACCTATCCCTTCATCAAATCTTCGATAAACAGTTAGGTGTAGTATACAACTGTGACAGGTACGATGTTGAAACCCAAATGTCGCTATGGGGGAGCTTTTTTAGGCATTCGAATTTTATGTACTCTGCAGAGTTTCGAAACTACTTCGAAAGTATAAAGGGGGTAAGTTTCTAAACTTAAACTGTGGTGCTGCGTCGGTGGGAGAGTGTGAAAGGGTAATTTAGAATTATCAACTAAGTTGATAACGTAAATTGGCCACTGTAAAGAGTTCAAAAGCTGACGTTTCGAGCGTTATTAGACTTCATTAGAGCGATTGGAGGAATTTTGGGTTGCCTGTGGGATTATTTGCAGAAAATGGAGCTACGCTATTAGTGGGAATATAGTGACGAGAACACAAGAATGAATTAGTTCAATGAAAAGCGTTCTTTGATACCGTGAGGACTAATATAAGAGTGCCGATTTGAAAGACAAATTTTTGTTCTCGAGTTTTGCAGCTTTCCGAGCTGCTTAGATTTAGAGAAGGCCGCAAACTGCCATATGTTGCTTAGAACGGTTGGGGAGATTAAAGTGTCGGTTAAATTTCCGCAGAGCTCCATACTATTGTAAAACAAATCTGTTTTCCCAGTGGAAATGTATTGCCTTTGTCATTGTTTTCTCTATCCAAGAACTGATTGCATAATGTAGTATGGGGCTGTTCGGAAATGAAGTGTCTAGCGACTGGTTAGGATGCGTCCTTATCATTTCTTTCCATATCGCGAAGGTGTTCTCGGCATCGGTCATCTAGTCGTCTTCCCGTTTCACCGATGTATAACTTTTTGCAATAAGTGCAAGTTAATTACGCAGTAGATGACATTGGCAGAGGTACACGTGAGGTGATCAGTGATCGTAATGGATCTCTTACGTCCCGACATTTTCTCTGCGCTATGAATGAAAGGACAAGTTTTGCATCGTGAGCGAGCGCATTGGAAAGTTCCAGGTTGGTCATTGCTTTGAAATTAACTTCTGACCAAAAAGTTGCATATGTTTATGTCACGTTTGAATGAAATTATTGGAGGCTGCGAATTACTATGTTGTAAGGTCTTAGCGAGCGGAATGTTGTCAATTGTTAATTAGGGGTGTCACTAGAGTGTTGTTGCTGTTTTGCGTCGTCTCAATAAATGTTTTGTTACACCGGTTAGTAAGCTTCTTTTGTTTTCCATATCGCATACTTTCGTTCATTATTGTTTCATTTATAATCATTGGCGTCAGTTACACTTCCAGTTTCGCATGCATTAATTTTCAGTTTTTCCTGCGTGTATAAACTTAGTTTTCTTTATTCAGGGGGCCTTTCCCTTTTTTTCTGTAGTCACGATAGTCGCAGTTCGCTTTCGAGCAGTATTTACGTTATTCATTTCGTCTTTGGACAATGTTTTCTCGTCGAGTGCAAGTGCAGTTTTTCAGTAATCGTAACAATGTATGTATCGTCGTTTCAAGTTGGTTGTATTTCTTTCCTATCACCTTTACTTAATTAATTGTCGAAATTTTAAATCGCTTTGTATTAGTTAATCGTGGTGTTGGAAAGTTACAGTTACCGCAGTCACATATTTTACCCTGTTCTACGTCGAATGTAAATTCTCTTTCTTTGCCGATTTTAATGCCCTTGCTTTTCCCTGAATTAAATTATTTCAAAAAAAATTTTTTTTTAAACTTCATTTTGTAAAAAAGATACGGTACCATGAGAGAATAGAACCTCTCTAGTCGCCAACTGCGCTTCCCGAATTTCTCAGAAAGTGTAAACATTTTACCTCCGCTGACCAAAAAGTTCGAAGAATGTTGAACCACGAAACGGTATTCAGGAATGACGAAATCATAAGTTGATAGACCTGAGGTTTGCAATAAGCATTTATTTCGCAGTTCTTCTATTTGTTACATTGGCATTTCCTGAGATTCAAATGATGAGCGACGACTTGTAAAGGATAAACTCTTAAAACTTTGCTAATATCGCTTGTGAAGTTCTTCGAATCGATCATGGGTGCTGAGGAAAGTAGACGTGTGCCTCGAAATAACAACTCACTGCCTGACATCATCTCCGCTTTATATGAGCAAGCTAACAATATCAGTCAAAGCTCACGTCGTCCATCGGTGACCGAGTTCTCCCAAAACCCTGAACGGTATTCTGGGTTCATCTTAGTCGTAGTCCTTTCCACAGGAAAGATGGCAGTTATGACAAGACATGAAGCGCGCGCCAAAGCAGCACAGATTAAAATCATTTCTGATAACAGCGAATCATTGAACACAGACTTCTTTCAGTCTTCTTCCAATAGCGACAACGTTTTGGTATTTGACCCTGCAACAGGAAAAATTCAAGCCCGCGATAGGGTGGTACGAAATCCCTATCAAAGGAGTGGAAACTTTTGGGAAACCTTGCAAGGAAGCTCCACAGAAGAAGTGTTGATGTTCGACCCAACGACAGGGAAACTTGTAGTCCGTGCGAGGGAGAAATAACATCGCTATTAAAGGAGTAGACTTTGTCTTTAGTGTTTCACTAGATATTACACAGGGCCGGACGGCTCTTTGTATCTTTTACTTGTTGCTTCTTAGCGACCTTTTATCGATTAAACGGGAGATTCTCTAAATAACTAGAAAATGGAGCGACTAGGCATTAGTTCGTTTTTTAATTCATGTATTCCATAAATCATGCTATTGTCAGTCAGTATCAGCTTTCAAGGAAAACAATGTTGGTGTTACTGCAGTGGAAACAAGTCCTTCGTACATAGGGTTTTCCAAGGAGTTAGTTTGCACGAGTAATACTGCTTTTATATAGAGCACGGGTTATCACGTCTACTTTATCTAATGCGTCAATAAAATTTTATCGGTCGAGGGAATGTCCACCTCGCCGGATTTCAATGCGATGAATCATCTTTTTTTCCCAGGAAAATGAAAGTAAACAAGATTCTCTTTTGTTGAGGTATTAAATCGAAAACCTTTCTAATTTACTGCACACATGGACCGCTAAATCTAAATATATCAGCACACCAACTTTGAAGGAAATATTTAATGACAGTCTCTTTAGTTCTTTGGCATTCGATGCCCCAAATAGATTTGTCAGAGTTAGTACCTTGCTAAGAAATATCAAGCTTCCTTGCACACAAACACCGAAGTATCCTACACACAGACAATTTAAAGGAATCCTTTACTACATTACCCTTAAATGAGACATTTTCTTGACTTAAATATCGAGTAACAGTCTCTCAACTCATTACTTTTACGCTTTTTTATGCTGATAAGGTCGGTAACAGTGGATGAGAATCAATATCTAATGCTGCAAATATCGCAATTGTTTGTTCATCTCTAGGCTATTCAACGGCTTTTTTTTCCTACGTACTGTTCATGTTGCAACGCAGTTCAAAAATAGGATTTCCCTTTGAATCAATTCATGTGTGCGAGATATTTCTCAAGATTTTCACCGGTTTTCCGGTGGATCTCGTACGCTTCCAGCCAGATGCGACCTTTCATCAACACTTGGTAAATGGTATTTTCACTCGACCAAATGCCCTTGTTAAAATGGCAAATTTCCGTCAGACCATCGTGTATGCCATAAACGTGATCTTCGCTGCTGGAAAACTGGAGAAGAGATCCGTCCTTCTTCCGTAAAACAGAAGAAGGAGAACTTACAACTAGTACGGGGCATTCGTTTGGAAACTCTTCCGGGACGTAAACACGAAGCGTGTAGCTGTTCCCGTTGTTTGTGTTCACTCGCCACTCGACTCTGGTGTTTCGAGCTGACTTGGGGTTGATCCAAGTCACGTTATTCAGCTTGCCATCTATGATGTCTTTTTCAAATCCCAGGCGTGTTTGTTGCTGTTTGCTCCAACTCATCCTTAAGAGGGCGACTTTCCTCGATGCTTTCACTTTGAGGATGGCTTGATGAGTGTTACAGAAGTCCTGCTTGGTTGTTTCAGACAATCAAAATAATTCCACGACGTACGGATTTCCCAGAAACGAACGGTCAATTTTCATGTGTCAAGAAATGAGAATTGAATTACAATCTCAACCATTAAGTTAATAATACGAATAACCAAACTGGTTTCTTAGAAATCATAGTCATTTCATTCAGTGACACTCAGAATATGGTTAGCTAGGGGATAGTTGCCTTTTTTTTTTGTTCTGTCCAAGATTTGAAGGTATTTAGAATAAAATGGAAAGCACCGCACAAATGTATCCACTTATTCAGATATTCAGAGAGTAGAATCTGAGTGAGTGACGTATGCCGACACGTATTATTTAAATCTTATCATTTCAACAACTTCCTGTACGCTGGAGGTCATAGTTCTGCTCGACATAACGGCTAGAGTTTAATAGCTTTCTGAGAAATCATTAACAAACAAATATTGCCTTTCATAGTATTGAATTATTAAAACCATTTGCTGTGAAGCATCGTAGTTTTTAAACGTTTTCAGATACATCACAGCCACAGAAGATTTAGTCAGAGCTCCCCGAATAAATTCAGTGAAAAAGACAAAGATGCTTAAAAAGGCAGAGTTGAATTTGTTTCTATGCAAAAAGACAAAAATAGGTCTCGATACGCTCTAGATCCATGAGTGAATAAATTAAGCAATTCCGGGAAATCATAATTATTCACGTTGCAAAAACAACCATTATGTTGACTCATGAACACATTGCTTCATTTTCGCTGTTTTCGAAAACAGGGTGTTCTTTCTTCCTTTGAAGAAAACCAAATCAGTTTCAACTTATCCGGAAGCACCATTTTAGCCACTTTCATAAATAATTTGGGATTTCTAATTCTGCCGCTTGATGTCGAGTCAGGGAGAATTCCGTGTGGCTATTTATGCCAGTGAATACAAGCAAATTTGCGCTTGGGTCTTAAAAGAGCGAAGTTTAGAAACCGGCGGAGATCTGTTCGGGCTTTGGAACAATGATCACACCGCAGTGATCCAGCTCGTTTTGGGGCCTGGCAAACATTGTCAAAGGACTTCGAGTTCGTTTTACCAAGATGTGAGGTACTTGGAGAAGGTTGGCTCCCATTTGACTAGCAAGGAAGGGCTCTGTCACATTGGTGAATGGCATTCTCATCACACAATCGGTCTTAAACGACCAAGTGGCGGAGATGAACGAACGGTTTGGACAAACATGCCTAAATATGGGCTGAGTCGCTTTCTACTGTTCATTGCAAACATTGAAAACCGAGATTTATCCGCCAGCGCAGGATGCTTCCTGTTCGAATTCGAGAAGAATACCAACAAGAGGAAGCCGGTTCGGCAGGGAAAATTCGTTTTATTGAAAAATGAAAGCCCCTTCCGTTCAAGGTGTCATGATGTTTTAGCGGAAGATGCAGAGTGTCTGAACCAGGAGGAAAAAGTGGGTTTACTGGAATTGTCCAAGAAGGCTATCTCCGTGCCCAAAGAGCGGCCTGTAGTTACACAAAGGCAGCCATTTGATGAAGAACGGGGCGGTGGCAATGAAGATGGTAGGCTGTCAATTCTTTATGAAATAAGAAGGCGCTGTTCTTTTCAATTCCGCTGTGTATTGCTGTAAAACAAAGCACAGATTGCTTTTCATAATGGTGATAAAAATTGAACACCTGTCCTGTTTTTTTCTTATTTATTGAGAAAGTAGGTTTTTGGATGAGTTAAATTACTTTGATTCAACAAAACTAAAATCCAACATAGACATATAACAACATTGTAGGGGGACTTACAAATGGAAGACGTTTAGCATAATTCTTAACTCACTGGTTAAGCGAAGGAACAGGAACTGAAGAAAGAGAAAAGCTGTTAATGTGACAATATGGATATAATTGCAGATGTGTTATTCAAAACCAATTATAATCATAGATCATACAAGTCGCAGCTAGTTCAGTTCAGTGTCAATTGTTAGTTGAAGAAACATTGAATTTAGCGAATTAACATTTAATATACTTGATATTCTGAATATCAAGTTTAGAATGCCTTTATAGCTCACAAGATTTGCACCTAAGGTGGTGAAGCAAAAGATTCTCGATACCATTAATCAACTTTGCTTAAATAGAAAGTAGCATTTTGCGAGTCAATATTGTTGCAAATGATAAGTTTATTTTTAACTAATGAAATAAATTTCGTGAAGATGAAGAAGGTTAATTTACAGAACATTTTCCATTCAATTCTGAGCAAAGCACATGTATCATGTCTAGTGCAAATTGTACAGTCGCAGAGCAAAGACTGCCATGATGATAAAACTTATTAAAATTTGCTTGCACAAGTTGATTGTTGATTGTGAGGGTGTGCGTGACGCAACTACAGAGTAACGCAATGAAGACTCAGGGCTTCCTGTGTTTCCCGGAAAGCGATCTATCATATCTAAATTTAGTAACATCAAAACATATGAAAATGAACTTTCTTCTACACAGTTGCAGTGACGAAGAATATTTTTTTTAACTAAGTTAGCGTGGTTAGGCAAATAATGTAGTCATGTCATATCCTCACAAGCACTCCAAGAAAGCTAGCCACATTTTTCTAGGAGACCACAGAGGTTATTCGCCCCTATTCGCGGGACACGCTAGATTAACGCTGAGAGAAATACTAATATCTCAACGAATTCTTGTTGCCTTGTTTCGCTTCCACGAAATGTTTTGTAGATCAGACACAATCTTACCCGAGACAGGTCTTTTTTTCTATCTCACAAGGATCGAGTTGACCTGTTTATATCCTTATGTCCACAGATAAAGAATTCACGGTGGCCATATATGTCAGCGAGTACAAGCAAATTTGTGCTTGGGTTTTCAAAAATCAAGATCTTGAGACGGGTGGAGATTTGTTCGGTCTGTGGTACGATGATTACACGGCAGTGGTCCAGTTCGTGTTGGGTCCCGGTACAAATTGTCAGAGAACTACCACCTCGTTCTTCCAAGACGTGGAGTACTTAGAGAAGGTTGGCTCTCATTTGACTGGTAAGGAAGGACTTTGCCATATTGGCGAATGGCATTCCCATCATAAAATCGGCCTCAAGCAACCGAGTAACGGAGATAAACGAACAGTGTGGACAAACATGCCTAAATATGGGTTGAGTCGCTTTTTGTTGTTCATTGCCAATTTTGAAACACACGAGAGTACATATGACTCGGTGAGTGTCGGCTGTTTTTTATTCAAAGAGAGCAAAACCAGTCATCGAAAGTTGTTTTCAGGAAGATTTAAGCTCTTGCCAACAGAGAGCCCTTTCCGCTCTAAATGTGTACGCAACCCAAGCTTAATAGAAGGGGCAGAGGGTCTCAATGAAAATAAAGAAATAAATTCTCTGGACGAAGTTGTCACTGGTTCAAGTGAGATGAAAGAAGATGGCGAGCGACCCTTTATGGTTCGTGACGAGTCAAAAAACCTGACTGCCAAGCAGTATCCAGCAGAAAGTCTTAATGAAAGTAACGAAATAAATTCTCTGAACAAAGTTATCACTGGCTCAAGTGAGATGCAAGAAGATGTCAAGCGACCCTTGATGGTTCGTGAAGTGTCAAAAAACCCGGCCACCGAGCACTGCACAGCAGAGGGTCTTAATGAAAGTAACGAAATAAATTCTTCGGAAGAAGTTGTTAGTGGCTCCAGTGAGGAGCAAGAAGATGTCAAGCAACCCTTGATGGTTCGTGAAGAGTCAAAAAACCCGGCCGCCGAGCACTGTACAGCAGGAGGTCTCAATGAAAGTAGCGAAATAAATTCTCCGGAAGAAGTTGTTAGCGGCTACAGTGAGGAGCGAGATGTCAAGCAACCCTTGATGGTTCGTGACGAGTCAAAAACCCCGGCCACCAAGGGCTGCAAATGCTGCTCAGTAATGTAGATCATAGGAAAGAAGTTGATACGATGTACTGATACAGATCAAGCTGAATTTTTTCTTCAGTACAGATAGAAATTTTAAGTCAGTTTATAATAACCTGCTTAATCGTAACTCCAAGGGAAATTTAGTTAATATGAATGGAAGCAAACAGCATGTAGCTACGTTTTGGTTTGCTCTGTTCATTGTGATATTTAGTGCTTTTCTTAATGTTCCAAAAGTTGATTTGGCCATTCACGCTTCCGGATAAAAAGTTCCTGTTTGAATATTCAAACAGATGAAATCTGTGATGACCTGGCCCAGACTTCGGCCGGGAATGTATATCGTCTATTGTGGCCTGTTTCAAGTTTTCAATCTCCCAAATAAAATTCAGTCGGTTCCATGATACTTAAAATAACGTGTCTCATTTCCCTCATTTACTGATTTATTCAACTACTAAATCCTGTGTGTTTTATTTTATTTTGTTACGCTGTTTGTTTCTCTAGAACAAATACAGCTATAGACTTATTCACCTGAATCCAACAATATTCGAAAACACGTTGTCATACAGCCTAAGTACTACCATGCGAGATCAGCTGTGGTGCTCAGTGTTTTGAAGGGAATGATCGATGTATCATCATTGAGCTGAATAATGATGCTTCAGATCCTAATTTTGTGGTCGTTTATGCCTGCGTCGTGAGAATGATAGGGAACAATGACTCTCTTTTGGATAGAGAGATCTTCACTTTAAGTTTCGTCTTACCTAACCTGCTCCTCCTTCCCTACTCTTTTTACCGAATGGGGTTTTTGAGTGATCGAAGATGATAGATATCATAAGTTCCTCTGCGGCTAGCCAAAACCCTTTCCCTCGCAAACTCTCGTGCGAGCTTAAAGCTCGCAGGTCTAATCAGAGGCGAGATTGGAGACCCGCAAAAGTATTCCTCAACGCTGCCCAAGAGAGCGAGCCAAGTATACTCCCAATGAAAAAGGGGGAAAGAAGCTAGGAGATGGGATACTTGCCTCCGACCGTTGTGATTCGGGTCAGATTCCCTGCTCTCTGAAATTCTTACTTAAAATTCCATCGGGCAATCCTGTCATCCGTAAAGACCTCGAGGAAACACTTCTTTTACTAAGTTTCCACCTTTTGGAACCTAAGCTTTAAAAAGAGTTTTGTGCAATCTAAAGTTCTGAGTTAAAAGGATGGTTAAGCAAATTAATCAATTTCTATTTTTGTCATATGAGCCTGTAACGCTCCTGAATTACCGATGTCTCGGGTTAATAAAATTGAAAATTTTTGTCTTGTTGCTCTTAATATTAAATCAATGAAAGAGCTTTTTCCTTTTGTGTTGCTTTTCTTTCTTTCTTTCTTTTTTTTTTTGAAATAGATGTTTTCAATTTTTAATAATTCTCATTACTATATGCGTCCTCTCGTACGTTCTGCGTGACAAACACCTCAACTTGACATGCTTGGTTCGTGTAGGGAGGATTCCCGGAAATTAAGGAAGATGTTTCATAACTCGAAACTTCTGTTGCATGACACTACAATTTTCTATAAATATACCGAATATTTGTCGCTAAAATAAACAACAGTATATGTTTTTCAAGACTAACGCAAAATATTGTTGCAGTTTTGCGTTGAGCACTTCAGGCTGAGCAAGATAGCGAGTGGCATGTCGAAAAAAAAAAATGACTGCAATCGTATAAGTTTTTTTTCACAACGTAATGTTGCGAGGCTGTTTCCAAGAAGACTTGTGCGTGAAACAAAAGCGAGGCCAGATAAAAAGAGTTTTGAAACTTGATTTGTTCTGTTGTTTATTGAATTCCGAGAAAAAGCAAGCCTCACACGAAATTGATCAACCAATCAAAGCATAGTTGAATTTCCCAGAAATGATAAATATCAACTTATACATTTCAATTTCAGTAAACTGTTGTAGTTTTGGTTTTGTCAGGAGGAACAAGACTTACATACGATGAGCGACAAAGACGATCAGCGCAAAGTAGTCTGCTTTTTGCAGCCTAATTTTACCGATCTTCTTAGAGATAAAGAAGCTGTTAAAAAGCGGTTTTCCGTGACAGTATTTGATGATTGTGACACAATTCACGTCCGCGTGGAAAGTAACAATAAAGATGAACCAGAAAAGCGAGTCGCCTTCAAGATCTTTCGAGAATTACCTTCGTGTGAAGAGGTTCAGAAAATTGCTTCTGATCTAGTTTCCACTCTTCCTGCGCTCGAGGAACCACAGATTGCAATCCTGGTATCTGAAGATGACCATGTCAGAGCTTGTGTGAGACCAAAGTCAACTGATCCTTTGGAGCAGGCGGCTGTTTTGCGGCAACCGCGGAAATCGCAACTCTATTCACGAAGCCGTGGCATATTAGAGTCGAAATTATTGGAGGAACGAAAAGTTGCAGTGGTTGGTCTTGGAAGTGGTGGCTCCCACGTGGCAATAGAACTTGCTAAAGCTGGAGTTGGAAAGTTTGTCCTCGTCGATTATGATCGAATTGAGCTGCATAACATCATCCGCCATGTTTGCGGCTTGAGCGATCTTGGACGTCTGAAGACCAATGTCATGCGAGACCATATCTTGGACAAGAATCCATTTGCAGAGGTAGAAATACACAACACCAACATCAACAGCCTAGAAGAAGCCAGAGAAATTCTGAAAGGATGCGATGTTATTATCGCCGCGACCGACAACATAAGAAGCAGGCTCAACATCAATACGCTATCAATTGAGCTTGGTATAACGTCTCTCTACGGAAAATGTGCTGTCAGAGCTGCTGGAGGAGAAGTGTTGAGAGTGAGACCAAAGGCTGGCCCGTGCTTCTCGTGCATCTATGCTGATGCCGCGATGGAAGCCTCCGCAGAGGAGATGTCCTCATTCCGTCAAGCCCGCGAAGCCAATCCTCCTTACATTGGAGACGACGAAGTGAAAGCCACGATTCAAGTTGGGCTGTCTTCTGACATCATTCCAGTCGCTAACATGCTGGTGAAGCTGGCGTTAGTGGAACTGTGCCGGGGTAAGGATAGTGCACTGGCCACACTGGAGAATGATCTAGAGGCTCCCTATTATATGTGGGCAAACCGCAGAGAGCAGCAGTACGCTGGATACCCACCCGAAGGTTTTCACCGGTTTGATCAGCCTGGAATTCTGAGATGGTATCCCATGACGAGCGAGAGAAAACCCGATTGCAAGACATGCCAAGATATGGGAGCTAGTGCAGAAAATGTCGACTTTTTCTCGTCTTCAGACGGATAATTGACTTATACGTTAGATCTATAGGAACAATTTGTTGCAATGAAAGAATGATTAAACTATGTTCACTATTTGTCATTGGTTTGGTTTTTTAGTTAATTCAGCGTCTTTAAAATTGCCATTGAGCTTAAATAACATGTTATAATTCGTCTGCCAAAACGGAAGATATCACCGGTTAGTCTCAGAGTTATTGATGGTCTCTGCACAATAGGGAAACTTCTACTTTAGGATGGAAACTAGATTGCTTTTAAACCACTGTTAGCTAAAAGTTATATTCAATAAAATATCCATGTTGTATCTAGAAGGTGCTCGTGATTGCTTCAATTTCTGCATTGTCGCTATATTTATCCAACTTTCGCGTGATTGTTTTAAACAAGTGGATATACCTTGTCACACAGTTTCCGAGAAAGGCTAAAAGTCCCTCACCAACCGTATGAAGCTTTTTCTGAGAAATAGGGATTAAAGTGGTTGAATGCAGTAAGCACTGAAGTGTACTGCAGCTGATGAATATATCCGATACGATGCTTCGGTTTCTTTGATTTGAGCGGAAGCATATTTCTAGCACACATATTTCATTCCTACCAAAGAAAGTTCCAGTTAAACTTACTCTATACGCAACAACACTGTTTTGAAATGTGAAACTTTCCTTAAAATGAAGTTTACCTTCTGGAATATTTGATTCAGGCAAAGAAAGTAAAACGTGTATAGCAGGTTTATAAAATTTATTGATACAATATATCTCCACAACGTTACTAAACAACAACTGACATCAAATACTTGAACGAACTCGTTTGATACAGTTCAATCAGTCTATACAGCTTTGCATGAAGCGAGAATTACGTGAAAGAAATCTGTCCTTTAGAATGAAGTACCGTTACAATGAAACCAAAATTCGAAGCAAATGTCGCGTCAACCATTATTGACCAGACCAGAAATTGTTCCAAAGATGCTCTTTCCTTCTTCGTTGCCATAGTTCAAGAACACAAAACATAGTCTTTGATGATTCTTTGTCGCAAGTGGAAGGCGTATACAGTGTAGTTAAAGAAGCCTCCAGATCCACTCTTGTTCATGTCCAGCATAACCGTACGATCGGAATTTTGGGCCTCTCGTTGCGGCTTTACCATCAATTTTCCGGTAGCAGGGTCGAAAACCAGCGCCTCAGAACCGCTTCCTCTATTCTCAAGGTGCTGCTGAATGCGTTGAGGATTTGACGACATATTCTAGATCAGCTTTCGGTAAGTTTTTCGGTTCTCCGCGTAGACGATAATGGTTGCTGTCGCTTTGCGATGTTACAGCGTCGCTCACTTTCGGTTTCAGGCTGTTTCCTCATTTAACTCGTTGTCAAAATGACGTCATATCTAGATATTTTTCTTAGAAAGGACTCTGAGCGTGTTGTGTGACTGAAGTTCTCCAAAAAGTTGTCAATGAAAAATAATATTTTGTATAGCAAAGCGGAAGTCAATTGTTCCGCAAAGGCTTTACCCCTTTGGCAATTACATATCTATTCAATGTTATATAATATATTTCCTTGATAAAAATTTCCTTAGTTGCTGTAAGCTGTCAGAATCGTAACGCAATGGACCAAACAGAGAAAAAGAACGAACAGGATGCAAGAGAATTCGACTTTAGGTTTGTAACCAAGAAAGACGAAGAAGTGAAAGGGGAGGATGGCGTGACAAATGCAGTGAAATCAGAAGTTGTGGCTAGCCGTCTTAAAGTTATCGCTAAAGGAGGAGATGTTGGAAAGAAAGAAAAGCTGGTGTTTGATCTGCAGACTGGAAAACTGATCGTGGAAAGTGAGCCAGACTCATCAGGGGACAGACAGGTCATAGAAGGCATGGCTTCCAGTGGATGGTTTGCTTAGGAGAGTCGTTCTTTTTAAATAATTTGATCACATAAGAACTTTTTTAGGCAAAGAATTGCACTATTCACTACAAGAGACGCATAAAGGACCCCACGTAGATGGAAATGTATGCCATATGAAGGCTATAATACATATGCATTTTTGAATTTTTGTTATTTGCATATCAGGCGATAACTGACGTTATATTTTCTGTCAGTGAAAGATTCTCCGAATGTTTGTAGCTGTCGCACAAAACAGAGACATCACTGTTGTTAACTTCAAAAACAATTCCAATAAAATGTGATAAATAAAATTATATTCCTTGAAGTGAAATTTTTTTCCGAGAAACTCATTGTTAGCTCTCACGTAAAAGGAAGATATCATTGTCGTAAACGTAAAAAACATTTCCCGGAAAACGCGGATCACTTAAAAACAACAATGATGGTGTTAAAAACGTCGTTAGTCGAAACTGAGGTAACAATCAAAAATGAAACTTTTGTTTTATTGTTAACATGTCCGTGATCGAAAGTAACGTTTCTAGGTCGCAATTGCTTCTAAACTTCTTTACAGATTCTCGATTGAACATAAATGACCTTGAACGACATTGAAACCAAAATATACCCTTTTCTCGGAAGAGCTTAAGTCATTTGGTAAATGCGCATATATCATTTGTAAACAAAAGTCAGTAAAGCGTTGCTTGAAAGTGATTTGAGCGCAGTAATAGTCTGTGGATTCATGCTCGAAGTAAGCAGCAATGGCATCTGGTGATAAAACAAACCCAAGAGTTTACCTCTTTGAAGACGATTGTGATATGATTTTAGAGCTTGTTCGCTGTCGCCCGACAGAAAGCACAGGCGGAGATCTGTTTGGTCTGTGGACAAACGACCGTGAACCTGTTCTTCACATAGTCACTGGTCAGGGAAGAGAAACTGTGAGTTCGCCTCAGGAAGTGTTCTCATCAAATAACGCGTCCAACGACTCGAGAATTGAGGATCTTGGCGCCAGACTGACAAATAAGTTTCAATTGAGTTATTTAGGAAAATGGCAGTATATGCCTCGTTCAAAGCAAACTGAAGCGGAAATAATAGCGACGGTTAGCCAAAACACGCTCTTTAAATGGAATGGAATGAGGGATTTTCTACTCATACTGGCAAGTTGTGATGATCAGTCTTCAAAAGTGGAACTAAATCCTTATTTTCTATCACGATTTTCAACTACAATGAGAGGAGAAATTGCGAATGTACTTCCTAGACATAGTATATTCAAAGAAGATGACGACATAGCGAGTATTATTGACTCCCTCATCGACAGAGGCAGTTTTTGGGAGGACAACATAAACAGAGCGGGCTCAGCTACGAAACAGAGAATAGAAGGGAATAGAAAGGAAACGGAAGCCCTCGACCAAAGAGAAAGTTATGAAAATCAAACATCGGACAAAATCACCTCGAAGAGCCCCGAAACCTTTCGCGAAAACAGTGATCCCTACCTAAAGCTGTATATGTTCCATGATCACCTGCAAATGATTAGGGATGTTGTTGGTTGTCACCCAGATGCAGAGGCTGGGGGATATTTATACGGTTTATGGACAAACGATGGCGAGCCTGTCTTGCACAGAGTAACCAACAACAAAAACTCAGCCACAGAAATCGAAATTTCTTCAGAAGCCCGGTACCTGGAGTGTGTTGGCAGATGGAAGTACATGAGTGTTTGCGAAAACATCAGAAGCGAAATGAAAAGCCCACAGCCAGATAAAAGAAGCTCTGTGTTTCTAATGTTAGAGCGCGAAGAAGACCAGTTTATGCCGTCAGCTTTCTTTCTATCCGATAAAAGTTCTTTCCCAAGAAAAATGGAAATTGAAGTCCTCGATCGAAAAGGAGCCATGAAAGGAGAGAAATTTATTGACAAGGACGACCGATGTGAAGACACCGATCACGGTGAAAGACAACCATGTTGTGACCTGGCAGTCCCTGATATTAACAGATTTGAGATGGGCTTTGCGTGCAACCCGCGTCAATTAAAGGTATACCTTTTCCAAGAAGACTTTGAGATGATGAAAGACCTTGTTCTCCGTTACCCTAACGTTGAGACGGGTGGAGATCTTTTTGGTCTGTGGACATCTGATGGCGATGCAGTGCTTCATATGGTACTGGGCCCTGGTGAGAACTGCAAGAGGACAGCAACTTCATTCTATCAAGATATTCCTTACCTCCAGGAAAAAGGGGAGTTGCTAACTACAAAGTACATGCTGTGTCACATTGGGGAATGGCACTCACATCATCAACTGCACCTTTACGAGCCAAGTCATGGCGACTCGTCCACTGTCATCAGACATTATCCCCACGGGACATGTGGCTTTCTTCTGATCATTGCTAATATTTTGCCAGACACTGTTCTTCTGTCGCCTTACCTTTACACAGCAAGATCACAATATGATTCTTATCAAAAAGGAAAACTAGTTCTCTTACCTTCTCAGAATGCCTTCAAAAGAGATGCAGAAATTGCTCGAACAATTAGCAGAGGACGAGAAAAACGGTCAAATTCCCAAAGTGGCATGACCCAGTATTCCCATCACAGTCGCTTACCTCCGATACAAAGGACTTCCTCTCAATTCAACGCTTCAATAATAAGCAAAGGAAGAGGACAATATTCAAATTTCCAAAGAGGTATGGCCCAGAATCCCCCACATCATGGCTTACCTCAGATAACAGAGACTTCCTCTCAATTCACTGAATCACGCAGGGAATCAAACAATGACATTAACGATGAACCGATGGATCAAAGTTAAACTTGACTGAACACAGCCTCTGTGAAACTAAAAAAATATGAATTCACTTGCAACTCTAAAGAACGATTTCCAAGGACTGCGCTGAGTTGCCCACAAAATTTGAGTTCGGCGTTGTGTTTTCTATCAACAAAGCAACTTAGAGATTTTGTTTTTTAACAGAATTTTCGCTTTACACTGGTCATCATGGATAGCTGTCCATCCGCCTGTATGTCGCGTATGCTGAACTCAGTTTTAGAAACTGGTCCTTCGACTTCATATAGCATTTCCGAATGATGATATCTCAATTTTTTTTGCACAAGTTTTAAAAAAGGGTCATTATTAGAGATACAGTCGAACCTGTATTTAGCGGCAACGTATTGAGCGGTCACCTTGTGTTAAGCGGTTATTCGTCAAAAACCCGTAATTTTTTCCCGTTAGGTACTTTAATTTTCACCTCTATTTAGCGGTCAACCTTATTAGGCGGTCGTGGTCATCCTTGACCAAGAGAATATCAACATTTGATATTTGATATTCTCATTTGATATCTCATTTGATATTCTCTTGCCCTTGACTGAGTCCCAACGGCCTGTTTGTATTGCCCTCCACCTGTATTGAACGGTCACTTAGAGCGGATCCACTCAGAAAAACTAAGAACAATCTCTAAAGTAAAATTTATCCTATGGTTATCTCACGGAATCAATACTAGTTCTTTGAGTTCACAGTTCCTCAACGCATTGCAGATTATTTTTTTCTTCTTAATCTTTAGACTGTTAGGACAAATATCACGCAAGTCATTTGCTGGTGAACCTGTATCAAGCGGTCAACATATTTTAAATGGTCACCACGCCATTCCCGATGGGTGACCGCGCTTAATACAGGTTCGACTGTAGAGAGAAATATAATTTATTCAATCCGCCACTCTCTGATGAAGTTGCGATTTCCCAGCAGCTCTTTTTACTTGCGATGGATAATGGTTAACTTTGATAGACCACAGGCTACCCATCAAGGGTATAATGTTTTCGAAATATTGGAACAATGCAAAAAGTCGTGAGAGGATGCTCCATGCACTCTTCCCTCCCCCCCACCCCTTCTTTTATCTTAACATGGTGTCACCAGACCATAATTAAGTCTCTGTCAGATAGAACAAAGCAGTAGATTTATTGTTGTTTAATCGTGTTTTTGTTCCATTCTACCGGATCATCCAACAAATGAAAGCTATTCTGTAAAGGAACAATCACAACCAAATCGTGTACAAATTAAATCCCTTCCCATAGCCGCTGGTATCCAGGAACAATTTTTCAGGAAGGGAAACGGGGCAGGACGGGTAATATAAAAGCGTTTGATTCTGGCACGCAAATAATTAGGGAAGCTGTTTCTTAGGTCAGAAATATAGAGAATCGTTATGAGTTGAAAGGTATGAATAATTTACATTTTTTTAATATTGACTAACTCAGGAGGATTATGAGAACGTTGTAAGGTGATTGTATGGATTTCCTCTCCCAATGGTACCTCAGTACCCTGCTACAATTAATAAACAATCATAACCGGATCACGGAATCGTGTGTTATTAGAATTGACCAAGGTCGCGAACTATTAAAACAACAACAACAACAACAACAACCAATCAATGTCTCGCAAAATCACGATTGATGCGTTGTTTAGAGGAAAACTATTTCTGGACATGTCTTACAGCAATATTTTGAAAGCAGTACGTAATTTCCACGACCAATAATTAAGCTAAAGCTATCCTTCATTTCTCAGGAAAAGTGAATAATTCGTAAACTCGACCGTCTGTCAATAGACTATTAATTCACAGCAAATCATTTCTTCGATGTGACATACATTGAAAATATTTCAGTTATATGCTACTCCCTAATCGTTTCCGGGAAACACAGCTTTTGGCCGTTGAATAAAAGTTTTAAGACATTTGAAAATGAGGGGAAAATGAGGGGAAAAATTAAAGCACCTGAGTAAGGAACTACAATTGATGCCCATCGTTCTAAGTGGCAAAATTTTAGAACAGACCCACAGTTCTGAATAGTAAACAACAAAGCTAGCACCACACACAGAAAAAAAAACAAGTTCTTGAGCGGTGTCTACTCGGGTATTTTAAAAATACTCTTAAAAGCAGTACGTAAATTGTGTCCTTTGTCACATACTCTGTCACATGCGCTGCCTCTGTGCCCTATGAAGCAGTAAACATTGAGCTCCTCGCCAAATGTTAAGATGTCAAGGGCGCACAAAATCTGTATCATTCAATTGAGACCTGTGTAGTGTAGAAGGAAATCCAATGGAAGAATCCACCAGACCCAGGCTTGTAAATCCCGCTAAAAACATTCCTATCATTTCTCGTCCTAGCCTCTGCCGTCATGACAACTTTTAACTTCCCTGCATCATCCATTGTAACTTCATAGTCAGGAAAGTTTTCGGGATTCGCAAAGTAAACTGCGAGAGTGGGTACTTGAGATGCCATCCTGCAAGTTTAGGTCTAGAATGATCGAGCTTCCCTGATGGCCAGTGGCTGATACACTATAGAACTGTAAACAACGTTAAGTCCTTGTTAGAAGACATCCATGGCGTGACTTCGACGAGAAATCTCTCTCTGATTGGATTACTTTTTAAAATGTTGACGTCACCCAACCTCTTTCTCAGAAATGCAGGAAGGTCAGACCTCACATACAAGTCTCATTGAAATGCTCTTTCCAAAGAAAGCAAAATAAGAAAACAAAATAAGCTGTCACCAAAAGACAAACTGTTTGGAAGATTTGCTAATGAACGCAAAGAATACCTCGGCATATTTGTTTTTTTTTTTTTTTTTCCAAAGCTGTCCCTCAGAAAGGGTAAGCTTAACTGAAATTAAATTCATAAACATTGTTCAGTTTCAGACAATTCAGATTTACAGATTTGTTCTGTCCAATATACCGAATGATGCGTAATTCGAAACGTCTCAATGGCTCGATAGTGTCTATCAGAGAAGGTCATTTAATAATCAAGTCGGAGAAACAGCTGCGAAGAAGACAAAACTACCTATACCATGTAAGCCTCACCGCAATAACGAAATATTTAACTTTAAATCTAAATTCTTAAGCCTTTATTTGTGACCTTTAATGACTAAATCTGTTAATTCAGTGTGACTAACGATTTTAAAACCCGTACCTTGTTGAGGATAAATGCTGACTCACTTAAAAGGACTTTCCTTCCCCTTTCAACCCAGATATTACAAACAGGCTATATCGACCTTTCAACGAAAATCAGGCCGCGGTAAGTTGTCAGACATGCAAGAGTTGAATGTCACGACACCGATTGAAATGGATGTATGACTAACGTGACAAAGGAAGTCGTTGATCCTTTCAGTCAACTGGTTTTATAAACAACCAATGACATTTCGACTTCGAAACGAGTTTCGAAAACAGAATTCTTAATGACTCTCGTAGTTACAAACGAAATTTGAGTTATGAAAGATGTACTGACGGATTTTTAATGAAAAGTCACTAATAACTGTCACAATCTTGAAAATAATTAATAAACTTCCTTAAATTTCATGGCTTAATTGAAATTAATTCTATTGAAAGTGGATTTCGGACCACGGGACCAGATTCATTGACATGCAATTAGCATCCGAAATTCCCAGAAATCCACTGACACGTTGCGCATGAGTAAAGAGCTTGCTAAAAAGAAATCTTGCTGTAAACAACGCTTTCTGGCGTTCTATCTGACTCCGTATTTTAGTCTTCTCCTTCTTTAAACAGGTATGGCTGCTTCTAAGGAGAAGCTTTATATTTTCCAGCGGGAAGATGTTTTCATCAAGAGTCTTATTCTTTCTAATACCGAGCAAGAGGCTAGTGGAAATCTGTTTGGTTTGTGGACTACCGATGGCGAACCTGTGATCCACATTGTTTCAATAGAGCATTCCTGCGAAGTTGAAAAGGATCCTTCGCTTTCGCATATCGGTAATTGGTATTATGGCCATTCTTCAAAGTATTTTAGATCAGGAAGGAGTCAGAAAGACGTCGCAAATTGCAGCCATAGAACAGAGGGAAGATTTCTTCAAATGAAAATTATTATCGACCGTTCAGGACAAGAAGTCACGCTTCAGCCATATATCGTCAACTTACAGAGAGGTCGTCCAAGAGGCCTTGACGTTGAAGTTCTGAAAACTGAAAACCTATTTAGGACCATCAATACACGCAGTCGTTTGGAGGGCAGTTTTGAGAGGGAAGAAGAAATGGAATGGTCTCCCTCCGGAGATTACCCAGGCTCTACATACCCCCAAAAAGGTCCCGATGGAGAAAATTATCACGCAAGTGGAGCTGTTCAAAGGCATTTGGAAGAAGAGAGGCTTCGAAGCAATGATGAATATCTATCAGGTACACGGCGGAGAAGCAGGCTGTCTCCTTCTGGCTACCAGCGGTACACATCTAATGATTTCAAGGTGTTTATGTTTAAAGAAGATATCGAGAGGATGGAAAAGTATATTCGTGCATACCCTCATCAAGAGACTGGAGGAGATCTGTTTGGTTTGTGGACCTCCAGTGGTGACGCGGTTATACATGTTGTTCTGGGACCAGGTAAGAACTGCAAACGGACTGGCACCTCATTTTATCAAGATATTCCCTATCTGCATAGAAATGGCAACCTTCTTACTCAAGACTACTTGTTGTGCCACATTGGAGAATGGCACTCTCATCATCAGCTGCAACTTTTCCAACCAAGCCAAGGCGACTCGACGACTGTGATAAGACACTACCCTAGAGGGACACACGGCTTTCTACTGATCATTGGCAACATCGAGCGATCTGGTTCTGTGATACTGTCACCGTATCTTTACACAGAGAGATCCATATATAGCTTTGATAGAAAGGGGACATTAGAACATCTCCGCATTGAAAGTCCCTTCAGCAAAATCGAGAAGATAAAAAAAAGCATGAAGGAAGGAAGACAAGAAAGCGAAGTCAGGGAAAACTCACGTTGTCCAGAACTCCCTTATCCTCGGCCGTCCTCCAACATCCCCCGTGGGAGAAGGTCCCGAGGTCAAACTTCTCGGAGGGGTGCTTCCAAACCCAAAGCATTATACGTATGAATTGCATAGCCCATTTACGGGCCCTTTACTACGGAGGTAAACGTTCAACAACAGAGTCAATTAAAAATGCAACGATAAATATTTTCAAATGTAACACTGATCATGAGTAACATAGAGCAGAGGGACATCAAACGCGCTTTACTCCCAGCTGCCGAAGGGCAGCTATTTCAATATGCACCGAGGGGAAGAAAGTTCATTTAGCTTTCGAAAAACATATTTGGTCAAAACGCATCTTTCTTAGTTCAGTTTATTAGTCACTTTCGAAGGGACGGCGTCTTATGTAAAAGACGAAGCCTAAAGTAAACATTGATAAAATAATAGTCACAAAAAAAAGCATTTTATGCGCTGTTCGGGAATTTATCTCCCTTATATTCATGAGGAATCTTTGTACATACCGTAATTGTTAGATGTAACCATTTGATTAGATTTAAGAATGATTACAACCGCAAAAAACGACAGAAGATTCGTGAATTTAATTCACAATCTATTGAGCGTTTAGTCATAGATCGAGCTAACTGAGAAAACAAAACTACTTTAATTTTCACCTTTACCATTTTCCTATCCTTAAATATTATTATTAATATCCTTGTATAAAGTCCATTATCGAAAATCATTCACTCTCAGTCATTAATACTGTTTTTTGAATTCCAATAAATGCTGGAATAAAGCTACGCAAAATGAGAACCGAAGTAATTTTATTTTTGTGGTTTTCATAGCTGTTGAGTAATCCTCAGATCTTCTGTTTGGCGCTGGCTAACGACCATGGATATCAATTTACACTCCCGCTTCCATTTCTAATAGCAATATCGCCAAATTCTTTTTATTTAACTGATAAATACGTTCCAGCTCATCGATTTTCTCTGAAACGGCTGTTGAATATTCGCTGTGACCTGCTTGACATAAACAAAACAAATCGACATTTCTGAGAAAAGCCGGAAGAAAACTGATACTCGCAAGCCGTCACTCCGCCACAATTCACATTTATATATAAGTGTAAAAAATATATAAATATATAGAAGTCAAAGAGGGGGAGTTAACACGTGTTATATAACTCATTTGAAATAACTAGTTATAATCGTAAATACCCTGAATATTCACGATTAGGTTTATTTTAAGAACAACGTTTCTTGGAAAGATTCAGGTGATTGGGGTCTTCATACATATGTAACGCAACTAAGCTTAGTTGTGGTTATACCTTTGGTGTCGGGTAAAGATATATTTCGGCTTTAAGAACCTTGGATTAAGAGACGAAACATGGGGGCAAATCATGGAAGGCAATTTCACGTTCACATGTTCGAAGAAGACATTCAAATGATGAAAGAGCTAGTGAAGCTTCACCCGGAAAAAGAGACAGGCGGAAATCTGTTTGGTTTGTGGAATAACGACGAAGAACCAGTCTTGCACGTTGTGCTTGGTCCTGCCATTGGCTGCACTCGCACAGAAGTGTCGTTCTACCAGAGCATTCCCTATTTAGAGCGTGTTGGAAGGCTGCTCACCGAGCGGTTTCTCCTTTGTCACATCGGAGAGTGGCATTCCCACCACAAATTGCGTTTATCGGAGCCGAGCTCAGGAGATTCTTCGACCGTTATTCGGAACTTTCCGAGAGGAGCGCGTGGGTTTATCCTGATCATAGCCAATATTCTTCCATCTGGGGTTGTCGAACTTTCGCCTTACCTTTACAGACAAGGACAGACTACCTACGAAAAAGGATTGATCAGACGACTTGGCAGTCCATGTAGCCCCTTCAGGAAAATAGATGTCATAAAGGAAAATATTGAGAGAGACGTAGATAGGAGTACCACTGCTCATGAACACAAGAGGACACCTAAAAATTGGGGATCGGAACAACCGCCTGGCAACGAAAGCTACGAGAACAAAGCATACGCTTACATGTTTGAAGAAGACAAAGAGATGATTGAGAAGAAGCTGTTACAATCTAAAGGGAATAAAATGGAGGGAGAATTGCTTGGTTTATGGACGAGTCGCGGCATGCCTGTTTTGCATCTGGTCCGAGAACCTAACAGCAAGAGCGGAACCTACAACTTGCAAACCCGAGGAAACTTGGCTCAGGATAACCCCCTAGGAAAATATATTCTTAACCCAGGAGAGTGTGAGAGACCATCTGACAAAGACTCGAGCTACATGCATCGAGAGTATCCCGACGGAGGTCTTTTAATTCTGGTTTACAAGGTAGACAATGAATCAGTTGCCATCCATCCACACCTTTATAAAAAAGGCTCCGCAGATTTTGAGTCACTTGAAATGCATTACCTGCAAGGTCGAAACGTATTTAGTCAAAGAATGAATGATAACACTGAAAAAGAAGAAAAAGAAAGCGGAATAGCGGAGTTAGAAGTCGATGATCCTAATGCTCGTGGTAGTCCAACCTTTCAACAACACAAACAGTCACGTATCTAAAGAATGCAGCCATTTCAATATCGAGTGTCCCATATTTCTTTTAATTCAGCAAGACACCGGCCAAACCTGAAAATTTTTACGTAAATGAAATATACAGCGTGAGGTCGCCTCGTTGATACTTTAGAGTAAATAATAAACAGCCTTTACTTATCGTCGTTGGCTCTCTGTAAGAAATTTAGTTCAAGATTCAAGTGCAGAACTTGATACAACAATCTTTTTACGGTATCATTTAGTCATACCTAACCGCTTTGTCATCTCGCTATGGCTAGGGATGAGTGTAGAATTTCGCTTTTGAGTAATTCGTCAGGACTACCTGACCGACTGTTTTGCACTCGATTAAGACTGAAAACTTAAATAGATTATAAGAATCTATTCTTAAGACATTTCTGTCGATATCCTTCTAAGAAGAGTAACGATTATTTTCATTCCCAAGCGAAATTTAGCTTCAAGAAAGTAACAAGGACCAGCCAGACGTTTTCTCTAACAATAAATAACTCAAATTTTTTATTTTCGTACGAAAACGTAATAAACATTCTGAAGAATTCTAGGTTATATTTCTATTATATTTTGGGGAGCATAAAATAACTTAAAACATTTGTCGTATTCAAACCGATCCTCGCCGGAATATTCTTGCAATCGCTACAGAATGGGTTTACAAATCCAAAATTGTATCAAGCTGTAGAAGCCTTAAAATGTCTATGTAGATTTTAAATTAGTTGCACTTTAAAACACAATGTTTCTAGGAATATGTCGACGCAAATACGCATGCGCAGAGATTTCCGCTTTCACATCTTGCGTGCGTTGAAACAACAAACTCGGTCTCGAAGGCGGTTAGCCAGACTCCGGGTTTGAAAGTTCACAGCGGACGGAGGGAAGGGCAACTGCACGCCATCAGCCGGTCAATTACAGCAATCGACGCCAAGACAATTCTTCCCAAGAACGTTTCGGTAGGATCCCTTCAACACAGCAGCAGCCAGTTAACTACAACAATAGACGTCAAGACGATTCGGTGCAAGAAAGGTTAGAATTTGATAAAGACACTGGGAAACTCGTAGTTTGCAGGAATCCACAAGCACCACAAGCAGCTTCTGTTCACGAAAGTGCCGTGGCTGTTCTTGAAGTCCGAGCACCAGTTCCAGATCGACCGGTTGTGGATGCCATGGCTGCTCAAGGATTTTTCTATTTGAAGATGATGAATGTTTTTTAAACGCAGTTAGGAACTACTAGTCAGAAATCAGGGTTGCCTTCATGGTATGAAGTGTCCACAGTAGCAGCAGAATTAGGCATGTGTCATGTAGACTATTTAGTGCAAAACTTAGTGCTGAGATGATTTGTCAAAAGGCAGATTGTAATTTTGCGCCCGCCTTTCAACGTACCCTGCATAAAAGCGTATTGAACCAAATTGAACGGAAACTTGATGTGCTTTGCTAGAACGTAACGCTGTGCAATGGCAAAGCGATGCTTTTTAATTTTCTGCAAAATTGTAAACAGCTCTACTCCCCAGGCTTTTGAAGTGTTGTAAAGTGTACTAGAGCATACTGATCTGAAGGATGCGCTATATAAATGCTTCATTTATTGAATTAAAGAAAATTGCTGCGAAGTTCTTGCAGATACGTCTCTTTGTTTTGAAGCACAGAACGCTAACAACAGTATCACTGACCTTTCGAATTGACAGTTCCTTCAACCACTCAACAAATGAATTTCTTAGAAATCTTTATGTAATCAATAGGACGAAGGGAGAATTTCAAGAGGAGATGAATAGAAATTTAATGCGACATACCAACCGACCTCTAAACCTCCTATACCGTAAAACTAACGCAATAGGCAAGAATAGGTCTCTTAGGCCATCAGTTTCGTGTCATTTGGCAATCATGTGATGTTCATACGAAGAAAGTGAAAATATGTCTTTGATCCGTAACGGGTCAGATATTGCGTGAGCAAGTGCCAACAAAAGATCTGCTCACATCATCGAAACTTAAATTTCCGGGAACAACCGGAAGATGTATATAATCACTGAGTGCAAAATGTCGTTCTTTCTCAGAAAAGGAGACAAAAGAAATTGTAAACACCGTGAATCCTAAATAGAATCGCTAATTATAACAATATGTATTGAATGTCGTGATGAAACATTCAGAGACTTCGTGTAACAAGCTTTTGCTAAAAATTACATTGTCGCACGACAAAAGCTTTTACTTTTTATAAATTCAGAGTTTGTATGTCGATGACATATTCAAATATTGACTTAAGCTGTTTTTTATTTTATTTTAATTTACTGGAGTCATTAAAAAGTCCACGTAATGATTTTTTTTCCTTTGAGTCAAGGGTGGATGACTCTGTCCCAACATCGCCGCAAGCTAAAAATGGCGCCATGATAACATTGCAGGTTTCACCACGATCGATCTTGACCTGTTTTCTTTTTACCAAACCACTCCAGGATGCCCAAATAAGGGTTTTTTCATAACCTATATTACGTAAGGTTATTAGGTAGACATATATCAATGTCTTCGAAGATAAAGGAAAAGGACAAAGGGGGTAAGTTTCTTATGAAACTATGGTCCTGCGTCGGTGGGAAGTTAGGAAGGATATAACGAGATAATTTGGTTTTACCAACTGAGTTGATTGGCCACCGTTAAGAGTCCCTAAGACTGACGCTTCCACTGTTAGCCTGAAAAGAAGCCATGTGTTATTAACTAAGGTGAAATTTGTTCCTTACATCTTATGTAACCATTAAAGTAGGTCCCAGAGAAATAACTGTATTCCTTCAATTCATTATTTAAAATCATTCAAGCTCATAATTAAATGACTAGACTCCACCTTTGCAGTTAGAGTAAACAACACTTCAAGATGAAAACGATCTTATTGGACACTGGCATCGCTGGGCGTACCGCTCGTTACCTGTCAAATGGTTCAAGCCGTAAATACGCGTGCGTGTTAATGGTTTATTTCTGTCATGCGGACATAACAGATCCAGCCCGCTCCCACTATTGGTATTTATTGCTAAGTATTCGAACAAAACGCTTCTTGAAAACGGAAATTCAAAATGGAAGACAAGCAAAGATTTCCTTTTAGGCGCTGGAATCCTGATAACTTTCGACATAGAGAAGATCCGAAGCATGAAGGGTCCGTACCGTTCGGCGGGAACTTTTCGACGCAGCAGCAGCAACAGGCTAGCCATACTACTTCACGCAGCGACAATTCCACGCAAGAAGGGTTAGAATTTGATGAAAACACGGGAAAACTGGTCTTGAGTGCAAATCCTCAAAAATTACAGACGACTTCTGTTCCCAATGGCCCCGAAAACGCACTGGTTGTCGCTGGAGTCCGCTCAAAAGTTGTAGATCGACCGGTTGTGGATGCTATGGCCGCTCAAGGATTTTTCATTTTTAAAATGACGAACTTTGTGTAAATGCAACCCAGAACTGATATTTTGAGCGTTGTTCTGATGGTTTTTGTTGCACAGCGCTAAAGAACAAATCATATCCGCTGCTTATAGCTGTATAGATAAAACAAATAGTATTATATATTAGGGAATATTTCGACAAATTTGTACTGCTTTCTAGTGTTGATAAAGAATCTTACGGAGATTTAGTTCTTGTTTACCATCTAAAATGTAAAATTAAAGCTAATTGTTGCGACATGCACTATGATCTGAATTTCATGACTTTTAACCAACTCAATGAATGACTGCATTTCTATTAAATTAACAAGTCATCTGAAATTTTCACCATTCAAGGAAAGTTAAGGACAAAAGCGAATTCAAAGGTCCAAGGAAATCTCAATTTCGGTTATAAGGTGGAAAGCAAAAGCGGATGCTTTTTATCATGCACCACGAACCGTGTCAACAACGAAATGAAGACCTTTTCCAAGAATAGATCACACTTCATCAAGAACAGAATGGAATAAGGTATTTAAAGTTTTTAGAAAAACTGAAAGGTATAACATGTTATGATTGGTGCACACAGCCATACTTTCTCGTAAATGGAACAAAGAAAGCGTCGAGAAAATTCCCTTTCAAAAGTCTAATTGAAATTTTATCGACCTAAACAGAATACTCTGTAAACTAAATTTGGCTAATATCTGAAGCATGAAATTAGTTTTTCAGTTTGTTAAAAGTGCAGGTGAAATTGATAATGGAAACGCGCACACTTCTTTTCTTTCCTTTCAGATCCGTTCTATAGCTTTTACTAAACTCTGTCGTTTTCAAAGACGGACACACTCAACGGTCATGGCTACCTGAACAAAACAAATCCAAGAAAAGTGAAGTAAATATAAACAAAGACTGGGTTGATGGGGAGGGGGGGAGGGGGAGGGTGAGAGGTCTTTTAAGTGAGAGGAGTGAATATTGGAGTGAGTATTGAGATTTTATCCGCACACCACCGGATGGAGTTTCCTTTGGCTACGAATGCCTCCATGTCATTCATTCAGTGAAAAACTTAAGGTTTTTGCACCTGTCGTTTGCTGCATGTTTATTTAAATGTTGTATCCCTATTTAGGCAAATACGCATAATTAGTTTTTTTTATAAAGGTAAAACCCTCTTTTATTGTGCCACACAGTGATTACGCTTGGAGCACAAAATCAAAATTCCCATTTCACCCAAAAAACATGAGTCTGTAGCTTTCGTTTTGAGCAAAGAGATAAATCGACCCGCAGGCAAATCCGTCAAATTGAAAACTTAAACAATTTCTTAGAGTTAAGTGCTGCTAGACGCGTTTTTCAAACAGCTTTACAATGATATATTTAACTGTTCAAAATTTGAATATTCAAAATTTGAATATGAGAGGGATATTCGCAGTAATGAACACGATTTAGGCAATAGTAGAAATAAGGCCAGAAAAAAAAAAATTGCGCTCTAACTTTTTAAATTCAGGATATAAAATTACTTCTCCGCTTATAGAAAGAGTACAATAGATCAGATGAGTATTAGAATAAATATTTCAACATGGACGCAGAGGCACAATATTTTTATATATAGGGAAAAAAATCAGAAACTAATTTTTGGCGTGTTTGATGCTCAAATTGTAAGTAAAGATGCTCATTTTGTTTCCGGCACGTTTTACATACTATGACAACGCAGTTCGGTGGAATCGACGAAATTAAAAATTTACTCGTCAGATGTAGTTTTCACGGAAAGTAGGAAAACATTATTACAAGTTCAAGTTTGAGATTTGCCGTCCTTCACTTTGAATTTCTTCTTCCTGTTTTTTCCTCTGTCCATTACTAACTCCCACAGCATTTGGCGATCCAAAAACTTTCTTCTCGATTTCCTGAGCTTCAGCTAAGTTTGTATTTCTGCACAATAATTCGATGAAAGCTACGCGAAATTGTCGTTTCCTAATGGCGTAAATTAGCGGGTTAAGGAATGAATTATATATTGCAAAAGACACAGAAAAGGATGCGAAGATGAAACCTGCTTTTAAAGACATGAAACCTGACTGGCTCAAAACAAATCTAAAAACGATTACTGGCAAGTAGCAGAAAAATAGCACTATAATGATTGTAGCTGTCAGTTTGAAAACCTTCTTGTCTCTCAGAAATTTCTGCCTTGCTTCTTCTGTAACTTGCTGAGTTGAAAGTGTCTTTTGATGTCTGCAAACCTCGCGGTAGACAGTTACATGACAGAAAATTATGATAGCGAGAGAAATGCACATAAAAATGATGTTTGTGGCATAAAAAACTCATCTATGAACAAAAAGAGGAATGTGCAGGATCAGAGAAAGGAACCACGCCAGACCTGAGCTAACCAGTAAACGTACCTCTGTGACGAGTCCGTTGCTGTACGCGTAAGCGTGCTTCATGGCTAAGTATCGTTCTCCGCTTATCAAAATCAGGTGGAAAAGAGACGATTCACATAGAACACTTGTAATAAATTGTGTACACAAATGTAAAGCACACGATACATTCGAGCTTGTGGTTCCACCCGCCCAGTTGAGACTCGACTGGGTAATTAACATTGGTTGAACAATCACACTCACTGCTAAATCAGTCACCGCCAAGCAAGCAAGCAGTACGTTGGACTTGTGGGCCCTCAAACGTCTTTTAGTTTTCACAGCTATTATCAATAACAAGTTGAAAGTAGCACTAAGAGGACACGTGATCGTGAAGGTGACCAAGAGGAAGATTTGAACGGCTTGAGCGTCCGAATAATCGGAAAGCTTTCCTCCCGTTGCTCTGTAGACGCCACATTCAGCAGGGGTCATGTCGTTGCTTACATGGCTCGAAGTCATCGCTTGTGTAGCTTTTGTCTCTTTTTGTTGCGGATCTACCTCTCTTTCTTCTATTTTGTTGAAACTAAGCGGTTGGACTGTGAGCTCTTGCCGTTATCGCTATCGCTGGTCTCACCGAATGATATGATATTTGCACCCTTTATTTTTTTTTATTTTCCGAAAAAGAAGCGTCTGACCGTTTCCACGACTTGAATGCAGTTTTATGAGCATTTTATTCATTTATGAATGAACGAACAGCGCAGAATCCAAACGTTCTTTTGGAAACTCAAGCGTGGGTGTTGTAGCTCTTTCCGTCAACATGGCAAGGAAAATTCCGGTTTAGTACGTCCAAAGGAAATTAATTACTCGCCACTACAACAAAACCTTGCCATAAACTACTCCTATTGCGTCCCTGAGTTTTGAGCTGTAAGAATTACTTGGTATATTTCCACACCTGCTCTGCCGACGCATTTTCCCATCCTCTTTGTTCAGTTTGCCAATAGTTGTTAACAAGGGATACGAAGGCACCACTACACTGTCGTATTCTAAAATATTTGGGAAATGAAACTTTTGACACTTAGTTGTATATAATTCATTCATTAGTTGTCTTAGCGATCAAAATGGCTGACTTCGTCACGTGCATGAGTTTCGAAACCTAATGAAAACCAAGATAAAAATCACACGTGTTTTGGATAAGATATCTAAACCACGCGTGGTTTACATTTTTGTTCTCATTGGACATCAGGATTCATACATAAAAAAGCGAAAAAATCAAACACAAGAAAAACAGTTCAGCTATCAGCTACATTGCCAGTTTATTTTCTATCGTTGTCGACAATTTTCACATCGCAATTCGTAAATGTAACAAGAACAACTTTCCTGTGATGTTCCTAAAATTAGATGGAGTCTTCTAAAAGCTTCCCATAGACAAAAAAAGATATGTGTATTGAATAAAATTATACTAAGTAAATAAAATGTTTCATTTTTTTAAATTACATTTGGCAAAAGTCGCTGTCAACTGCCGATGTTCATTACTCAATTCGGTAATGTTTAATTTATGATATACACATATATACATATATATTTTTAATAGATTGTGTCAGTGTCACCGAATTTCTATGATAAGTGACGCCTTAGATCGGCAGCTGTACATCTGTTATTTTCAGACATTAGTACTACAAAAACTAGCGTCGGCGATCCCATTCTCAAATTGAAATTGAGTGAATAAATATCAGTTTATGACCAAAAATTGCATAAATTAACATCAGAGGTCACGTATTTCAGAGGGACGTGATCACGATTCTTTTACAGAGACCAAATATTTTTTTACTCACAAACGTAATTTTAGGACAGGTCTTTTCTGTAATGGAATGTTTGTCGACATACAATGTCGCCCATTGGAGATATTTGCAATTAAAAAACCTTAATTTTTTTTCTTTTTTTGGAATAGTTGTGTGACATGGTTAATAATTAACTGCTATAAATTGGCAGAGTCGTGTCAAATTACCCAAACTTTTAAGAATTGTTTCCTAAAGGTTCAAACAACCATGTGACTCAGTAAGATTAAAATCCATCGTATTCTGTTAGTGTGAGAGAGATTCATTGGAACTGCATTTTTCGAACTAATCTAAGCCTTGTACCCCAGGGATTTGATGTGGGGGCTCTAATACCCCAGGGATTAGCCGGGAGCCCGAACTACTTTGGATTCTTGAACTACTTAGTGACCCTCATTACTATTATTCATTACTGCGAAGATCGCTTTCGTATTCACGCCTCATAAACTGTGAACGTTTGAGAGAAATCGGTGAAATGGCATGTGTCACGCTTGCCTGGTCCTTTCGTGGACAGACTCTTCAAACTTTCAAGTTTCTCATCATTTACTGGGAAACAAAGACAGTATATTTCTAAAATGAAAGTAAATAAATGGAAGTTCTAGTTGTAATTAGCTGTACGGATATGATTTTTTCTTCCTGGGAGAACATCATTACGTGCTCACGTTCGATATTTGCTGTCCTTCATCATGATGTTCTTCTTCTTGTTTTTGTCCTCTGTCCATTAGTGCCACAGCATTACGCCGTCTAAACATGTTCCTTTCCATTTCCTCAGCTTCGGCTAAGTTTGTGGTTCTACATAACAATTCGATGAAGGCTACGCGAAACTGTCGTATCCTAATGGCGTAAATAAGTGGATTAAGGAATGAATTAAATAGTGTGAACGACACGGAAAAGAATAAAATTGTAAACCTTACTTTTATAGACATTAAACCTGACCAGTTTAATACAATTCTAACAACGGTTATTGGTAAGTAACAGAAAAATAGCACTGCAACAATTGTAGCTGTCAGTTTGAAAACCTTCTTGTCTTTCAGAAATTTCTGCCTTGCCTCTTCTGTGACTTGTTGAGTTGAAAGTGTCTTTTGCTGTCTGCGAACCTCGCGGTAGACGGTTACATGGCAGAAAGTTATTATAGCGAGAGAAATTCCGATGAAAATGTTGTTTGTGACATAAAAAACTGATATCTTAACAAAAAGAGGAATGTGCAAGATCAGGGAGAGGAGCCACGCCAGTCCTGAAGCAACCAGCAGGCGAACCTCTGTAACGAGTCCGTTTGCATAGGCGTAAACGTGCTTCGTGGCTAAATATCTTTCTCCACTCACCAAAGCCAGGTGGATAAGAGACGAGTTAACTAAAAAACTCGTCATAAATTGTGTGCAGATCTGTAATAAACACAATTCTCTCGTTATTTCGCCGACCAGGTCGATGATTGAAACGACAGTTAACATTGGTTGAACAATCACACCCACCGCCAAATCGGTCACCGCTAAACAAGCAAGCAGTATGTTGGACTTGTGCTCTCTCAAACGCCTTTTAGTTTTTACAGCTATCATCGATAACATGTTGAAAGTAGCAGTGAGGGGAGATAGGACGATGTTGGTGATTACGATTAAGATAAGAACGTTTCTGGCTTGGGTATCAGAATCGGATAGCTTCCCTCCCACTGTTTTGTAGACGCTGCATTCAGGTGGAATAAAGTTGTTGTCTGCCCTGCTGGAATTCATCGCACAGGTGAGAGTGTGTCTCTTCCTTGTCGGTGATCTACTTCCCTGTCCTCTGTTTTCTTGAAACTAAATTAGTTGAACTGCAAGCTTTCCTTGTCGATAATTTTTTTCGCATCGATCACTAGCTGCATTGAGTTATAACACATTTGCAGATTTTCTTTTCCTCTTCAAAGAAAAAACATGTGTTAGTTTCTCAGAGTTTCAGACACTTTCAATGAGCTGAACAATGGATAAACCGTACAACGCAGAATCCAAACTGTTTGAGAAGTTAAGGTGTCTAACATCCTTCCGTAAACACGACTAGAAAGAGGAACAGTCTTCTGCTTGAATGGGAAGAAAATTAAATTCTCTTCACGACAATAAGGAATTTAGGAATTACCTGCCACAACTTGACGCCCACATTCTAATTACTTTTTCCTAGGACATTTATACAGTTTTCTGTTGGCAATTTACTGAAACCGACCGAGACAAAGGCGCTAGTTCTGATTGTAAATGAAAGACTCAGTAAATGCCTGTTGTTACACGTACAAACAGAGCATTATGGTATGAATTCAATTAAAAAATTTTTATCATACGAAACTGTTACCAATCAGCAAACTGTTTTGTAAGTACGGATTTGGCTTCTTTCATGAAAGTAAAAGGGTGGACTGTTTTGTGCGTTTGAAGCTAATAACCAATAATTAACTTGTTTACTATATACCTGTGGGGGTGGGTATGTGGGTGTGTGGGGGGAGGGGGGCGGTATCATTTGGGGTTCTTAACTTTCTCTCTACAAACCAATAAACGACTTCTTCGTACAACATTCATAAAAATGAAAAAAGGTAGAACATTTTCATCACTGGAGGACGTGAATTGACTGTAAAAACATTTCTTCAGCCAAAAATAATTAAAAATTTATCGCATACACTTGGAAAAAAATTATATATCTTGGAAGTGAAAGCGTAGGACTTTTGTGTAGTGGTTTTTTGAGTGAAGCATTCACAGATCACACTGAAGTAGCCTAATCATTCCCAGCTTCAAGCTGAAGCGACAAAAAGGACGATTCCACTCACATATTTCCTACTGGGTTCCTCACCTAACAGTCATTTTAAAATTGAGGAAACGAAAGGAAAAAGCCATCAGACTGAAACATTGACGATTTCAATTTTAATTCGGTTTGGGTAAATTGGTACCCGTAATAATTATACTTACATTTATTAAATAGTCTAATTTATTCGGAAGAAGACAGAGATAAATTGCCAGACTCTTAAATATATTTATAAGCTTTGAGGAAATTCCTAGATCAAATATGGCGCGAGCGTATGGATGCCAAGAAAACGCATTGAAATAAAATTGAAAATCTGTCTTTAGAGGCAAACTGTCCACAGCAATTAACAATTATTCACCAAAGTGAAGGTGAATAGTGGCGGATATTTACTGAGCCGCTTCGCGGCTCGGTAAATATCCGCCACTGTCACAGAAACCAAGGTATGTACTGTATGCCACACAGATACAAAATATCTGATATAATGTATCTTACAACATACCGAAAAATGGTCGCAAATTAAATCCTTGACGCGCAATTTTGTCTCATCAGATGCTCGGAGGAGAATAACACTTGCTATTTACTTCCGAACTAGCCAATCAGCGCGCGCTAAAAGAACTATTCACCTGTGTGGTGTATACTGATGATATTTACGTTAAAAACTTGAAAAACTACTATCACGGAAATCTATCAGAGTAGACTTGATGGCGCGAGATGTGAACCAGACGTCCTTGGTTTTAAGACATTATTATGTACAGGGAACGTTCGTTTGAATATAAACGGGCCAAACCTAAGACCAGGACTCTTTTTATCAGCGGACGGCGGATCGAAAGACACCCTTTCTCGATTCTGTCCCAATCCATAAGTCATGCAATCCAATCCAGCTCTGTAAATTACCTCGAACACGTGGTCCGTGATGGGTTTCAGATAGGAAAAACCAAAGGAGCCCGGAAGTTGGGTGAAGAGCAAAAGTCCGTCATTTTCCGTTATGTTAACAATTACTTCCGGCATCCAATGAGAGACAATCCGGTATTCCCCAAGGTACTGTTCGTTATTGGGAAGGAGCTGGATCTACAGAACATTACAAAGAAAAGTCATACTAAGTTAACTACTTTTAACAGAAAATGTTTCTAATTAGTTATGGTCATGGGACTGAGTGGAGTCCAATCGGGTTTGCAATCAGACAAGAGATTTACAAAATCAGACGACCAAGAAGCGCTGGTCCGATCTGTTAATAACAAGTATGACACAGACAGAATTGGACGACACAAAGTCCTTTTACGAATTAATTAAAACGATGAAAAAACTTCAGAAACAAACCAACCGTCGGTTATACATTTTCATTAAAAGTAAAACAACAGCGTATGTCATTGCAAATATTTGCTATAAACGTGTGACGACAACAACGTTTTACAACTTAAAATGTATTCGCAAATCAGTTTGTTTCGAGATGCTACAGCGTACGTACACCTTTGACGTATTGACAGCACTGTTTTCACAACAGATTTAAGAGTTGGTTTACCTGCAACTGTTGACGCAATAACACTGCATCCATCGTTTTGGCCAAAGTTTGAACAATCGAATGCACTAGCCTCCAAGCGACTTCACGACCGCTGACAAGGACAACTGCGCCTGCAAATGTATTTTAAAGATAGCAGCGTCAAAAATGAGAACATTTAAAGGATACGATTGCTGGCTTACCAGCTAAACTGAAAAGATCTTTTCAGAAAATAGATTAACATTCATCCGAAAGACGAACTTGTGCCTAGATTGAAAAAAAGCTGGGTCTTGCATGAATGTTAGACTAGTACAAACAATGAAAGCGAAATAGAAATAGGAAAACATGTGTATCAATCGCTTGTTTGGTGAGGTGTAACTAACACAGGGGTTCCAACTGTTTAGCTAGTCAAAATCAATGGCAGAGTGGTAAAAAAACGCAAAAGTTAAAGTGCATCTAAATTGATTGTAGAGAAACAAAAACCAAAGAACCATTAGAGGGTGAAAATCAAAAACAAAAGTATTACAGAGAGTCAATGAGGAGTTAAGTCGTGTTCTACTGTTCTACTAAAACTTCAGTTCTAAGATAAATTCCTCAAAGAAAACAATTTTAAGACAGCATCTATCAAGTACGAATTACCAACCAAGTTTAAATTCTGGTACAAATGCAAATCCAGCAGAATATCCCGGAACAAATCCTGACTTTGTCACAACTGAATATGTACCAGCGTCGATAATCTCCCAGCCAGTCCCAAACACAGTGCTACCATCCGGGTACATGAAATCTGCAAGTTAAGGCAAATGGACAGAAGATAGCTGGCTGAGTTCACTCAGGCATCAGGTTTGGCCTCCTACTTCTTATTTCAATAGCTTTTCTCATTTTCCCCATTTTTCACTGCTGAGGAAGAATGCACAGATCGCCTTAAGGGCTACGACAAACTGTAAATGCATGACCAACATGGTTACACTTTAGAACGACGCATTGCATGGAAGAAGAACCTTTCTCCTCCGAAGTGTCTGCAGAGAACAAAACCAGGCTCTTTCATGAGGTATCTCATGATTTATATTCACTATGCTTGAGTCGTTAGACGACTTTTGTTCCTAAAGATATGAAAATATCAAAGCTATTATACCCACAGACCTGGCTTCATCAATTGCTGTACCAATTCTCGTGTTAATATTGATGTGCTTGACGTGCCAAGTAAAAACGTCATTAACTGTACAGAGAAATAACACACTTCAATAAAAACGTCAAAAAAGGGTAACTGTTGCCTGAATTACGATTACGTGATAACTAATATGAAACTCGAAAAAACTAAACCCAAACTAATAAAGGGGGGAAGTTTCTAAAGAAACTGTGGTGCTGCGTCGGGGAGCGTCCGAGCGAATGACGAAGTGCTAACGCTCGAAACGTCAGCTTTAAAGACTTTTCACAGTGGCCAATTAACGTTATCAACTCAATTGGATCGACTTACGTTGATGACACCAAATTACCTTGTAAACCCAGTTTATCTGTATACAAGATTTTCAACCTTGCCTTGGTATTTAACCCTAGATAAGTGCTAATCGTGCTTGAAAAAACTCGGCCAGTAGTTTGACGATGTACATAAACACCGAAAATCTAATCTGGGGCTTAAACCTGTTCAACTCAACCCGGCTGTCGTCATTAGTCTCCAGGACACCGCGTTCCTCTAGGTAAACTCATTCCACATCAATGTTAGCGTTGCTTCATAACGTGAAAAAAAGTAATGTCAAATCACAAACCTTATAAAGATCATTTGCTGTCGAGTATGCTTGGATTGCCGGCGAGGCCCAATCCCAGTCAACCAGAGGAGCCTCACCATCGTCATCGTAGCCCACAGCTTTGTTAGAGGACATTCTGAGCAGAATAAATGACAAAAATCAATCCGCTAACCGAGTTGCAAGCCGATAATGAGGCCTCAGCGATTGAAAAATCAGAGAACTTTCCCATGAGGTTGATAATGCAGAATACTTAATCTTGTTTTCTCCTTTGCTTTGGTTATGTGTTTGTTTTGTTTCAGAAACACCGGCCTAAGTATAGCTCAAATACCTTCTGAGGTTGAATCCAGTTTTCCCCATTCCTAGTGGCTGGAAAATATTTCTCTCCACCCAGCCCTCGTAGTCGCTGTTTGCAAATTTCTCCGCAAAAATCCGAGCAATTAAGGCATAGCCTAAGTTGCTGAAAAACAAAATCAATTCATTGGACTTTTTGGAGACCATTTGGTTTCCTATAAGAAAAGATATACGAGAACTGATTTTCTATATAAAATAACCACCGTTATCCACGGATTCGAATGGAGACGTGATATCCAATTGTCTTCTATTGCGTTGAGTTGTGTTGCATGATTAAATTTATTTTGCATTTGTTTAACACTGTAGTGTAACATTCAGTAAAACAGAGAAATCAAAATGCGAAATGAAGATTATTCTCTCATTTCTATCCCCAGAGGACGATGGTATGCGTTAAGTGCCTGACACGAAGGAATCCCACAATCAGGAGGGGAGATTTCCCTAACATGATCTATTACTTCTATACATGCGTGTCCCTTTAAAATACAGTTGGAAGATGCACTTCTTTCAACTCAACATTAACCGACCGTCATGCAAGAATCCTCTTGGCCATCACTTTTGGCAGAGATTGAAGTGAAACTCTGACCAATAAATCTTAACTTTATAAGTCTGTATACTCTTAAGACACATTGGCAGATTCCGTTTTTCTCTTTCTTACCTGTAGTGTGGTAGTCTTCCAGGGGGATTCTTTAGTTCAGTTCTACTCAGTTGTTCTAGGACGTACGTATTGTTAACAGGACACACGTGAGTTTTACCGTATGAGTAGGCGTCACTGCATGGAACCTCCCGCGGGAGGCCTGAGGTGTGGGCTAAAATTTGCCTATAGAGAAGCACAAAGACAAACGTTATGAGAGCTTTTTCTTTGGGATTGATCATTAGTGATCCCCATACCAACGGCTTATTCGCGAATCAACACCACAAACGAACCAAACAGTACCACTCAACGACGGATCGAAACTGGCCAATCACAGACAATTTACGCCACTTGAGTCTTACAGCCAATAACATTACGGCTGAACCGACAAATCAGTTCACACGAACTGGACTTGGTATATTTGACTGACAACTACTATTCAGTTGACTATCATGACTTCCGCTCAGGTTGTCGAAACGTCAGTCACCACTACCGACAACAGTCCTTCTAAGGATTACATTCTCTCACAATCCAATGGGTTCCCCGGGTTCAAACAATTTACTACTCTATCGTCATCATAAACATCATAGTGGACATTTTAATTTCTATTAATTTTTGCATATTATTTGAATTCAGCATCACGTCCAACTCACCTGATTGTTATTTTTTGTTGATTGAAAGAATTCTTAACTTGAAATCTGGGTTCGTATTTCTCTAACGGGTCGTCTAAACAATCAATTTCGCCGGTTTCAAGTAGTTTGAACACAAATATAGCCTGGGAGAAATGAAAAGACGAATTCCATTTAAGACAACGACATCACAATAACAACAACAATAAATAAACAACAACAACACGAAGAGCAGGAACAGTAAAAAAATAACAAAAAAAAAACTGCAGGTTATTTATCTAAGTGATGAGTAGAATAACTGTTTCAGTACCCATACGATTATCGGATCAAATTGTTTACTTCACATACTTCTTTCAAGCAATAAAAAAATCGTTCGGCAGACATTTTGAAAATTAGCGTTTCAGTACTAAAAAGATCTATTAATTATTAATTATTGATCAGTAACATCCATGTACTGGAAGTAAAAATCAACATGCACACCGGTCTAAACTGAATTCGCTAACTAGTCAAAAGATAATTTTCATCAATATACTGTATAATTCAAATGATCAATAATCATCCGATCTGAATTTTAAGCTACAGTTTCCATGACAGAAGAATACTTACTGTAAATATTTTAGTGATACTGGCAACTCGAAATACCGTATCCTGATCAGGCGAGACCCCCGGATGGTTTTTGTCTTTCAGGCCGTAGTTTCTTCTCCATATCACACTGTCTTGATAAACAACGTTAGCAGTCATCCCCACCTGTAGAAATCACATGCAAAACATGTAATGTTGTGAGTTAATAAACAAACTTTGTTGTTCTTCTCCTGAATCATCTCGATTCTTAACAATCCCTCGTAATTCAAACTGACGGGAGCAGAAAAACAGGAAAGGAATCCCTCGTTATTGTGGTCTTTCCTTGCTTCTATTGAAAACTGGAGCTCTTCAGCAGCATTATGAATCAACTTTACTTGCGAAACGATGATCAAAGCGCCTATTAAACGCGATACATGCAAGTTTCAGTCAATTACCCAGTCCGAGAACACTAAAACTCTACAAAAAAAGAACCGATTATGATACTTTTTTCAGTTCACAAGCTTGACCGCCGGTGACGTCATTGAAATATCACAAACGAAGCAGCAGGTGTCCGCTCCCATTCAGCCCCCCAACACCCCCCCCCTTTCTCCTCGCTCTACAACGTTCTCCACTCGTTGTCTGTTATCTCTATAATGAACGAGGCGACTCTCTAGTGAGGGAGATCCTGCGTACTCTCGCGCAGAAGGCAAGCCATTTACTCAAGCGTAAGTTAAGGTCAGTGTCTCAATGTTATCTTACGTCAGGTATTTTGGATTTCAAACTGCAGCATAAAAGAGCTAAATACCGTAACAACATGTTACAAAAATAACTCACGAGGCCTTGGACGCCTTCAAAGGCGCCAAAGATGGCATCCGCTTGATAGAGAGCTCTCTTTACTTCATCAGGAAGCACCCATGGTGGTTGAGCCCTCTCGATCATAATAGGGCACGGGGAGTTTTTGAAAGTCAAATATTTCTGGACCAAAAAAAGAAAAAGAGACAAAGAAAAAATGATGAAATCTTGGTGACGCAAAAAGACGTAAACAACTGTTAAGTTCAGTACCCTAGCCAAACTCACTACTTCGGGATTAAGTGTGAAAGGTATTGTTTGCGTTTAATAGACCGAAACTAGGCATGTCTAAATCTGCTTTTTGTCGGTGTGTTTCAAAAACACTGCTGCACGCGTAGACCACGAGCAGTCCTTGCTTTTCGGCGATGTCGAATATTACGTAATGCTTGTATCAATAAATAGGGACCTTCAGCAAAATACGAGTGCGACGGCAACGATCGAGGACGTAGCAAAACAAAAGAACAAATGTCAGAGCAATAACTCAGCACGTGCGTTTTAAAACTTTGTACATTTCTTTGCCGTCTTCTACAAAACAACAACGGGAAATCACCAAAATTTGGGTCGTCTATGACTGAAAACTCCGACGGCAAATTATTCAAATTTCCAATTAAAACTCAACGCTGCTCACATACGTCATGCTGAAATCAAGGTGTGGCGCCGTGAGAGACGGAAAACACATCCAGCCATTCGCCAAATTCTAACTAAAAATATATATTCATTTTTCAATCGACATTTTCCTCGGCATTTTCTTCCTGAATGCATAAGGTTACTTAAGCTCCTACTTGACAGAAATTGTAGTGGTTCACAAGATAGTCCAAAAAGTAGTCCAATCTAACGAGGGTTCCACACTCTCAATCAGTCTGGCCAATATTAGCCATTTAGCCATTGCATTTCCCACGGTAAGACAAAAGCATTGAAAAGCATTTGGACAGAAATTTGGCGCGTTTCCATGCAATATGGTCAGGGATAGCGTTGGTGGTAAATTTTAAAAAATCAAGAAACAGTGCATTGCAGCGAGGAAATGACATTGTAAATTAACTACTTTATATTCAATCAGTCTGCTTACCTGAGTCGTTGATGGATCAACTGGGTTCTGCCAAAGAAAATGTGTAGCAGTGATTAAGGACTTCCTTCGGTACGTAAAACTGACATGATTTCCATTAAAAAGGAGTATGACTAGATTCAATAATACAATCTTCTCTGCAGCTACCTTAGAACACCTTAATTTATCATTTATTCAATCGCTTTCACCATGATCACAGTGCTAAAATAAGACTGGGTAAAAGAGACACATTTGAAGAGGTCGTAAGAACGAAGGTGCGGGACACAAAACAGAGCGAAGATCCAAATAAAGTGTGCCCATACGAAAAATAGACGAATACCAACTATGTAAACATTAAAAACGTCATAAGAAGTATACAAATCAGGACTATTTCCAAAAAATGATACTTGCGTAAATAAAATTTACATACAGATATGTTTGATATAAATTTTTCATAGATGTAGGAGGTTCAGGAAGAGCCTTACTTTGAAAGTAAGAAAAAATATGTATCTGTGTTTCACTCTTAATTTACTCAGTAAAAGGTATTATGCAAAGTTCATTACATAATACCTCTTCGAGTCCATATTTTTTTTTTTTTTTTTTACATTTAGGAAATGGCCGGTTTGAAATGTCAGACCGTAAACTAAGTTCTTTATCTATACTTTTCCAGCACAGAAAGAACTTGCTAGGACCGAAGAGTTTAGCACATGCTGCACCTTTTGAAGCCGTTTAGATTCTACGGCGCACTCGAGCGTAGCCAATCAGAAACCTGTAGGCAACATGATATACATGTAAACAAATCTCTGCCAAGAATCAATCGAGAACTTAAAGAAAGACTCGAGAGCTAAATAAAACAGGTATCTAAATTGAATATTCAATTCGTCAGTTTTTGTAAAATTTAAGACTCACTTGCACAGTAGCATCGGGCCGTTTCTTCGTGATTTGCCAAATAAACAGCACAGTCATAGTCAAGAATCCTAAAGCCACAAGTTCAAGTGCCAGTTTGAGCCGCGCTATCGTCTTCGCCTCCCTGCTTGAGCTGACATCGGGATAAGAGACAACACACTGCGATGTACTTGTCGCCGATGAATCGTCGCTTGAAACCGTCATCAAGCTCGCGTTAAGATCGGTTTTTCGGATTTTCCCACTGCTTCTGAAAGAAAAATCATCGTCGTGTAATCATTCAGTGAAATGAAACTTATAGCAGTCGCGCCGACTTTCGTTTTAAATAAAAAAAGTATCGCAAAGAAACTCGAAACTCACTCAATATACGACCCCATTGTTCAATAATGAACGAGCTGATTCCTCAACATAACCGTGCAGTACAACATAAATAGGAACAGCACAGACTTTGCGTCAAGCACGTACGAAAATTTGCATGACAACTCGTCACACTGCGCGAAGTCAAGCGCATGCTTTGGAGTGTGACAATAACAATGACTGAGACATAATCGATTCAAACAAGAGCGACCCCGAACAATGACAGAAATGAAGGGTCATTCATGTGGGTAAATCAACAACAAATAGCTCTTAATTCAACGATCGCGATATCTTTGCAGGACTAGGTGCTGCTGAATTTTGGATGCGGATATGCTATGTCTGTAATTGAGAGAGCATTAAGGGACTAATTGTAAAAAAAGAGCTACTCTGGTGAATTCGCTAGAGCGCGAAGATGAGTGTCACGTCCAAAGACCCAAAGGAAAAATCATCATTTCATTCCTATCGGAGAATCCCGCAGGGTAGCGGTTTACTACACTATTATTCACGGTCTATGCAAATAGTGTATTCAAACCTTGTCGGTTTTAATCTCTTTAATAATTGATAAACGTCATTCTTAGGGCTTAACAGGGTGAAAGCAGTTTGGTACCAACAGATAAAAGCAAGCTTTTTTGATCACCACAAAAACGGAAACATAAAAGCCTCGAACAGAGGAAAAATACTGCAGATACAATGCAGGCTCAGATACCATCAGCTGGATTTTCGGGTATTAATGAAAGCTCTACGACTTGAGTATCAATACCTACATGGATTTTGATTCATGCTAAAGGGCGAACGCGAAGGAAAAAATTAACCTTTGCTTTCGGTTCTTTAATTTTAATCCTTGAGTGGATAGAATTCAAAATATTTTCCCCTAGCCACAAAACGTCCAAATATTTAACTTTTTTTCTTAGATGAAAAAACAGCCGAAAGAGCTAAAGCAAGTTTTGCCGTTTGCCGTTTGTAAACTTGGTTCTAAGCTCCTCTCTGCCCCTGAGAAGTTTGAGACGAGTCGGGGAGTAGTTTGCCGTAGGACACGAATAGACCACTACCCAGCTTGCGTTTCTCGACACCTCAAACTTATAGGCGAGTGAAGAAACGCTCTTACTGAAGCGTTAATGATAATAATAAAGAAAAAACAGTAAGATTTCCACGTTCTCCATCCTTTTTATTTCGAGCTACATGGAAGCTGAAGAGAACGAGCCATTTCTTCATGCGTAGAACATGATATTTCATCTTTACGTCTAACAGATTTCCTTTCAAACAAGTAACAAAGTGCGACCTTGCTATGCCGAATTTTTCTGGAGATAAAAAATGAGCATGAAAAGGATAGATTGCTGAAACATTTAAAAAAAAACCTGAGAAGAATTGCAAGCCCCTTCCTTAAGCTGTTATCTCCTCTCCCCCGTCTCTCCTCATATGCTGCAAATCTTAAGGTCATAAGCCTTTCCATGAGAAGACCCGAAACCAAATTACGTAGTTCGGTTTGTTTGAAATGAAGAGAAATTAGCGTCGCTGTAGTTCTTGGTAATGATGGCATGCAAATCTTTCCTAGCGTTATTTCAAATAAATATCTTACAATCCTTGTAGTTTTTCTAATGCGTCGCTCTTGCTTTCCGGCTAAATGCCGGCAAACAATTTTCAGGTGAACCCAGCATTTACGCGTAGAGGTACTGTATCCAAAGCCGTCGGGGAATGCGAATGTTTTCTATTGATCAAACTTCCTATTCTCCGGTTTATAAACACAAGACCGAAACGAAAATTACAGAAAGAAGTATCTATTATATCTTTTATGGTTCAATAATTATGTAAAATGATAGTTGAGTGTTCTCTGTCAAACACTGGTCTATTTTGACATTTTTCAATGTCAATAACAGTGCTAAAACGTTCTAAACAAACAAATCAGGCTCAGTTAGAAGTGTGCAACTCGTATCCTTCAAAGAGGAAATATATGGTTTAGTCACCAAAGCTATACTTCAAAAACAAATACATTTTCTAAAATGACTAAATAATTTCTAGAAAAAGATTAGGCATGGTGAAAGTAACACTGTCTAATAGTTAAGACTTATTTCTCGAATTGCCTGGATATCGTGGCTTTTAATGAACAAGAAACGGTTGAGATATATAAACAAAATTAATGAAGTTATGATCATAGACTCGAACACAGACTCCGAGCTTCCAGTTGATGTTGTCGCCAATCAGCACCACGATGTTTCCATGTCTTAGGTATAGATGCGATTCAAGTTAATCCTTAGAAAATAACGAAAACTTTGGGAACTTATCGTTAAGATTCCCTTCTAATACAAGTCATAGCAACATCAATCGCAACGATTTAAATAATTTCTTAGGGATCTACAATTGTGACACGAGCAATGTTGATCCAAGTTGAATGATCGGTAACCTTGGACGGCCCAATTAACGAGACTCGACCACATCACATGTATTTCCCATAAGGAAGTGAAAATTTTGCTGATTTATCTATGCAACCATAGAGCTCGAATACTTTTAAAGAGGAATAACATTCGTTTGAATAAGAATTCGTAATATTTAAGCGATGAAAATCACTCACTGGGTCTTCAACTGAAATTCTGTAACAATGACTGATCAAGTTAAACAAACTCTTACAAGACAAAGTAACATTCGTGGGTTTCCTTTTCAATCGATCAAACTCGTTAAATCAAATGATCAAACTGACTTTTAAAATGAAAGCCCCCTGTATGCAAATTCATCAGTTCGACTTACAAAGCAGTTATATCTAAAATCAAGGAAGAAGAAGACATAGCGCATTTAAATAATGATCAACAAGAACATACCTGTTTGATCACGCTACGTGGCTCTTACTGCACGATCACGACACGAGTTTATCCCCAGAAACACGCTAGAAAACCTTGTTTAACGCACGAGAGGGGGTTAGCATAGAGCGAAATTGCTCATGCATATTGCTGTTGATGTAAACCGCACGGCCATAATGACGTCAATGTAATCCTCGTCACGAGATATTTCTGAATTGATTTTGCAGGAATTTTTCAAGTGTGATACAAGCAAAGTAACCCTCTCGATCAACTTTATGTCTGGTAATTCTACTAGAAATCCGAAATTCCTCATTGATCGCTTTGTAAACTTGTACAAACTCGGCTCAGCAACCACGCCTTTGGCGTCTCTAACGAATACCAATATACTCCAAGACAACATAAAACTATTTTCTAAGAGTCACCGAGTTCAACCCAATCTATACACCACGTTATGCAAGGTACTGAAACTCTTATTCTCAGTCCTAGGTATCAGTTTAAACCTATCACCCCCAAGATCTCATAAGCAATTCTCCTTACAGTCTGTCCTACGGTTCTTAAGGCTAGTTCGGAGAAGTTGGTAATGAATCAAGTAATAATTCCCTCATTTATATTTTTTCTTTATTCTCATCACTTGTCTGCTTGATATTGCATCGATATTGTGTGGAGAAATTCTACCTTGATCACTAATGGGAGTTAAAAGGGTCAAGAATGTAATGGGTTTCGTTTCTTTTTTTGCTGATCGATCAAATGTTAAATTCTCCTCAAAAGCTAATACGCTATCCAACATAAAGGTAGCAAGAATTTAAAAAATTATCAAATAGCGAATATCGACTGAATTAATCGCCAGATTTTCAGGACAGGACTAGCCAACAGGAAGAACTTCGTGTAGTTATCTTGCAAATTAGCTTTCAGATCTGAAGAGCCAGTGTTAATATTTGTTATTCATTGCTGCCGATTACTACCTCTCTAGATTGACTTTCCTACTCGTCTTTTAAGTTCTTTTACAGTTTAAGGTGATGTGTGCGATTTTTTCTAAGAAAAAAATTTGCTCGTAAGCGAGGATTGCGTGACCCTATGTCTCTGAGAGATCAATTTGTAGGAATTCAAAGGAAATCCATTGGCAGGAATGACTCAATATAGTGAAAGATGCATTAAAAACAGTGCATACTTGAACTTAAGAGTAGCATTTGATCGCGTAGTCTAACCCTCCCTGTGAAAAGAGTCCTGAAAGGACTGTTGCCAGTAGCGGTCGGGTGAGCATAATTCTACATTAGAGTAAAGTGATATATCTCTTGCATTTCAGTGTTATTCCCTTCACCTGAATGTCCCCGTTCCTTCTTTTCTTTAATTTTTGTTCACTTTTTTTTTCTTCGCTTTCTCTGTTTCTTTCCTTGTTGCATTTAGAGCGGATGGAGGAAATTTATAAGTAACTGAAATTAAGGCCATATGTCCGAGGCATTAGATCTAAAAATAGCTTTCGTCTAGCACTCACGCACAAACCTTCGAAGACATCGTATTTAGTAGTAGTTTGATACGAATCATTCTAATACAAAACAAATTTGCTACGAGATGGAACTTCGCCGATTAATCGAAAAGCAGCCAATTGAATATGTATAACATCCGTGTTGTAAAAAGATGTTTGAAATATCTGACTACAGATTCCATCTGGCGGCCAAGTTACAATTAAACCACAACAGAACCTTCAAGGTCGATTTCGAGTTTTCATCGGTCTCTTTGATACATGCAGATTTGCCTTAAATAACTCACCTTTAAAAGGAAAGCACTTCTTTGTCTACATTCACAATCTGGTCAAAGCTGCCGCCCAGATAATTAAACGAGTACCAAAGCACGTTTATCTCAGTTAATGCCAATCTGTTGCGTCGTAACCTGAGGAAAATTAAAAGATTTATCAGTTAGCACACTCAAATTAAGAGTACTCCGACAGATCCCAGATAGTGATCTCCACTTAAATGGTTTTTGTACCGCAAAAGGCATTTTCTACAGACCTCTGACGGCAATAACAGTATTGCTACGTCGGAATCTCTCTTGTCTCCACACGCGACGCCCGTTGTCACCAGTTGTTGAAGGATGTTGCTTCAGTTTGGTATTCATTAACCACAACATTGAATATATACGGTAATTGCTTTGGTCAATTATTAACACTAAGTAAAATATTAAAATGGATCGTCAGCGAGCGACTCTGATCCTCAGAGTCGCTCGCTCACCGAGAAAATTGATCAACAAACAAGTCATAATTTCAACGTTTTTAGAAAAGGTTATTTTTTCACTTACCGTGGTACGTTAATATTAGTAAATTTAATCGTGGGAAGTGGAGCCGAGGAAAAAGCATATCATAGAACTGGCTTGGGAAAATATTTAGTCTCATTGTTATTTCACTGCATGTACGTGATCGTTTTAGAGGTGAAAAAAGGAAAAAAAACGTACATCCCGAAATAGTATGTAATAGTTTATTATCATTTAAATTATTATAATTGTTGTGATTGTCTGGGTTACCTCTATACTTAGCCACATTCACGAATCACGGGATTATAGACACACTGTAGAATGTCAGTGTTACAAAAAGGTTTGCTTGTGCAAACGGCAAAGAGTGGTTAAGTAAAGGCATGCCTTTGGCTGGTTGAACAATGAGTCCCCAACAGTTAACTGTTGTTCAACAGAAGCTCATCATTAAATGAGCATCCCTTTGGTACTTTTCATTTTCACAATAAGATTTTGGGTCTAATTAGATGGAAAAGGAGTTAACAGCCAGAGAGCATAATATTAAACTCTTTTCGAAACCAAAAAAGCTTTACATGTTACCCTCGAAATGCTACTTTAATGTTCAAATATTTTAAGAACAGGATGGACATGATAACTGTTGTCTTTCAGGAAACCATCATAAATTTAAATCGATAAAAAAAAGGTTATTGGACGCATAATTTAATAAAATGTATAACCTATTTTGGTAAATACTCTGATAAGACGATGGAAGCCGATAAATTGACTCCAAGCCAGCTCCATCGAATTATTCGGATATTAAACGTGGTCTCTGATGAAGCGTAAGTGCTCAACGTTGAAGCTCCGCATCAAAACACTACTCCCTTACACTGCATAAACACTACCGTATTCCAATTGGTTTTCTTTTCATAGATCTTTCAGATTCCACAACAAAAAAATTCCCAGCGTGTTGCACTCTGAGGCCACAACGACAGAAATGTTGACAATCTGGTACACTCCTCTGTTCAGTTAACGTTGAAGAGCCAAACTTCACCAGAATCCGTCAATTTTAGATATCCTTTCTAGAGATGTTACAGAAGTAGTGTGTGGTAAAGATCGTATTTCGAAATCTCACCTTCTAATTATAAACACTTTCGAAGACTGGCACGTAGCGCTTTACTTTCCCCTGCTGTTCTTAACAAGCTAAATGGCACTTCGCAGTAGAGTGAGACAAATTTAGTCACGTTCTGCGTTTTTTCTTGAGGAGCTTCTGCGAGAAAGTATTAACTAGCAAGGAATGGGTAAAACCCAGGGAAAACACGTTCAATAACCAAAAAAAAATGAGGAACAAGTGCAGGCAACAGTAGCGAATATTAACACTTAACTCCCAAGATCTCATTTGTAATTCTCCTTACTGTCTGCCATATGGTTCTTGTGATGTTAATTTGGAGAGTTTGGTATTGCATCAACTAATAATCCCCTAATCAAGATTTTTCTTATTTTCATCACTTGTCTGCTTGATATTGTATTGACACTGTAAGCAGAAATTCTGTTTTGGTCACTCATAGGATAAAGGGTTAAAGCTATCGAGCAAGTTTTGCAGTTGTGTTCTGAACATTAAGGTCATCGTAATTATGCAGATAGTAAGCGTATTTAAGTAACAGAAAAAAGACCAGACTGCGCAAGAATACCTGAATTCCCAACTGAAATTTCCTACAGTGTATTCGGTTCGACGATGGAATAACCATTCTAAGGCTCTGAACCCCTAAGAGTGACTTTCATCTAATTTCTCCTTCCAAAATCACCCCTGAATCAAACATTACGTTCACGAGAATAAAGAAAATGATAACAAACTTGAAAAGCTCTTGACTTTTAAACAAATACTCTTTGTCAGCTCCTTAGGAAATGTATACAGAACAGTATGGAGAATATGCATACTGATGTTAGAGTAAGACGAGGGAAAGATCAAAACATAGAAGTTGTGTCGTGATCCGGTTTATGATTTCTTGAATACTGCTGATACTCGCGGTAACTTCTCAGAACATACGAGCCACAGAGATCGTGGCCGAGGTAGAATCCCGAAAAAGTAGACGCTTTTTTGAAACAGTGCTAGTTAGAGGAGCGGTTAAAAGCGTCTGTCAACAATTAAATCCGTAAGAGCCTCACGTCACGAAGGAACTGCAAGACACGCTTAGACGCCTGAAATGAACTTTCCACAAGATTCTCCCAAAGGTGAAAGGGCGTCTCCCCTGATAATGACGGACCTTGCCTTCTCCGGGAAACACTAAGATGCTAGTCAAACGCCTCTGTTTTTGTATAAATACAGGAACAACGACAACTTTCAACGTTGAGAGCCATAGATTACAAATGAACTTTTAGCATCGTGAGCGCTAGGTGATAAGCGTTCCCCTTATACTTGTGGTGGTGACGGTCTGCGTATACTGGTAGTTATGACGGGTCTTAACGGTCAAGGAGTTCCTAACTTGCCATGAGACGTCCTCCTTATATTCGCTTCCTTTCGTGGAAAGAGAAGGAAAAGGACAGGCTGCAACAGGCTGACATAAAACTGAGTTTCGAGCGTGAGCCCTTCTTTCATCGCTGACGAAGGGCTCACGCTCGAAACGTCATGATCATTTGATAGCACTTAATTACCCAGTTATACTCTCCCACCGACGCAGCACCACAGTTTCTTTAGAAACCTTACCTCCTTTATTCTTTTGACATAACTCTGACTTTTGGAAAGCCATGTAGATTTAATTTCTGTGACTGTAAGAGAAAAAAAATGGAGAATTTATCACCCGGAATGAAAGTGACGTTTTCTGAGAGCAAGTTTGGAAGCTCGTGCGAATAGAAATCAAATTACTACAAATAAAAGGAACTTTTCACGCAGAGATGGGAGAAAAGTGAAAAAAAAAAGTTTGAAGACTCAGTTAAAGTATGGAATTAAAAATTCTGGCTTCAGAGATCTCTTATTTAAAACACTATCCCAGCCGGCGTTGTGAAGACCAAAATTCAATAATAATTCCATACATAACAAATTGAAATTACTTATTTCGACTTTTTTATTCTCTTGTTATTTATTTTTGGCTTCCCAAGCTTTGTTGATGTATAAACTTGCAGCATTTTCACGAAAATTTTCAACATTCGCGAATTGAAAATCATTTCCATCCTGGAATGCTTTGTTCACTGAAGTTAACGATTGAAAGCCTAAAATTCTGAAATTTCCGCTGACAAAATCTTTACAGTTTTGAAATTCATAATGCATTCGGCATGGCATGCGAAAGTCGTCACCTCACATCTTATTCAAACAGGGTATTTTACTTTAAAAGCGACTTGAGATGCAAAACTAGCCACTTCCCAATAATTTATTTCCACAAAATTTCATCTTTATCTCGCTTAGGGTAGTTAGCTGAATGAATTCACTCTCTACGGACAGTCTGCAGCAAATATTCTCGAATTATGGACGCGGACCGAAACCGAAACAAATATTTGTCTAAATTTACGGCTCTCTAAACGTTCACATACGCTATCCATTTTGCCAAACCTTTTGATAGGATCTGTAGAATATTAACGCTTCTATAAAATAGCTTTCAGCTGAGTTTACTTAAGCACACCTTCATATTAGGAATAATTTAATTCCTCCATTCTAGTTTCTTTCTTTAAACTACTAAAACCTACTGGGAAGTCTTTTGTTTATCTATGCATGTATAGGAAGGACTGTATTCGACATTGATTCATCTTCACCGTTGAAAGCGATTTTTAGGTGAAAAATTTTCGCTTCTACCCTCAAAATCGAGGAGAAACATATCAATAAATACGTTATTTCTAACATAAGGAACTCGGGATACACGGGAATAATATTTTTAAGACAGTCTACAAGTGAATTATTTTATTTTTAAATACCTGCTTGGACCGGCCGTCGAGCCATTTTGTTCGTTAGCACATGCTTCTTCAGACATCCCGTGGTGATTTTAAGCTGACTTATTTCTTTGTGAGGTGTAATTTGTTCAATTGTAAGACGCTTATCCGCTTGATAAATATTTACTTAGAAGGAAGAGCGACTATAAATTGAAGCAGAAACACGTTAGAATGTAGTATCGTAATAATTCCACTTTAACACGCGAAAATTCGTTATTCGGCGAGCTCGATTATGCAAATTATATTTGCACCTGACACGACTTGCATAAATTTATCAGATAATTCCAAATGGTTACTTGTCATACTAACGTCAACTTGTTGAAACCTCATCGTCATCAAGGTCTAGGAAAACAAAACAAAACAAAAATAATTCCACACAACCGAATATTATCTGTAGTGAATTATAAAATAAACTTCACTTTTCTTTAGGTTTACTGGTGCAATGAACGACAGGTTTCTGACCAATCAGGGCGCCCGTAGTATCTGTAGAAAATCTCTTTCGTTTTTATAATACAATTTTTTTTCTCTTCTTCTTCCCACCCTCCTCCCCCCCCACTTTGCACTATCTTTGTATTCACGCGCGATGCGCGTGATTTCACAAACTAGCCAATCACGTTTAAGAATTCTAACCTTATTATTAGAAAACCGACGTGGATCTTAGGTAGTTTCGGAGTCTTTTTATTGTCGCGAAATGTTGCGGTTCATTTACCAAGTTTAATACATATTTTCTGCGGAGTTTGGACTTCAGCCTCTTGTTACGTAATTGGATTTTTTCACAGTATCTCAGTTGATAAATAAATGAAGAATTTCCCCCAGCATTTCGTCATGTTTTTCTGATAATTGGTTGCTGATTTTAATGAGATTTCGAAATATTCCGATTAAAAAATATCTTAATCCACCAAAATCTGGCACATATTTTTCAAGCTGAGCACTGTTGTAAAAGACGTAACACAGCTCACCGAAAAATCATGAGGATGTTCAACCTCGTTACCAGGGTTTTCTCCCTTCGATCTTCGACCTGGGATGATTGGGGTGTGATGCAGGAAACATAGTCTACGGCCTTTTTGTGACGTTCGAGGAATGAAGATTTCGCAAGACAAGTCAGGTATCAAGAAGAACAAAAATTTATTTATTATCAGTTTCATTGAAATAAAATCTAGCCCAGCGATTTACCATGCTTTGAATGTAACGTAAATAAAACGAATGTTGTTAAACAACTGTACATCTAAACTAGTCTTTCTTTTTTAAAGAAAACAGTTTGAAGATAGGAGAATGCTTAGTTGCTGTGAAATGAAAAGGCGCAACTTCGAGATAACTTTTTGAAATTCATAACTTTTTTTTTTAATAATCGGTAGGCTCTTTAATTTTTTTGGGCTTTCCATACTTTCCGAGATAAGAATTCAATTAATATTCGACGCTAAAATATACAGATCTTTTTTCTTAAATTCCTGTAAGCATTTTTGTTAAAGCAGAATATTACTTTACCACACAAGTGCAACAGTTTTTACCAAGAAGAAAGTGTGAATGAAAATAAATACTGAGGATATGTATGTTACCAATGAAAGCTTTAGAGATGATACAGAAAAGGTAAAGTAAAAAATTCAGCAACAAGATGATACTCAAATTGTCAACTTTCCTTCCCTGCAACAATGTTTATCTACTCTTTTAAAACTCTAGTAGAGAGAAATTTTTGGACTGTCTTAATCCTCTAATGATCTCCATAGCTCAAGTTTGTAAGAACTAAACTCTAGGTAGTGGTTAGCTGTAAATGTATGCCATAGTCTAAGCATACATGCTCCATTTTGTGTCAATTCCATAAACATTTACTCTCTACATTCCTGGCTTGAACTAAGGATCTAGTTTTACCAGTACATCCAGATATTAACTGCATACTTCAAGATAATAATGAAAATTTGACTCTGATCCAGCATTCTCCCATATTTTAAGTAAGACAGGTAAAGGAAATTTCCAGGTAGAGCATTCGTTTTAACTGTTGAATTTTCAAGAATTCCTTGCACTTTTAGAAATTTTAGTAGGTAATAAGGTACTAGAGGTGGTAAATTTCCCAGTTACCTCTTGAAAAGGAGAACACTGCTAATCACTGTCAAGGTTCAAAGCTGTTAAATTTGACTCGTGGATTCTTATGATCCATGGCTTTCACAATTTATACTTGGCAGTAAACCAAACAAATAAAACAACACAGACCTTACAATAAAAACACAGAAACAAAGTTTTACATGCATAAAAAGTTACATGAAAAGAGCAAAAATAAATCAATCCAAAAAACACAATATTTTTCGCATCAGCTTGTCTTGTTGACAAGTGAATTCTCAATATCATTTATAATGAGGAATGATAGGCCCCAGAGTAAAACAAAAATCTTAAAAAAATCTTTTAGATAAATAAATTAACCCCAGCCCATTTTGTGAAATTGGTCTTTGTAAAATACAATAACATTCAAAAGCTGTAACAAATCTTGACCAGTATGACTACATGAACAGCGAATTTGAGCACGTTAAGGCAAACCCCATTCAAATGCACAATATATACAAATAGCAAATTTTTTTTAAATAATTAGTGTACAATCTTTGTAAGCAGCATCAGCGACTCTTGGTTGCCCACATTATATCATACTCTTTTCAATAGTCTGTCCTTTTTCAAATAAATTATCTCATCTCTTCAATACACATAGTAGAAGTTTGATGCACCAGGATTAAGATAGCTCTGCATATGGCGTGACTGTTCCACTGCTGCTGTCACCCGTTTATTAAAATCACCATGAAGAACATCTCCGCCTCGTGGAACTCTATAGAGGAACCCCTCCACACCAAGCATACACAGGCCTTTCCCATTCATCAAGAACTTATCTGCTGTTACATCCCTTATGCTGTATCTCTCTGTTGCCCATTTCAGCCATTCCATCACTTCCCATTTATTCCACATTCTTGGATCTAAACGAGATAATAAGAGACTAAGTAACCCTTTACACCATAACATCAGAATGCATATTCTCCAAACTACTGCTAATACATTTCCTAAGGTGCCGACAAAGAGAATTTGTAAAACAATCCAGAGCTTCTTAAGTCAGTGGTCATTACTTTTAGTTTGTGACCTTAATGCTTGATTCAGGGGTGATGTTGTCAAGGGAAATTAAAAGCTAGTCACTTTTAGGCACCAAAGGGTTAACATCTGGTCCCAAGAAAGACAGTCTGCCTTTATTCAAAAAAACTTTCTAGTTTTTAATAGAATCTATCTTTATCAAGGAAAGAATCACTAAAAAATTAAGGCAGAACTGATCACACTCTTTTCCTGAACATTGTATGTGTCTGTATACATACAAAATGTTATCCTTTGTTGAATTGCTCTTGATACACCCCCACCCCCAAAAAAGTAATAATAATATATTAAAATAAAATAATAATAATAATAATAATAATAATAATTTCAAAGCCATCACATTTGTATGTTCAGTACTGAAATACTCTCCCCTAATATTAAGCTGATAGGGTTAGGTTAAAACAAGCACAAGCCTGGAATCTGATATTGCAAATTAATTCATAACTTAATTAAAATACTACTTTTCCTTAGACCTACTAATTGTAATCAAATAAAGACAAGAGTAAAGAGATCAGAAAAAAATATCAATAAAAACTGTGTACAAAGATGTTTCAGCACAGAAATCTAAATCAATGATGCCATTACTAGATAATTTTACACAATCTTCACACACGATATTATCACCCACACCTAATAATTTGTATACATGTAAATGTGTAACAATAACCAGTTTTTCTGCATTTAGCAAAATAATGCAAAATGTTTTTGTGTTTTGTGACGGTTGAGGAATCATTCAAATTAAAAGGAATTCTTTAATTTTCTTCCTTACCAGATGGCACTCTGGGCTGTTCAAAGTTAAACACATTATCTTCATCATCAATATCTGGTACGACACAATCTTCAGATGTTGATGTGCTACCTTTCTTTCTTGTTGGAGACGGAATGTCTGGGGAAAAAGACATTGTGAAATCAGCAGTGAACACTGGCAGAAGCAACAATATTGTTTTAAACATTTACACACCTACTGCTGTAATGTCTCCTTAAAGTACACTGCTGAATCATTTATTAAGATCATGAAAATATCTGAAATGACTCCCAACCTAAGAAGCTTTGATCACTGAATGAATTCCCCTGTCAGTACCAAATGAAATGTGTAGAGAAGAGTATGAAAGACATGGATACTGATATTAGGGTGAAAAGGGTTAAACTTAAGTAGAAGCATTAAATATCTATCAAAATTATCAAACACAAGCATTCAGACAAGGGATCTTTGCATTAAGCCCAAAAAGGTTTATTGAGAGCTTGTCCCCCATAGGAAACATTTTAAGTAAATTAGTTATTGTTTACAAAAAAAAGTTGAATGAGATTGATGGACACTATGCTTTTAACACATCAGCCTCAAAATTACACTAAGAGAAAAGAGTACACCCAGAGGTTTTGCATGTCCACCTTCGGAGCTTTGAGAAGAAACTAATTCAGTGATTAGGATAGTTTAGTATCATGAACTGAGTTGATCACATAAACTGGCCACCATAAAGAATTTCTAAGCTGACATTTTAAACCTAAGCCCTTAGTCAGAGCAAATGATAACTTACTGCACAGTCTTGTACATTAATAAAAGAGCAAAGTTTTCAGTTCAAAGTGATGCCTTACCACAACAGTAACTACTCAGGTTTTTCAATGTGAAACTTCTGGCTCAAATCTAACTTTAGCTTTATTGTGATAAAAACTGAATGACACATAAATGCCTTGAAACAATTCCTTTTTAACTACCTTGTAACAAAATTACATTTTGAGGAGGGAGAGGTTAGGGAGAAGAAGTCCCTGAGTACCACTCCCTCTAAATACACCTATGATTCCACACGTGGTGGAAAATTCTATGACACATTTGCCTGTAGGCCAATACTATTTAACTGATAATTAAGGTATGTGCTTAAGCTAATTGGCTAAGTATGCTTTTAATGCAAAAGAAAAAACATGTTATAGTGATAAAATCTGTCACTTGAAGGAATCCATGTCTTTCACAATAGTTCCTTGTGACATGTGTAGTTAAGATTCTATTTTTGTACTGTTCTTTGCATATGAACGAATATTGGCTCCAAGAACTCCACAAATTTACATCAGTTCTTATTTAAAGAAACACAGCGGAGTTGGGAAAATATTGGACTAGAGGAGAGATGCGGCTTTTTTTCACTTATAGCAATATTGTGTTATCAGCAACATTTTACATACACCCCCACATTTCCTTTCAAATTAATACATAGAAAAAGATATGATATTGAGTTCTTCAAATTGATTGAGTAATTGCTGTTGGCAACCCTGATAAATAATGGAAACCACTACAGATGTTTGCTTAATTATATCTTTAGCCCTGTCACTCCCATCAGTGACCAAGACAGAATTTCTCATTACAATATTGATACAATATCAAGGAGACAAGTGATGAGAATACACCAAAATTTCAATTAGGTGATTACAAGTTGATCTAACACCAAATTCTCCAAAGGAACATCAAAAGAATTGCATAACAGACAGACGCAAGAATTTCTGATGAGATCTTAAGACCAGAAGGGTTATGGCAAAGTCACTTCCCTCCAGAAAAATACATCTTAGAGTTAGCCTCAGTGCACACATCATGCACAATCTAATTTACATCACTTGTTTGCAGACTTCAAACAACAGAATCCAAAAATTAAGGCACTTGAGTATCACTGACCATAACTATTTTTTCTCTTTTGTCGCCAACCCTTTGTTTTATTTCAGAGGAGTGTATCTAGAGTTTTCGTTACCCCTCCCACTCACTAATGAAACATTCAATTCAATTTTCAATTTTAAACATGTTTAAAAGTTGTTTTGTTAAACACAGAAACTATTTAAAAAATTATACACGAAAGTTAAAGACTTGAATCCAATGGAAAATCAAGTTTTTCAGTGCTCTGTTTATAATTTTCATTCAATGAAAACCAGTTTAACAAAACATGTTTTGCTGGTGTGAATGGGGTATTAGACTAGTTTCACTTCCTCAAGAGCTGCACAGGGAGCACTTCAACTTGGTTTTAAGCTGTGATTTAAGTATCGGAATTGAAAGTATTTCCTTCACTGGTGTAAGAACAACAATAAAATCCTAGTAATTCCCACTAAAATAAGAAATAACTCACTTGAATTTGATCAGTATCAAATTTTTTTTTACCTCTCAGTAGAAATTAACTATCGAAAGATCCGAATCAAATAAAATTGGAAACAGGTACTGGTTTTCACTTCATTTTCTCTTGAAGAAAAATAAATCACACTTCACTAATTATCAAGTTAGGAGAAAACAAAAGAAATTAAAATGAAAAGTTTCCACGCAAGATTAGATCGCTGCCCACACTAAACTATTACCCATGAGAAACGACATCTGCAATATTCTGAAAGAAAAAATCTTACTGTGGGTTTCGGTGTTGCTTGAAAAAATATCTTGACAAGATATTTCTCAGGCCGATCCAGTTTCTAACTTAATTCTACAGATAATACAGAAAAAAATAATCCGTCTCCAATGGCAGACAAAACGTAACCTTTAAAATAAACTTAGTCGTACAAATATGTACCAATAAGACAATTAAATTTGTCAAAACATATTCAACTCTTCTCGCTATCGTTTCGTTAGGCCATGGCAAAATTTTTTTTGCATTCCTTCTACTGATTTGTCTTGTACATCTGCCCTGTTTCCCAGGCAAAATAAATTGAAAGAAACCGCAAATAACAGGCATTCTTGTGGGCGTCCGGGAATAAAGTTTACCTCACACTGGAACAAAAAGTTCTTTGAGAGAACTATGACATAAATTTACACGGCGTGATTCCCAAAGCCTACGCAAATTACATTATCACTGCGAGATTTAATTACCGAACATTCTCTTCGAAAACAATACTTTTAAATCACTTTCACTAGCAACAACAGCATAAAGAGAAGATCCATGATTTGCGTGGTATTAACCCGATTTACTAACCTAGGAAACAAATCATTATTCATGACACAAAAACATTCATGTCATGACAGAGAACAAAACCCGCACACTTGATAAAGTTCTCGAATACTTTAGATTGATACTTTACCTTGGAAATTAACTCGAATATCAAGTTGGGTATCTTCCATAACTCCCTGCTGTCCTAATGTGAGATTGTCTTGAAGCTGAAGAGCGGAAAAGAAGCAAGTATTGATCTAAAAGTCATATCCCCGGGAGGTCATCACACAATATACTAACAACGCTCATTTATGCCGCGAATAGTCTGCGCGTCACGTTAGAAATATAAGATTGCATTGTTAATATCGCCAAACATATGTGTGCATGAATCTTTTCAATATAACTTTCGTGAGCACGATCTTTACCAAGCTTATGCACGAGACTTCTAATTAGCGCAAAGCTCGCTTCAAGGAACAGTTTCGATCCTTTGTAGCATGTGGGAGTGCATTTCGAAATACATTTCGAAAGAAACTCGAGCGCAGCTTTCATCGTTTATTGCTTTGCAGCTGATTCAATGAGATGTAGTAGTAAGAAAAATTTAGCCAGGAAATAAGACGACGAATTAAACCTGAGGCAATCAGGTAAAGCTTCGAACGCACGCACCACTTCAGCGTGACTCTCATGCGCGAGTAGCTTTGCATTGTCCTCGATCGCGCGCGGACATGAAAAAATTCCATTCCGGCATGCAGTTTCTAGCACATACTACGGAACATAAGCTACCAACCGGATTTCCGTGAAAGAAAACATCTTGTTCTCCAACAGTAAAACCCTCTTGCGCCTCTATCATTTGTTTCAGCCTGAAGACCGTTAAGGAAAGATGAATTCGGAAAGGAAACGACATTCGCGGCGTGCCATCGTCGATGAGAACTCTAGGAAAAGGAGCAAACATGGAACCTAGCCAATTACTACAGCTGCACCAAAAGATTAACTCTGTAAAATGCTAAAAACAACCTCAGAAGAACAAAAACAAGGATGGTGCTAAAGCTTACCGAATGGCAACAGGATCGCTCATTGTCTCGGAACAATTTCCTATATTGAAATTCGCAAATCAAAGCAGTGTAATGCAGGCCGCGGTCTTTCTGCTAGCGAAACCAATCCGACGCGATCAATGCTTTAACAAGACGTATCGTCAAAGATTGAACGAAACTCTGCTGAAATATAAGTTCAGCCGCCGTTCGTCAGGATCGTTGCGTAGAATCCATTTCGTGCGCTGTTTCCTCAACTCCAAGCTGATCCAACGACTATTGTCATGTAATAATAGGCAATGAAGTCATTGCTCCGTGTTTTAAGACCCAGGAGGCCGTCGTCCTGGAAACATCAAGCCCTATTGTTGTCGGCCTGCCTTATTTGGTTGATACCTCCCTCGCGATATCGTCACCGTTCCAAATTTGGAATTTGGTTTCACGAGATTTGCGTGCCGATGACGGCACGCCTAAGGATCGGGTCACGAAGATCTTCCGAGAAATGCCGTAAAGTATGCGAACGCTTTTTCATCGATATTAATTTACAAATGTCACGCGCTACTTGTGTGCTGAACATTCTGCACATGTGAATCAGGGAGGAAATGTCTCGGCGAACATTTCATTTCCCCCTTTCCACTCGCATAATTTTTCTTTAATTGATTTTGACCTTTGCCAAGCAAGTCGCCCTTAGGACTAACTTGAAATCGAGATACACGCTAAGTTGCGTGAGGGAGCATAGCTTTCCAATAACATATTTGAATACATATCAGCAAATATCGTCCTTTTAAAAATAACAGAATAAAACCCTTTCATACAAAATAGGAATATGACTGTTTAATTTCGGGTAGGTAAAGGCTATATTTAGAGAACCCTTGAAAATACAAAACAGCTGAGTGTTTATCATCCAATTCATAAGCGAACGATGAAATGCGTGCCGGGCCGGTCAAGTTTCACGGTTCAAAGCGTTTTTCTGTCTCCATTCAACAGACAGAAATGGGGAAAAAATCAAATATTTATGACTGTAATGTGCGTTACATGAGGTTCGTCAAAGCAACGCTTCTATCTCCGATTGCTCTCGGTAAAAAATTAACAAATCTTTAAAAACAGTTTGAGAAACGACAAAAATTCACACAGGAAGGAAAAACCTCCCTGAAAACGTGCCATCCTTAAGCTCACCATTTTGTCGAGGAAGCTTAACATAATGCTGGACAATTTCACGTCTCTTAACATAGTTAAAGTATCATTCTTTTGCGTGCAATGTATCGGTGTACTCTCTCAAGTTGAGTGAAATTGTTGACGGCTGCTTATTCAATAACTACCCAAGCACGTTTCAACTTTACACAAATATACAACAGTACGCTGTTAACTTGAACCACTTCCATTTTTATTCATTCATTTTGAGATACAATAAAAAGGCATTAGTATTTCTTTTGTGCCCTTTCAGTTTTCATCTCATTTCCAAGTTCAAGCAAATTGAAAATGCTGTCTCACTTCACAACCTTGACGAAAATACTCAAGTACAGCATTTTTCACATAGATCTAGCCACTTCACTAGAGAATACTCTCCAGGGGAACTACGAATTCAACTTCACCACCTGAGCTGTCACAACGTTCAGTGATTAAACTTCCCGACAGTTTCGACTCTGGACATTCAACACTATTTCGCTTTCTTGTTCTTGAGAAGCGCTTGCCTCAGTGCAAACTGAAAAAGGCAAGAACAGGCTAAGAGAAACAACCTAGTTACTCAAAATAAATACGACTACTTTTTCGTTTTCATGTCTTCATCTGATCAGGGAGAGAGACGAGAGAGTGCCAAAGCGTAAGAATGTCTGAATACTCCAAGTAAGACTAGGAACCTCTCTGAAAAACAATTCTTGACAAAAAACACTATCAGTATAACGCACTTAGCATTTTTCTTATATTGGCGAAGTTTTTTCAAGTTTTTTTTTTTTTATGGAGCGTTACTGTACTGACAAGGACTGACAAAATCTGTTGTGTCTGTTAAAGAAAAAATAATGCTTAAAAGAACCAACCTGCTTATCTCGAAAGGAACGTTTGTTTTTCCCTCTAACATCTTTGTTATGACGCATCATCATGAAATTCTTGTGTTTCCTTTTCTCCTGCAAATGTCCAGAAAAGTTGGTTTTCATAAAATGGTCTTTTTTTCTTAATACATTCTGAGAAACTCTTTCTTTGAATTGCTCCAAAATGTTTGTAACGAAAAACAGTCTCCACTGACCTTGTTTGATGTGCTAGCAAATTGATTGAGACGCTTCTTTGAAGCCTTCTTTGAGCCGAATTTTTCTCTACCTTGTCTACCAGCCTGAAAAAAGAAAAATAACGAGTATGTGAATTTTAACTGTATTGAGATTTTCTAAGCCGGAGATTTGGTCAGTTACAGAAGGAGTGCTATTCTCATAACCACTATTGCTGGGATAGACACGTGATCCATCATCCGTTCATCAGGGAAATAACTTGCACAAACTTTCCAACACTTCCACAAACTTTCCAACACTTCCACCTAGTAACAGCGTAAGGAGCGAGTAAAGCAATAATCCTCGCAGGAGAGGTCTAGTTTAAGCAGATTGCAGGAAAGAAGCCCTTGAAAGAAATTCAGGCTTCGATGGGATTCAACCCTGTGCCTTCCAGATACTAACTGGGCGCTATTATCAACTGAGCTACGGTTCCACATGTTGGAAACGGGGAACATTAAGCCTCTTCCCTGTGGAGGAATCTGATCATAATTTCTAAAAATATTAAATCTTGTGTAAAGAGCCTGTAGCTTTCGAAAGTCAGAAAGCAACGTTTGTGTCAACCAATATCTACTCTAGACTAAGACAGGAAGCAAACTTGGTGATTAGGAATGCGCAAACCGAGAGCTTCACTTAAAACGCATTTGAACCTCTCTAAATGACCAGCCTGAGGTCGCTTCAATGAGATAAGCGTACAAATCTTTAAGTTCAGTGCATGCACGTCAGAGTATTTTCGAGGACAGAAGAGGATTTGAAGATATCTTCTGTCCATTTTGTAAAGTTTCCATCAGAAGAAATGCGAAAACCATACGATCCGTTCGTGACTCTATTTTTTTCCTTTAATTTTTAAATCCCTATTCGCAATTTGTTGACCGGCCGGTCTCACACTTAATCAATATCAACCACTTGTATACGTCTGAGAACTTATAAACGCAAAAATATCGTCATCACTTTACAAACAGCTCACGATTATGACGACTAATTTTTCCGGCCCTTTCTTCAATGAACGTAAAAGTGAAAATACTGGAACCTTCATTTGCTCTTGAAGTATAATATCTTGATCACGATAAATGAAAAGAGAAAAAAATTGCAAAACAAACTCAGCAGTAAAAACGTGCCAACGCCGCCTAAGCTTTCAAAGTATTCCTGTCTGTTCATGCATGCAATGTTAGTGGCCACAAATCCAAGTATGTATGACTCCATTGAAAAGCAGACGATAGTGATTTAGTTCTTGTCTGAGTCGAGATCACGCTAGTTTCGTATGGTATTGGCAGGTCTCTAAATAAAGTGATTGACGTAATCATTTTCGTAATTTACAAAGAGCAGTGCGGAGCTATAACAAAACCTAATCCCCAACCGCTTTGTTCGACGGTTATGCATGTTACACGAATCAGTGAAATTCATATTAACAACAAGACGAAATATTTTCAGAAGTATTTCTTTTAGACTCTTATTTTATTCGGAAGAGTTGGAACCTTTTTGCTGTGTATCCAACCGGTGGCATGTGCGTCATCCAAATTCCCCCTTGCATCAATATCTTTACACTTAAGACACGGCTTCCCAAAGGGAAATGTTTTTCAAAGGTCTCAAACTGTTCTTCCTGTAGTGATGTCATTTAAGAAATCCAAATGACCTCTCAAGGAAGCTCACTCAAGTTTGACGTATTTTGAACATTTTGGCTTCATCTTCCAGGCTCTTCAATTGAAATCTGTGTCATGATCTCCGCCACCTTACACATAATTGTGTCTATATGGTTAAATCTAAACATTTTATTAATCTCCTTCCCAAGCACACAACCATTCACGAGGTTTCTTTCTATTAAAAGCCAATGATGTAAAAATAGCACCAAATGCTGTGACAAAGGTCGTAATTTTAACTCAAATCAGCCGTTAACCCCGACTGTGTCATCGACATATGCTCGTGGTAAACAAATCCAAAACAAACATTAGACGGACGAGCTTCCAAGGCCTTACATATGATCGAATAACAGAATAACAGGCAGGCATCAGGAAGAGGCTACAGATTCTACATTGATACAACGACAATTTATGTTCCACTCCATTTGCCATCAGAATACGATGAGACAGTGAAGTCATTGGAATCATAGAAACGGTTTAGAAAAATTTATTTTAAGAAGTCTTGGGATAAGCAGATCTTTCTGCAACACAAGGAAGCTGTACATAAAATCTGGGAAATTTCCCGCCGTAAGTGCAGGAAGTTCATGCGATAACCCCACGTGTAAAGAGGAAATGTTTAACTCTTTAACTCCCAGAAGTGATGAACATAAAACTTCTCCCTACAATATCCATACATTCTTTAGCAAACAGGTAATGAGAATATTCAAACTTATCAGGTAGAAGCTGCTATCTTGATCTAGCACCAAGTTCTCAAAACTTATATACAAGGAAATGTGTAGCAGCTACAGGGGAGAATTAACAATAAAATCTTGGAAGTTAAAGGGTTAGGCTTGACGTTCTCCCTCACCTTTCTTACAATGTTAGCCCCAATCTTGCAAAAGCTGCTGGTGTTTTACTTTATAAATGCGACCCTTCGATCTGTGCATTATGGGAAAAGCAGCCCAAATGCGCAAAGTCTGTAGTTGGCAATCGGTGTAAACTTCCCTCCACTAAGGAATATCACAGCTACCTCTCTTCAGGTAACATACATCTTTAATATCTCTTTCTTCCCCCCCCCCACCCCTTACATGCTTAAATTTTGTGGTTTCCTTAACTTTGACGATTTCTCTTTTCGGCGTGAGTTGAAGAGATCGTTCTATACTCCAGTGAAACACTCCCCTCCCTCTGACGCAACAGAATGCTACAAAATTACAAAATGTTAACCTGGGTATTTGTGTGTACAAAGGACTGGGGGGGGGGTGGAAAGAGGGGTTTCCGCCCAGGGGTCCAACCTTTCCCCAGTTATTTTCCACTTTTGACTGAAAGTTAATCCTTTCGTGTACCATTTTTCTAAAAGAGTGCCCTCTTATAGTTCCTGTTTACTTCCTTCATGTTTCTCTTGGTATAAGGGTAGGTTAGGTGCCGGGAGAGGGTGGCGGAGAAAATGCTAATTTCAAGCCCGCGGGTATTTATTGATGACGGGAAACGAGTCACGCTACACTTCACCTTTTGAAACACGTCCCGGTTACTACAACTCCACGAGTTCCGTTTTAGCAGAGCAGGAGAATACTTCTGCTACCGCTAAGTACTTATAACCTGTTCCTGTTTACTTGCAAATCAACGGCAAGCGGCAAATCGTGGAAAATTCGAATTCATCGGGCAATAAAAATTCCACATGATAAGTTTCTAAACTAAAAAACGGGCACAACTGACGATAAACGGCGGATAAGCACAAGATAATCACAAGAAAATCACGACTTGGACAAGAAAGACTCTTTTCAAAAGCTGAATGGAATCTAATTGCAACATGGGGGGCTACGGCAAACGAAAGCAAGAGTTCCCGTGGAGAACAATTTTTCTTTTTCAAAATTTAGCTAAAAATTTCAGAGGGATATGTTACTCATAATCAAAGATAATTACGTAACACAGGAGCCCAAGTAATGGGCTCCTGCCTAACATCACCAAACAATGCAATCACCTCCGCGCGCGTATTACGAGTGCGGCATGCGTTTCCACACGCGTTATCGCGCGCGCGCCCACCATGTGAGCTTCATCTCATGTAAAGAGACACAAAGGAAGTTGTAAGCCATACTATCAGGCAGGATTAGAACACGCCTTAATCGGGTTACCAGCGGCGGAGCATGCAAAGGAACTCTTAACACAGGAAAGCAACTTCTACCAGCAGTTTAGCAGAGCGCTCAAGATTCCGCTTATGAAAAGGAACCACTGCGATTTCCTTAATTAAAAACAAATCGTGACCTCCAAAGAGTATTGTGCAAAGATGGACAGAGATAGCACACGTACTACCGTGAAGCAATGTCTGCAATTTCCTGCGCAAACTGTGCCGCTGTGAAGAATAAAAGCCTTCATGCTGCACGTTTAGAGAATAACAAAAAAAAAAGCGTTAATATTTAACACATCACCCTGTTTGAAACAGCAAATCTATAAACGACAATTACAGAAACGAGCAAGTCGCCGACTGAGACCACAAGTGAAATTCGAAACGGAAATAGAGATCAGTGAATTTAAACATCTTGTTAGAGACAACGACAAACGTCAAAAATAACCCCTAGGGTGCTTACTTTTCCTTTATCATTAAATAAACCCTGATTCAAACCCCTAGTAGTCGACAACTAATGCAGATATTTTAGTCCGTGTGCACTGACGGCTGAAAGCAGACGGTGAAAAAATTCCCTCGACCGTTTTCTGATCGCCATTTACGTCATGTTTGACCTTTATCAGTTGGTGTTCTTTAAGTCAACTTGAGTGATTTCGGGGTTCTTGTTTCTTTGGAAATAAGCGCATCTAACGATCCTTGCCAAAGTTCAGGTATTCAAAACGTTTGTCATTCCAAAACTTGCATATTTTACTTCTCAGTTGGTACGTAAGCTATAATTGGTCAATTTAGCGACACGTATTTCACTGTGCGGCCTGCTATAGTCAAAAATTGGTTGAATTGGAATCTTCCCCTTCTATTTGAACCCTCAGATATGATCAATATCTTCAGTTACAAACCTCGTTTTCTTGGGTCGTACTGTAAGTCACGGAACCGATTCAGTTTTTGCCGCTCACATTTGTGACCCGCGCGCTTGGTGCTTAGGCCATAAGTCCGAGTGGAAAAGAAAAGACACGGTCCCTAATTTACAGTATGGACCTTCAACTCAATTAGTAAGGAGGATTCAATAAAAAATTTTTTACGAAGATACTTTAAAACAATGCAGTAAAATGATGTATGATTCTGTATGGAATGGCTACGAAAACGTTAAAAGCCGGTGGTTTAAAGTTGCCTCATCTACAGTCTATATGAAGACACATTCGTTGGTAACGAATCACATATTCCCTTACCCTTTAGAAATAATTATGATTGGTCCTAGACGACATCGAAACTTGATAAAATTGTGGCTCTTGACGAGAATCGAACTATTTTTCCCTGGACAACGGTTAAGTTTTTCTAATATTGACCTATAGCTATTCGAAGGCCTTTTTCTTACCTTGCAATTTACCTGTAGAGCTAAATTTGTCACACCATATCTAAAGGTCGAACAAGATGAATTTTCACTTAAATACGCCTTCAACGTCATTTGTGTCGAATAAAAGTAAAACTAGAGCCCATTTGTGCGAAGAGTGGATAACGCTATCCAACAGATAAATCGCTATCCAGAGGATAACTATTAAGAAACCGTACTGCGCTATCCACCGGATAGTGATTTATCCAAAGGATAGCGTTATACAACCTTTGAATAAACGGGGCCAGACCTCTCGAATAAGTGGCTAAAGTTCGGATCATACTGGCATTGCGTTTAATTCTTTAACACTTCATTCCATAAGAAAGACTGACTTCTAATTCTCCTTAAAATATTACCGTTGAATGAAATACAGAGGTCTCAAGAATAAAGGAAATGATCATCAGTTACAAGAAGCCCCTGATTGTCAAACAAATTCTCTTATTCAGTACCATAAGGAGAGAATAACAGTATTGATCTACCGTTAGTTCCTGACTACTTACAATCACGGTCTCGAGTCTGGATTCTTTATCGTGTTTCCTCTTCTTGTGAATATTTTCGATGTCTCCCACGGAAATAAGTTCGTTTCTGTGAAAAGAGGTGAAAACAAACAAATAAATGAGCTAAAGAATATAAAAGCACCCAAATAGTCAAACCAACAAACCTAAAATACAGGCGAATAGAATTACACATGAAAGGAAATGAGTTGGTAAATAAACCAGCGCGTAGCACAGCGGTCAAACGTCGAGCATGCGCTTCTTTCCCGCGCAAAATTTTCAAGGAAAACATAAGAAACAACCGTGGTCTTGCAAGATAGTTGAAACGTTCATAGAAATCTGTAAAAGAAACAACACTAGGGAAAAGGGAAGCTCGAGACTTCCAACTCACAGCAATACAGGTATCCTGCAGATTTAGCCTGTGTATTGAGTGCGAATGTCCGAACTACTAAGATACTCCGAAACAAACAATAAGTAGCACCGGGAACATCGGGTCAAAATTGGGTCTAGATCGTAATTCTGTTGTGACACTCACTGACTCACTCATCTCGACGAAATATGTAACTTTGCCTCCTACAAGAGGTAGTAGCCACAAAAACGAGTGTGCCAGATGTTTTTTGTTACCACCCCAATATACATTAAACTGTCGTCTCCACAGCTCATAGATATTTTATTATTCACAGAGAAATACTAACCTTTCAGCTGGCTCAGTGGTGTCTGAAGTCCTCTTTCGCTTCTTACCCGCTTTGGGGTCAATCTGACGTGCGATTTCACGCATCTTGATTTTCTTGAAGTCGTCATCTGTGAGAAACTACAGAAAAAGGGTAAACAATAGATATGCTTCGTGAAATAAAAGCCACAAATAAACACGAGCAAACAAACAAATAAACCCTTTATTTGATATAAGAGGCTCTATATCATGACAAAGTCTCTGCTAATGACTATCGGGCACCTCTTTGGCTGTGGAGGCCTGTGGAGTTATCATGAATAACTGAACAAGGCTATTTAAGCAGCAAAAAAGTGATGATATTTACATTAATAATATTGACTGAATCATGAGCGTCACAGGCTCGAGTCGCCATTTCGAAATACAAATGAAGTCTTGGCTGATTTAAGCACGATGTCAGCAAAAATTTTTATTTTATCTGCTGGTAATGTCTACCAGCCTTTGAAGCGGTGTTAACTCACTCACTATGTCAGCAAAAATTTTTATTTTATCTGCTGGTAATGTCTACCAGCCTTGGAAGCGGTGTTAACTCATAATACAGTTATACTCCGCAACAGCGCTTTGAAAAAAAAAAAAAAAAAAAAAAAGGAAAATTGAGGAGAAATAACGCAAGAAGCGAACAATATTTCTTACTCTTGACTGGCTTATTCTTGCTGCCTTGGTTTTCAAGTCTTCGCTTTCATCTTCTCCTTCATTCTCTTCGTTGCTTTCTTCCCCTTCCTCATCCTGCAGCTCATCCTGCAGCTCATTCTGTTCAAATTGATTAAAGACAAAACATATTTTATGTACAGGGTGCCAACTGGGCATCAAAGATCATTACCTTAACATGTTTTTACGAGTGTAATTTTGACCCTGACAGGGCTATTTCCAATTGAGTGTTTACAGTACTGTAATCCGTGATTGCAGTGGTTTTGCTTTACGCTGCTTTGTGATTGGTCCAGAAAACTCGCGCCACTCTCTCAACCAATCAGACGCAAAACTAAGATCGATTTCGTCTTGGTCGCCCGCGTTTTCCCGCGCTTTAGGTAGTTTGCTTGTGGTTACTTTGATTCTCATTGGTTCTTAAAGGTATTTTCCTTTCTTTTGATTGGTCGTTGTTGATTGGTCTTGTTTTTCTTTACTGTAGGTACAATATACTACCATCTGAGTGAATTTATTTATTTGCGATATTGAGACAGGCTGGCCCCGTTCAGCTTTTAAAGCTGGTTACCATGGGGACCTGTATAAACAATAACAAGACCAGATCACAACACCGTAGGCTAAGTTCCCTACTCTTTGCGAGAAGTGTGAGGGTTCTTTAACGTCCCCTGCTAACCAGTACAGAGAAGATGTAAGAGACGTGACCTACAGTTTCTCGTCCTTACCCGAAGGGACTAAAATGTCCAACCATTTGCGGATGTTATATCAAAAATAGCAAATTTTCCTCAGTTATTTTAAGACCCTGAGTATTGGTCCGGTCTGGTACTTAAACCCTCGACCTGCCACACGGCAGTCCGGTGCACTACAACATAAACTAACCAAGCGCAGTGTATAAAACTCTTTAAAACAGGAATACATCTCCATTAAGTTATTCTAGTACTCCAAAATTAGTTTCGCTTTGAACTTTTATGAAAAGTAACAACATAAAAGTGCAGGTCAACTAAAAGCAAACATTCAAACCAACAAATCTAAAATAGACAAACTGCACCTCTTCCTCTTCGTCCGATGAATGATAAATATCCACCCATTCACCATCGTCGTCATCATCTTCGTCACTCTCCCACCCGTCTAGGGGAAAAAACTCTCGCCGTTGTAGTTTTATAGTGTATACATTTACTTTTAGCTAGTAAAAGCACTTACAGCGTTAGATATATCTAGACCTCTGCATCTCTGTTTGTGCGAACCCAAAGCTATCACATAAGCTATGCCATACATGGACCGAAACAGCCTTTTTTCCTTTTTTTTTTCCTTATTAATTTTTTTTTCTTATTCTTTTGGTTTTAATTGTACTGAGGTTATTATTCCCACGACTTCCCCCTTTCCATCACTAATAATTTTGCTGAAAGGAAGAATGAACAACAAGTGATATGACGCTGGATCTCTAATGAAATCAAATTTACCTTGGTTTTCGTCATTGTTTTGCTTCTCTTCATCCTGATCATCATCAAGTACCTGTTGCAATTAAAGTATTGAGTTGTTACCTACATCATTCATCAACTCACGTCGCGAGATCAGACTGACAATCGAGTGACAAAACAGTGCAGTGTCCTCCCCTCAAAGAAAATAACGGGAGGTGGGGAGGGTAGGGGGGCAATCCTCGATAATAAGTTAAATCTTAGCTTCTTGGCCTATTGGAGGGGGGAATTTGGGGAGAAGGTCAGTTTAACCCAAAACGAGGTTGAGAGGAACAAAATTTAGCAGGCATTAGAAGATTGTGGGAGGAGTGGCTGCGTTCAAGCTATCCAATTGTGAAGCTCGTGGGGTGAGGTGAACATCTACCGAGTCAAGTCCCCGTCGATGACAAACATCACTCTGTCTCTTACAGAGTAGTCATATAATCACAATAAATACCAAGTCTTTGAATTATCATGTATATCAAGGATCACTGTTAGAGGATAACAGGGTTTCGCAGTAACATTAAACCACAATCCCACGGATGGTGCACAGGTTTCGAAATTCTTTCATCTCTTCTACGCGAACAATTTACCTCTGTCCCTGGAACGAAGTCTGTTGTTTTTAGCTCTCCATACTGCTTCACTGTCATCTCTTTACTTGCCTCTGTTGGTTTGCCCTTATTTAGCACGAAATAAAAACAGATAAGCAAAATTTCCCTGATATATACCGCTGGATAGAGCTCTTTTCAATAGTGTCGAAAGTAATCCGGCATTGCATTGGTTTTGTTTCATTTGGCTCTGTGATTGGTCCAGAAAACTCGTGCCACTCTCCCAACCAATTAGACGAAAAACTAAAACCAATCACGACTTGGTCGACGCGTTTTCCCAGCGTCAGCATGGTGCTGACATGGAGCATTTGTTAACCATCAGGAGCTTCTTAGGTCGATTATTATTTCGTTATTTCTCATGACTTCCGTGTTTGATTCATTAGTGACATTGTAAGAAGAAATTATACTTCAGTCACTCGTAGGATTTGAAAAGTTATGCACAGAATTCTTTACTTACCCTGTCTTTCTTGTGAAGAAGAGTTGGATTCACGGACCGAAAGAGCTGAATAAGCGATCGCGCTGCCATCATAACACCTGTGAATAACAAATCCAAATCCATTATCACAATTTTATAATGAAAAACAAAATAGAGCAGTTCGCAAGGAGTCACTGGAACGATAATCTATCTATCGCCTGGAGGGGAGGGAGGGGTCGGAGGATTTTGGTTGTGTCACAGTAAAAATTTACCTGAATACTCTGTTGGCGACGACTGATTCCCCCTATGTTCCCCTGACTGTGATTCCCCCAAAAAAAAAACCTCCATCCCTATGAGTCCTCCATGATTTGAATGATATCTGGTTTCAAATAGCCAAAGGAACATTTGAGATTTCCCTGACAGGAGAGAGAGAGAGAGAGAGACAGGGGAACGTGTTTTGTAGGACAACTTACTTTTGTCTTTAGATGTCTTGTACTGCGCTAAATCTTGAAGTAACTCATCTGTCATTACTAAGGGACATCTTGCACAAACTTCGCGGACAGCGTTCAAACTAGATGGAAGAGTGCGGCGTGTTATTAGCAGTCAGAGGAAGTTTGTGAGTTCTTTAGTGTGGAAGTATGTCGTTCATTTGAAAACTTCGCGTGTCTGTCAATGAAATGTCTTCTTAACAAACCTAGATAGCGCAACTGCTTTGAGAAAACAATCCCATAACAATCAACAAAAACCTGCCACAAAAAAATAACTAAATCGTCACCACAGCGACACACGACAGAAACTCACCCAACGGCCATTACTTCGTTAGAGTTCCTTTCAGTCACAAAATTATTTACAATCGCTTTTAAACCTGACTCGATAACCTGAAAAAAGAAAACGGACAAGCAAACACGTAATTATAGAAAATAAACATCTCGAAAATGAATCTTTAGAAGGGCATACATGAATGAGAGAAAAGTAATTAATTACTTATAAGACGAACATGAATGTGAATAATGAAATAAATAAGTAATTAAACACTAATCTTGAAAATAATCCACACCTAGAGGTGTAGCAACACAAATAATCGATATAATTTCATACATAATTTAGATTTATCAAGGTTGGAACTAATCGATAGATTTTGGTCAGTCTGGAATTGCAAGCCATCTTCCCAACCAAATTCGTCCATGAAGATATATACATGGGATTAAATTATCTATCGATAACGACAAATATCAATCTATGAAACGTTTTCCCGTTGACCTCAGTTACCAAGAGAAAACGCTGGGAACCGAGAGGAACCATCAATGCGTTGGCTGGGATGTGTGAATTCGACCAAAGTTATTTTAGTTTCAAACGGACAAGAAAGGTTGTCTCCCAAACATTTGCGCTAAGGCATTCTCTAATTTTCCTTTTTTGACGAATAATTATTCTTTTTCATCGACAAAACCAGTCTCCAAGTTTTCCGCTATTATATTGCTCTCAGTAGAGGGGCATCGGATAGATTTTAGCCATGATGCAAACGTTCCGGAAAACGAACTTCCGTTCTAGATACTATTAAATAAAAAAAAATCATCAGAATCGGCATATCTAAAGACATGCAACAGGGGACGTCCTCTATTTACCGTTATTTTCTCGTAAAGGTACCTAACTCTAAGTTTAAATGCTCGTGACAACAAACCTCAGGAGGAACCAAATCATGACAAGCCTGAGCAAAGTAAGTCAGTAGTTTGGTCACTTCTGTTGAATTACAAAATAAACGAGTATTTATGTAGACCTACATATCATGAAAACAAAATGACAGCATAATTGAAAGAATACCGAATACAACTTATAAGGTATATCTTTAGTCATGGGGGGAATTGGACACTAAAGGCATATCCAAAGGGACTCATTAGGACGAGAGGACACAAAATCTTGTTCTGGGTGGTTGGCCATTTCATCAGCGCACAGTTAACATGAAGATGGCGTAACTGCAACAGCAAACAGGTGAGGCGGGAGGGGAACATTTCAGGGACTTGTGTAGCACCGAGGTCTCCAAAACCTGACTATCCCATGGTACGGTAAAGGGGAGTTGCAATACTTTTAGTCGCTTTATGCGACAAAAACCGAAAAGAGGACATTTTTTCCTTATTTTTAGCTCTATTTAAATTCAAAGATAAAATCCCTAAATATTAATCGAAGACAATAACAAAGTTTTCACCAAGTTACCTCTCTGATGTGGCTGCAAATATCGTTGGACGAAAGGATAAAAATTGAACAGAAAAAGCTGACAGAAAACAAGAGTGAAAATGACAATTAATTAACCAAAAACGCAATGACAGAAAAGAAAAATATTAACTATGGGATACTCTTTAATATTACACCAAATTCTGCTGGATAAAAATGTAAGCAAAGTACGATAAACGTTAAAGAAAAGGGATTTTTTTTAAATCTTAAGAGTAAAAGGACAAACATTTCGCAAGGGGTTCGATTTAGTGTCTGGGCAACCATATCCAAGGTAATCACAAAGACGAACGAGAGCGGAGGAAGCTATCACAGGAGCCAAGAACTCAAAGCAACAGGCGCGGTAGTACTAGTTTTGCGTCTGATTCGTTGAGAAGTTGGTGCGAATTTTCTAGAACAATCAGAGGGCGATGAAAAGAAAAAACAATCCATCTGATTGGTTGAGAGAGCTGCACGGATTTTCCAGACCAATCACAGAGCGATAAAAAGCAAAACTACTGCGATCCATTTTGCTTTTGCGATCCAAATCGCTTTTGACACTCAAATGCTTTATGATGTAAATTGTTCAGTTTGGTTTAAGTCCTGTAGACAACATGTCCGACTCACCTGGTGAATCCCAACAAGTCTTGATATCAAGTCCATCATCATCAGTTTCACTTCAAATCTTTCCGTTGATGATTCAAGCTGCTTAAACAGCCTTTCGCTGAAACCTGTGGGTTATATAACATGTTCATCAAGCTTTGTTTGACACAAATTCCATTTAGCAATTCAATGGCAAACCCGGAAGAGACCTTTATCCACAAGGATGGCCAAACACCCTTTCCATTATTATTTCATTTCGTTTATTTATTTTTCATTTATTTATTTTTTTAACTTCCGGTGGTTAAATCAAGCCAAAACAGATGTCAAGACCAATAATCCTTTACACCCTTAACATCAGTATGCATATTCTCCATTCTGTTCTCAATACATTTCCTAAGGTGCTGACAAGGAGAACTTGCTTAACAATCGAGAGCTTCTTTCGTTGGTAATTATTTCCTTTGTTCTGGTGACCTTCATGTGTGATTTGGGGGTGAAATTGTGAGGAGAAATTAGATGCTAATCACTCTTAGGGTTAAAGGGTTAACAGCCGGTTCACGGCCATCTACAGCCGCATGTAAGACTTCCCTCCGCCTTCTGTTTAGCTCGCGAGCAAGGTCTCGTGTTTGCGTTTCGCCTTGCAGTCCCTTTCCGGGCACTGTCGCCTACCGCGCTATCGGCAGCCACTAGAAAAGTTATTGAACCCTGGCTCAGTTATATTTCCTAACTGATCACTTTACACTGAGGGTAAAAGATTTGCAGTAGCTTTGCGAAAAGTGTTAACATTGTTAAATACATTTTCATTTGCGTGGTTGTATGTCTTACCCTGGGGGTCATTAATGAGATGAAGAGCTGAAAAGTTTACCGCTGATGGATTTTTGTGTTTCTTCTTTTGTTTCTGAAAAACAGATTTTAGAGTAACGTTATTCTGAAATAAATTGACATCCTTGATTGTACATGACTGAGCTCGATCTACGCCATTTTTTCGGGTCCAGTTTTCGATCCTTCCCAGCAGAGGTGCCGGTAGGAACAAAGGCTCGTCGTTTGCAGTCAATAGTAATTTTTAAAGGCAAAAAAATCGTCAGCAGTTAAGTTTTGTAAGATTGCGTAAATACGTATAAACAGAAATGTAGGTCACTACCTTTATCGTTGCCATTGCTTTTTCAATTTTATGTTTCTTTTTCAACGTTTTCTTGTTCACCCCACCAGCATGGAGCATCCTTCGAACAGCAGACTGGTCCAACTGGTGAAATTTTATCAAAATGAATTTCTACAGTATATGTAAATTATCGTTACAATTCCAAGACTGGCAATGGGAATGTAGTACATGTACCTTAGCGATTAGAATTTCTGCCTTTAAGAACGAGGATTTTTTAAATTTTTTTTTTTTTTTGAGGGGGGAGGGCATCACATGGTCATCAAGAGGAACGGGGGGGAAAATCAGTCGTCGCCAACAGAGAATAAAGGGGAGGGAACTAAAGAAAACTGACTGCAAATTAACTGCCAATGAGGAGGGGTGTCATAGGAATGTAACAGAGCGCACACCCCACCTCCCCTCCCTCCAGGTGATAAGTAAAGACCACGGCCGGGTTGTTCAAAGCTGGGTTAGGATAACCCAAGGTTAGTGTGAAGATTTCAGATCTGAGAGCTTTAAAAGAAAATTCCGTAGAATTATTTTTGTCTATAATATGACTCTTTGATGCTCTAAAAAGAACACAGGACATTATCCCAAAAGGCTTTAGAATAAGGGAACAAAGAAACCCAGATTAAAATTTAACCATGGGTTAGTGTTAATCGGCCTTCAAACAACTGGGCCCAGTACTTCAACCCTTTAATTCCCAGAAGTGATTAGCATGTAAGTTCTCCCTATAATATCTATACATTAACCTGCACACAGGTAGTAAGAATACTCAAACTAATCAGGTGGAAGTTGTTATCTTGATCCAACACCAAATTCTCGTAACTAATTTACAAGAAGATGTGTTACAGCTGGAGGGGAGAATTAAAAATCAGATCTGGGGACTTACAGGGTTAATAGAAAGTACTGTTACCTCTTGGTCACTGTCACTGTCATCCTTCTCTTTATTTTCTTCATCTTTGCCGAGAAAAAATGTCAGAGCTGCAACCACAATCTAAAGGCACCAAAATAAAAAAATAAATCACAAATCTGACTAATTTACCAGCGCAAGAATTTGCACCGAGCAAGATATACAGAGGGAATTCCAATTGAGTGTCACAAGTAATCCACAGTTGCATTGTTATACCTTTTCTTTATTCTGGAATTAGTACAATACTCTTCTCCAAAAAGTATTCTTCAGCATCTCCTTTGAGGAATATCAGTCCAAATCACCGTTTGAGAAATACGATTCACTCTTTACACCATAGCATCAAAGTACATGTTCTCCCTACTGTTCCTTATAAATTTCCTAAGGTGCTGACACGGAGAATTTGTTTAACAATCAAGAGCTTCTTTATTTGGTGATCATTTCCTTTATTATTGTGATCTGAATGCTTGATTCAAGGGTGATATTGTGACGAGAAATTAGATGCAAGTCTCTCTTAGGGGGTCAAAGAGTTGAGTGCTTAAAGCTTAAAATTGATGCTTTTTCAATACTAAACACTTCTAAAGGCTTTTATTTGATTCATATAAAGTAACTACCTTTGTAACAGTTGAAAAGCAAGCTGTTGTAATGACATTGACTGTTTTTGCATCATTCCAAACATTCTTTCTGTAAAGTTCCACCATCACATCCAACGATTTCTTTGCAGCTAAAACATTACTGTCTCGCAGCATTGTGTACATGAAGTTTTGTAGAGTCTGAAGTAAAATGAAAGGTGAAAGTCATTACATATGACTGATTAATCAATAAATCAAACCACTAATCAATTGATCAGTTGTTAGGTCAATCAGTTTGTCAATGAATAAATTAATTTACAAGTCCTTTCCAATCAATTACTTGGGTGAAATCAGTCAGCCCACAAGTCACAAGTGGAAGAGGCTTTGGGCCTTGGACTTTGTGTCAAGAGATCTGGGTTCAATTCCTGGCCTGGTCATTGTAAGCTGTTCTTGGGCATGGTACCTCTCTCCACCCAGGAGTAGAAATGGGCACTGAAAAACTGAAAGGGAAGCCTGATGAAATGCTAGGGGGTAACCATGTGATGGAGTAACATCCCATCCAGGGGAGAGTGGTAACAGTCCTAGTCACTTCATGCTATAGAAACTGGGTTTAAGCCCCAGCTGGATGGGCCACTTGTCTCATAGACTTTACCTATAATAGCCATAGAATCAATAACCAAGCCTATCTGAGTCAGTCAGGTGGTCATTCAGTCAAAGAGTCAATCAGCACATCAAACTGTCAGTCATTTTGTCAATCCTTTACTCAGTTAGTCAGTCAGTCAATACAAACGTAAGTGAGCAGTCAGTCAGTTGGGTAGTTACTCACTCAGTATATCTAACCAATCCTTTGGATAGTCAGGATAAATAAGTATTAACAACTGAGTTGATAACATAAATTGGCCACCGTAAAGAGTTTTAAAGGTGACATTTTGAGCATTAAACCTTCGTCATTCACTCTCACAAAGGGCTAACACTAAAAATGTCAGTTTTCAAACTCTTTACAGTGGCCACTTCACATTTTCAACTGAGTTGATAATTCTTAATTACCCAGTTATACTCTCCCACCCCCTTTACTTATTGGATAGTCAGCTGGTCAGTCAGTCTGTCACCCAGTCAGTTAGTGAGCTAGTCAGTCAGTCAGTCAGCCAATCAGTCAGTCAGCCAGTCCGTCAGTCCATCAGTCAGTCAGTCTGTTGGTCAGTCAGTCCATTGGTCAGTCAGTCAGTCACTCCATTGGTCAGTCAGTCAGTCAGTCAGTCTGTCAGTTAATCTGTCAGTCAGTCAGTCAGTCAGTCAGCCAATCAGTCAGTCTGTCATTCAGTCCATCAGTCAGTCATTCAGTAAGTCAGTCAGTCCATCTGTCAGTTCATCAATCAGTCAGCCAATCAGTCAGTCAGTCGGTCATTCAGTCAGTATGTCAGTCAGTCAGTCAGTCAGTATGTCAGTCAGTCAGTCAGTCAGTCAGTCAGTCCATTAGCTAGTCAGTCTATCAGTCATTACTGGTAGTAAGTCAGACTAAATGTCATTCAGTGCAAAGTCAAAATGTTCTAAAGGTTATTTCATGAATCTGCCCAATACCATGACAAAAGGATAATAATCATGGATCTGTTACTGGTAATATTGTTACTATGATTATCATCGTTATTGATTTTTGCAGTTCCAAAAAAAGACCATGATTCTAAGTTTCACCTACATTTCTAACTAATGTACAGCAATTTATTACTCACATTATTAACTTTATTATTCTTGTGTTTGGCATTTATATTCTTGATGTCTGAGACAATGTGACTGTACAACACCTGCCTCAGTAATTTATCTTTACATCTGAACAATGCAAAAAAGAGCTCTAGGAGACTGAGGAATAGGAACAAAAAATATCTATGATTAGCTCTCTTAACCCTTTCCCCCAAGAGTGACGATAATATTACTACTTCTTCTTACAACATCACCCCAAAATCACACACTAACATCACAAGAATAAATGAAATGATCAGCAACTAAAGAGGCTCTTGATATTAAACAAATTCTCCAAGTTAGCACCTTAGGAAATGTATTAAGAGCAGTATGGAGAATATGCACACTGATCTTATCGTGTTGAGGGTTAGAGTGCAGCCTCAATTCCAGTGCCAGTTAGTTTACACAGTTGAATAAATTCCTCTTCATCAAAATGTAGTCAATTGTAATGGTCAAAATAATTTCAACAGATGGCATGTATAGGAATAGTCAGTGTGGTTTCTACTATGATCATGCATACAGTACAACTCAAATGTGAGATTTCCATCCTTAGAACTCAAGCATTCATTCAGAAGTCCAGAGAAACAAGAATAAAGTTTGGAAGCTCAAATTTCAAGGGACTGTCATCTAGAATTGAGTGGTTCTGTATGTAAGATTCAATTCTAGAACTTAGTGTAGGAACAGGAAGCACTAACGAAAAGACTACTGCACAAAAATTGAAATAAATACTAGCAGACCTCCCCAATCACCATGCTGGTCCCTCTTGTAGCTACCTGGTAAAGTGCTCCAAACAGATACTAGGAGAAATTTTGGACTGTGTGATTTGTCTTCTTATTTAATGGGATATGGATAATTATTAAAATTAATACAATTTTGGGGTATATAATGGAATTAAAGTATTAAACAAATTGCCTCTACCTTGTTGGTGACAGTAAGTTCTTGTTTCGAAGGAGAATAAGAGCTCTACAAAGTGTCTGCAAAAAATGTTTCATACATGGAAACACACATTACAAAACAAGCTGGCTAGACATGTTGGTGAGTTTTTGATTGTGAGTTGTCCTTCTTTGTCATCAGAGGTACCAATCAAAATCACCAAAACAACTTTGAGATACTTCTAGAAGTAAACCAGCCTATGCTACTCAGTCCCAAATTATCAGGTATAAATGATGTCTATCATACATCCATGCCAATAAACATTAAAATTACTGTACCATTCTGAGCTCAGCATCCATAACACTGTGATGTCTTTGCAAGACATCAATAAGTTCCTGAGGGAAATTTTTCAGTTCATATGTGTAGCAGTGCGCAACCTAAAAATACAACAAAATATGTTTAAATGCAAGAGTAATACTTCACAAAGTAAATACCAGCTTCTTATTAAATAAATAAATCATGAGGGCTGTACTGGGGAATGTTGGCCTGAGGTTGAGGCAGTACAGACCAAGCCCAGCACGGTCTGTTTAAAGACTTCCAAAATTTAGCACATTCCCCAGTACAGCCCACACAAGCAAGTAAGTAGTTTATTATAGGACCAAACTTAAGGGGTTAAAACTGAGTCCTGCAAACTAACTGTTGGATTACCATATCTCCCACAACAAATATACTTGCCTGCATTCATTATGCATAAACTTTACCTGGCTGAGAAACATAACCAAATCAGCTAAGGTTTTGTTAGCACTGGATGGATCAAGCTTAAAGATCTGAAGATTTGATTCATAGTGCCGGAACTGCTGACCAAACTATGATAAAAACAGTAAAACAAGAACAAACATGTTACTTTAATTCACAATCCAGATAATTCCACCATTATATTACATACACTGGTAAGATTTGCACACAGCTCCATACCTCAATATACATACAGTTCTTAGATAAAGAAAACAATGACCAAAACAATTAGATCAGTATAGGGTTATGAAGAGATCTTTCCCAAACGTGCATGCATGTACAAATCGCATGGACGTCAAGGATCAAAGTGAAATATTTCAAAGGAGCAAGCTTGACAACACCTTAACACAGCCTTTCCAATGAGGGTATTAAGTGTTTTGTATCTGATCCAAAACTTTGTACAAGGATGGATGCATCTGCAGGTCATAGATCTAACCCTTTCATTGCCAAGATCTCTTTACAAATTCTTCCAGCTGTCTATCATACAATTCCTATGCTGTTAGTATGGAGAATTTGGTATTTTAACAACTAACAATCCCCTAATAGTGTAGTTTGATCGTCCGGGTGAGTGTAGTCCTGAGAAGGACTGTTGTCGGTAGTGGTGACTGACGTTTCAACAACCTGAGCAGAAGTCATCATCAGAGTCAAGTGAAAGGTTGTTGTCAGTCGAATGTACTTGATATTTTGATATTTGACTTGATACTTGATATATTGATATTTTTCTTTATCCTCATCACTTGTCGGCATGAATGATATTGGATAGGTATAGTAAGGAGAAATTCTCTCTTGGTCATGAAATTAAATGAACGAAATATAACCAAAGAAAACCTTGATAGACACAGTGTTCCAAGATCACCCTACCAAATTACCAGGATCTCATATTCTGTGACCACTTGGAAAATCACTTGCTGGTTCAAATACCCATGGAATATTTAGATACTCAAGAAAAAAGAATTAATCAACATCCATTTCAAATCCTGGTTCTAAGAACAGCAAAGGAGATAGGGCTCTAACTCAATGCAGATAAAACAGAGTTCATCTGCTTCAATCAAGATGTGTCAGAAGGGATGAAGAGTCTCAATGGTGAGAAAAGAAAGCAAGTGGAAGATTTTAAATACCTAGGAAACTACATTGCCTCTACCGAACATGATGTTAAAATCAGACTAGGAAAGGCGTGGGATGCTCTAGATGAACTGGACAAGATATGGAAATCAAACCTTCCAGACAACCTGAAAAGCAACTTCTTTCCAGCAGCAGTGGATACCGTCCTTTTATATGGTTCAGTCTCCTGGACCTTAACAACACATCTGGAAAAGAAAATCGACGGAGCATACACCAGAATGCTACGCACTGCCTTAAACAGATCGTGTAAGGACCACAAACGAAGAGCTCTACGGCCACATCCCGCCAATCAGTAAATCGCTACAGCAACAAAGGATGAGATTCCCAGGGATGTATTACTCTGGAAGCCAACACATGGACATCAGCCGAGAGGACGCCCAAAAAAGACCTACATTGACCAATTGATGGATGACTCAGGATGCAGACTTGAAGAACTACCAATTGCAATGGAAGACAGAGAAAGATGGAGGGAGCGTGTCATGGAATACCGAGCAAGCTCGACCTGATGATGATGATGATGACGATGAATACAGAACACGTGTATGTTCCGAGAGCTCGGAATGCTGCCATATACACGCGCCCGATCACACACTTACCTCTTCCTTATACGAATCAGGATCCCTCTTCACCAAATTCTGCAACTGAGGTAAGTTATTTGGTAACTTGTTTCTGTTTCTGTCGCTCATATCGACTTTCTCAACAAATAAATAACTAAAATAAAATGATCGTGATCATCCGCCATGTTATAGCCTCGTTGTGAGGTATTTATGAAGATGACTGCTGTACAACAAAACCTGCAGGCGTGACATGGCGGAATTTTTACTCAGCGGTGAATTGCAATAGTCAAGTTCGCTTTGATCTAAGCATAAAGCAACGAACAAGGCTTAAAAAGAACATGAAAAGACTTTAATCGCTGCTTAACCTAACTTAAATAACATGGACAACTGAAGATATCTATACTGCCAATTACATAAATTACGTAATGAAAGGTGATCACCCCAAATTCTTGGCAAGTTAACAGTGCATTACACTAAGTTCGGGTCCTATTTCCAATCAACACCACACTCGGGGCATACCAAGACACTGTAAATCGGTTGTCAGTCAGTCCATTCCCTAAGAAAACCGATAGTTCATAGACCGCAGACGGAGAATCACCCATTTAGTTCCGATCGCGTAGTGACCAGGCGTCTCGGCGAGCGCACAACATCAACCGAGTCAGTAGCTTTGTCAGTGGTTTACTACGTCAAACTCTATTTGTGATACAGGGAGATATTCTCCCCTTTCCTCAGCTACAACCCTCCCTACCCTCAGCCCTGCTCTCTTGACTTCGTAAACAATGGATGCGGAATAGATAGTTTCCAACACTGAACATTTAGAAACTCTATAATAAGTTCTGAGGAAGTGACTGTCTCAATGATCAGATCCCACGCGTCGCGTGTAAGTACAAAAAAGATATCAAAGAGGGAAGGAAAAACCTTGTAGTTCAATAGACATTCACGAGACTTGAGAAATTTTCAACACTCTCTACCACATCAGAACCCCGAAACCCAATCGCACCAATTTTACCCCGGCACTTCACACCTTTTTTTCTCACACTTTTAGAGGATTATCGTAGCACAGCGGTCAGCCGGCAGCACGAGCTGAACAACAGCTGGTTACATTTGCCGACCTTTCTTTATACACGAAAACAAATTAACGCAAGTTAGACGAAAATTTGAGTTTGTTTAATTTGGACAGATACATTAGTCTACATGAATCATTCCCAAACGAAAACTAGAAATACAATAAAAATTAAATAACTGCATGCTAATTATTTATCATTAGAACTTAGGAAGTCCCAAAATAAAAGGCAGAGACACTACCTCCATTACCAAAAAAAATCGTTTGAAAACCTAATATCTATATAATAGAAATGAACTCATGTAAGGGAATGTGTGAAATAGCTTCTAGTTGACCCGTTTGTAACTTTCTCCAGGGATACGCATGAACCATGTTTTTACCATTGCTTTGTTAAAGAAAATGTGGAGAGTATTCTTATGTCTACGTTACCCAAATTACCATTAAAACTTGCAGAATTTACGAAAAGATAAACACACACAGTTCTCTGTATAGCTATGCTCGTTCGACACTCAGTTCTAAGCCATTAGTGGTTGTAACCCATGCCTAATTACAAGGAACTGGTTGGATATTCTGCTGGAGTTAATTATCATTCCATGCCCGTGCTGATTTGTGCCCGCCTTAAATGTAATATATCGAACAGCGCTCCACGAAGCTTTTTCATTCGCCAGCAGTAAATCAGTGGATTAAAGATTGAGCAGACGTGAACAGACGTATAACACCATGCGAGCAATATGTACAACACATGTGGCTCCACCAAATCATCTGAGAAAGTTGCACTTCCAAAAAGTACGGTTACGGGCAGGTAGGAGAAGAACAACGCCGTCAAGATGATTGTCAGGGTTTTAGCTGCCTTGTAGTTCTTTTTAAGGCGCTTGGCTTCTTCGTCAGGTAACTGCTCAGTTTGCAGACGGCGTTTGTGCTTTTTGGCTTCCAAGAAGACGGCTGTATGGCTGAAGGCAATGGTAACAATGTAAACAACAATAACGACTAGGAACATTACTGCGTATGCGACCAGCAGTATTGAATATAAATCTGATTCAGCGTTTATGGACGCAAGAAGGATCATTGCAATTATGCCAACTGCTGAAACTAACCAGACCGTCACCACGCAAGCAAGAAGTCTCTTCTCTGTTACAATGTCGTCATATCTGAGGGGGAACTTTATGGAAATGTAGCGTTCAACACTGATCAACATAAGATGGCCAACTGACGCCAGGCATACTCCAATGCCGACCATCCCCAGTACTGTATCGAACATACAAAACGGCCCAAGACCAAAGATACGCTTAAAATCTGCCGCCACGGACAAGGGCTGCACGAGCAAACCAACCAGAAAGTCTGTCACGGCCAAACACGCCAGGAGGATGTTGTACACAGTTCTCAACTGTTGTTTGGTCACTACCACTATAACAACCAGCGCATTTAACACCATGCATATGACAGCTGAGGTAATGTTGACGCAGATAACAGCAACAAGATTATTATAAGCAGTTTCTTGTAAGTATCTTGGCTGCCAAGCTGAGAAAGCAAGATGTGGGCAAACGTCTGATGACTTGTTGGTCATAAGAGAAGCTTTTCTAATCGTGTTCTACAGGGTTATTTATGAAGTGACTGGTCACAGCGAGGTTTTGGGAGTCCTTTTCATTTAATGAAGGCCAGTTCACTTTTGTTTTTCTCCAGGAAGTACAACGTACTTGACGTTGAGTACATGGTCGCTTACTGGTACATTTTATGTCACTTCTTAAGACTTTTAAAGATGAATTTAAAAACTCAGACTCTCTTATTTTCCTTTTGTTTGCTGTTAACCGTTTTTGGGAAACATTTGTAAAACTAAAGATGAATTCAAAATCGATTCTTCTTTTGTAAGCACCTGACAGGTGCTATTGCACTCTTTTCACTTTTGCACGCGCACAGAGTAAAACCCGCCGGCCTATTCCTTTAAACAAGAGCACCTAATTCTGCCTCATACTTTTTTGTAATGAAATTGTAATAAGCTTAATACACGAGTTACTACATTGAAGGCGAGGCAAGGCACCGATCAAGACCCTTTTATTGTCGCCTTCAATTTGACAAACTTTCTTTTTAACAATATTTCTATCTTTATCTAATGAGTCGACCTAAATGGCTCGGACCACCTGTATATTTTTCTCATTTTCGAGGTGTCTGTTGTTAATTGTTGTTGAATCAGTTTGGGAAAATATAGATTACTTTTGAGATAAATATAAATTCAATGTCCGGCAATTTACCCCCTTTTGGAAGTCACAAGCGTGTTTTTCTTGCACACGTATGCTGTAAAAACAATATTTCATCTAAAAAATCTTTGCATCAAACCACCTCTGTATATATCTTTTCATTCGTTGTCAACTACCCTTACATAGCGATCTGCAGCTGCGGTAGTTGTTATACTGTAACATTGTTTATGTGGGGCCTGATAAAGCGATTTCCAAGGAAGTGTCGAAAGTAATTAGGATTACTTTGGTTCTTACTTCGTTTTGATATTCAAATTAGTGGTTAGAAGGTACGAGGAGATAGGGTAATTTTCCAGACCGGAAAATGAGCATCAAATACCCTTTAATTAGAGGAGGATAGCATCGAACTTCAATTAACATGGCAAACTTCATACGCACAAACTCTGACAAACGAGATTAAGATAAGTAATCTAATGATATCAGTAGCGGACGTTTCGGCAGATTCACTAAGATAACAATATTGCAAAACACTTATTATGGTACAAAATACCAGAGAGCGATGGAGAATGAATTAATTTTTATCTTAATACTAAACTTCACCTTCCCAACCTGATTAAACAACAGTCAAGTATATTTAACTAGTAATTACAAATAATATTGTTCATATGAGCCCTTATTTGCACAATGAATTCCATTCAATTTTCATTCTTCCTTTTCTCCACATATAGGTAGACATTTTTTTAGAATATATAATTTACAAGGATCATTTTAGGATCGGGTTGCTTGAGATGTTTTTTTCTTTTAATTTGATTCATATTTAGATCTGTATCTTGTACACTGCACTGCACTGCACTGCACTAGTTCACTACACTAGCCTACTAGTAGCACTATCATACTATCACCTTTACCAAATGGTGTTCCATCTATCCCCATAGCAACCCAGAATAGTCCCTCGTCATCATTGAACCAATCAAGTGTGAGAATTTGTTTTTGAAGATCCATAGACAGACTTGTTAGCTTAAGGAGATATAGTTTAAGTGGTCTGTAAACACAAAGAATACATTCCGTAGATAACTCTTAGTACGCCAGTAATAGCTCTCTCCTCTGTTGCGATGTCGTCATATCTGAGGGGAAGCTTTATGAAACTTAGCGCTCAACACTGATCAACAAGATGGCCAACTGACGCCAGACAAACTACAATGCCGGCCATCTTCAGCACTGTATCGAACATACAAAACAGCCCGAGACCAAGGACGGGCTTAATTTCTGCTGCCACGAACAAAGGTTGCACGATCGCGCCAATCAGAAAACCTGTTGCTGCCAAAGACGCTATGGATGGTGTGAGGAGTTCTCTGCTGCTGTTTTGTCGCTAGGACGATGATAACCAGCGCATTTAATAGCATGGCAATGATGGCTCCAGAAGCTTTTTAGCCGCCGTTTAAAAAGAAGTACGAACATCTTTTTGTTTTCACGTCTTTGAATCGAATCGTTCGACAAGCATTGAAACGTGTGATACTAGTTTAAAAAGATTTAATTTTGAAATCCAATAAACGGCAGACAGGTTAATCAATTAATTTGTGAAATTATTTTTAGAGGACACGTTTCTTCAAAGAACTAACTTTCAATCCAAAACAAAATTCATCCAAATAAACACACTGATATTCATATGCAAGTGCTTTGAATTACCATAATGTTGATTTAGCCATAGAAAAATGCATGGGTTGTGAGTTATCTTTCATTCTCCTTTATGGCACGAGTTGAAAATTGATTGGAAACAACTCAGTGAACATAACAAGTACCAATATTCCTTTCTGTATCTTTCTGTAATAAGAGGAATAACAGCTGCAACCTTTTTCCCGTTCTCATTCCCGCACAATTATAAAAACAAATTAATTACAGAAATTTGATCAATATATTGATTTTCTCACATAATTTTAATGGCGAAACCGAACGTCAAAACACATTTGAATCGCCATAGTACACCTGTCCTAGAGACCGAATTGGAATTTCTGTCATATGTATTTCGCCAAGAAAACTATTTTCCAGAAAGTGGCGTTCATAACGAACGGTAGATTTTGCTTGCTAATTAAACCGGCTTGTCTTAACTGGATCCAAAGTGTTTGGGTATATATTTAGTTTTCACAATTATATTCATAGCTAGGTGAAAAAAGAGATTTATTTACCACGTCTGCAATTGACCATCAGATTCCTCTTCATTAGAGGAGAATACGCACAAACCAGGTAAAACGAGACTTTTATGAATAATCTATTGATATCAGTGGCGGACGTTTCGGCAGATTCACCATGATAGCAATATTGCAAAACACGTATTACGATACAACAAAACCACAGAGTTTTAGTCAGTGAACCAGCTCATACTACTACCAAAGTTCAAAATGTTTTCGTTAAGAGTAGTTAAAAGTTTTCTAGGTGAAACTTTGTTTTTACAGCATATGTGTGCAAGAAAAACACGCTTGTGACTTCAAAAGGGGGTAAATTGGACATTGAATTTATAATTATCTCGAAACTAATCTGTATTTTCCCAAACTAATTCAACAACAGTCAACAACAGACACCTCGAAAATTAGAAAAATACGCAGGTGGTGCAAGCCATTCGGGTCGACTCATTAGATAAAGATAGAAATACTGTAAAAAAAAGTTTGCCAAATAGAAGGCGACAATAAAAGGGTCTTGATCGGTGCCTTGCCCCACCTTAAATGTGATGGCTTGCTCGTATATCAATGCTTATTACAATTTCATCAAAAAAAAAACTTTAAGGTAGAGTCAGATGCTCTGGTTGAAAGGAATAAGCCGGCGGGTTTTTTACTCTGTGCGCGTGCAAAAGTGAAAAGAGTGCAATAGCACCTGTGAGGTGCTTGCAAAAGAAGAATCGATTTTGATTTCTTTAGTTTTACAAATGTTTCCCAAAAACTATTAACAGCAAACAAAAGGAAAATAAGAGTCTGAGTTTTTAATTCATCTTTAAAAGTCTTAAAAAGTGACATTACATGCACCAATAAGCGGCTATGTACTCAACGTCAGTACGTTATACTTCCTGGAGAAAGACAAAAGTGAACTGGTCCTAATTAAATAAAAGGACTCCCAAAACTTGTGGCCAGTCACTTCATAAATAACCATATAGAACGCGACTAGCAAAGCTCCTCTGATGGCCAAAAAGTCATCAGACGTTTGCCCACATCTTACTTTCTCGGCTTGGCGGCCAAGATACTTACAAGAAACTGTTTATAATAATCTTGTTGCTGTTATCTGCGTCAACATTACCTCAGCCGTCATCTGCATTGTGTTAAATGCTCTGGTTGTTTTAGTGGTAGTGACCAAACAACAGTTGAGAACTGTGTACAACATCCTCCTGGCGTGTTTGGCCGTGACGGACGTTCTAGTTGGCTTGCTCTTGCAGCCCTTGACCGTGGCGGCAGAAATTAAGCACATCTTTGGTCTTGGGCCGTTTTGTATGTTCGATACAGTACTGGGGGTGGTCGGCATTGGATTGTGCCTGGCGTCAGTTGGCCATCTTATGTTGATCAGTGTTGAACGCTATATTTCCATAAAGTTCCCCCTCAGATATGACGACATCGTAACAGAGAAGAGACTTCTTACTGGCGTGGTGACGGTCTGGTTAGTTTCAGCTGTTGGCATAATTGCAATGATCTTTCTTGCGTCCATAAACACTGAATCAGATTTATATTCAATACTGCTGGTCGCAAACGATTTAATGTTCATAGTCGTTATTGTTGTTTACATTGTTATCATTGTCTTCACCCATACAGCTGTCTTCTTGGAAGCCAAAAACCATAAACGTCGTCTGCAAACCGAGCAGTTACCTGACGAAGAAGCCAAGCGCCTTAAAAAGAACCACAAGGCAGCTAAGACCCTAACAATCATCTTAACGGCGCTGTTCTTCTCCTACCTGCCCGTAACCGTACTTTTTGGAAGTGCAACTTTCTTAGATGGTTTGGTGGAGCCGCATATGTTGTACGTATTGTCAACATGGTCCTACACATTTGCTTTCTTGTGCTCTCTCCTCAATCCACTGATTTACTGCTGGCGACTGGAAAAGCTTCGTGGAGCGTTGTTTGACATACTGCATTTAAGGCGGGCACAAGACAGCTTGGACGTGGAATTGCAAACGCAGCGAAATAATCATCGACCCCATCCCAGTGATGCTTGGCCGGTAGCTCCCACCGGCTAAGGTGGGAGAAAAACTTTCAACCTGATCGATATTATACCATAATTGGATGAGGTGTTTGTGATATCCAGAATAATCAAGGTCGAGGTAGGGGTTATCAGCCGAAGCCGAACGAAATAAAAATTGTCACGACAGTAAGTGAGGCTGATAATTTGTTTCCAAATGTGTAAAAATATACACATCAGCAAGCAACACAAAGTAGGCCAACTTGACATAACTACCCTTACAAAATCATGCACTGCGGTCGTACACGACATGATTACCCGTAACCTTGAGTGTCCTTGACATGATTATTGTATAATCTGCAGCTAGATGACGCCCCATGCGCTGATTTCGAAATTCACTGTACGCTTTCGGCCAATCAAAAAAGAGATCGTGAGTTGAATATATAATACAAATAAGGTACTCAGAGGCATCAAAAATATATCCATGACTAACATGATGAGGATGAAACGCTTCTCTAGGAGTAGAAAACTGATCTTTGAGGTCTAGATTTGTCCATGCTGTTTTGGGGCTCGACTTCTAAAAAGAAATAAAATCATAGTAGAGGTCATAATCCATCTCCTGTGATCAGGGCCCAGTTGTATAAAGGTCAGATAACGCTATGTATCCAATGGATACATCACTATCCAGCGGGTAAGTGATGGCAAAACGTATAGCGTTATCCATCGTATAGAGATTTATCCAGTGGATTGCGTTGTCCAACCTTCGAACAATCGGGGCCAGGTGTTTTGTTCATCTTTGCCTGGTTTGGAAATTTTAACCACAGTTCGACCTCAACAAAATATTAACAATACTAATGAGCCTGCAGAGGTTTTTGGTTAGAAATATTGCTACGGTTCATACTATGACGTGTGTCTGTACAAAAGATTTACTTATTGCGGAAAATTATGCATATGTGGTAATTTTATCAAATCAGAGCAAAAGAAACGAGCTCAATGCATTTATTTTCGCTTGGCTTCCCTTCTATCTTAAACCGTTCAAAGATTTCGTTTGAAGAATCTGTATCGATCTAAGTCGGTGACTTTGGGGAGAAGGTTTGAAACTGAAAGCATTAATTCCGATTTTTCCCAAAATAACTTTCATTTTAGATGATACACACTCATAACGATAATTCTGTTAACTTTTTATCGCCTGGAAGCGGAGGGAGGGAGGGAGGTGAGGATTTTGGGGGATCACTTAGTTGTCAGGGGAACGTGGGGGAGGGGGGGGGATCAGTCAATAAGAGAGCTGTGGTCCTCTATTGTTTATGTTACATGCAGAGAAGGAATATAGGTCAGCCTTTGCCTTTGGTCGCCATTTTTTTTGTTAGAGTGTTATGCGAAGGTCAGCGTGTTTTCGCGGGAAATTAAAGAACTCCCCACATATCTCAGCTCTAAAAATAAAAAGATACGGGACAGGGTTGACTCAAGGTTTCAATTGGTATGCAGGCTCCGGGTAATGGGCTCCTGGTTGAAATTTTAGTCTAACCAGCAGAACGTGTCTAGTTGTCAGCTTGGAGTCACAAAGCTGCGATTGCTCGCTGACAAATAATTCCAAACAATAATAGTCATGTTTCTCTAAAATAAATTTGCCGTGATATGATTTAAAGCTGATTTAATTGTTTTCGCCTGGTCTAGTTCTTTTCCTTTCCTTTTTTTTTGTCTTTTTTTATCGCTTGGGGAGGTTGGAGGAATTTGATTGTGACAGGACGAATGCACGTGATCTCCCATGAGGCTCTGTAACATTTTTACGATCCCCCCCTCATTAGCAGTTAATTTTCTATAGCTCCCCCCTTTATACTCTGTTAGCGACGCTTGACCCCCCCCCTTACGTTCCCCCTAAAAATCATGTGATCCCCCTTTAATTCCATCGACCCCGCTCCCCAGGAAAAAAGTGAAGACTGGTCCCTTACCGATACAGGTCAGTTGTGACATGATATGTGGCGTCTCATTTCAAATTTACGGAAAAGAATTGTTCATTTTCTCATTGATTTTCAATGGAACGCTAAAATAGTTTTTAACGTGTAGGTGTTGATTTCCCGTTAATTTCTTTATTTTTTAGCAGAAATTACCAATGGTATAACCAACAGAAGATCTAAATTTGGACAAAAATTTCGGTCGGTGATGCAACATATTTCGTGATTACTCGGCACTGTAATCTGCAAAAAAGATGAAGCTTCGCATAAATGGACGTATTATTCACAAATTTTGCAACAAATGACCATTCTAGTCGTCGTTTGTTCCTATCTCCACATAGTCACTTTTCTTCCTGTCTGTAAGTTCCTTAACTTAAACGTGATGAATTTCAAGAGAAAAAGTTTTAAATTCTTCGCAAAAGGATGCAGGGAAGAGCGCTAAGCACAGACAGGCAACCCACTCTCCGATAGTGCTAAACAAGTGCAGGGCATAACCACCGTCACCAGGGCTCCAGAAAGCTTCGGAGCTACCTGTTTGTAACTTTGTGCACGAGAACCACTTGAAGAAAGGATATCCTATGCCAGTACATGTCATAGTACAAGACACGACGAGCCTGAAAATGAACACCCATTTTGAATGGAGGCCCATTTTAGCCGTGAAGAAGGTAATAGCGGTTTGGAGCCAAAGGTATGGTATTGCGCTGACAAGAAGTAACGCGGTAGCAGCGTCATGAAGTTTTCCAAGAGGGGGTCCGGACTCTCTCCTACCAGCGACAAAGATAACCTGCACAGAAAGAAAAAGGATATATGAGGATCTGGACCCCAGGTTGGCCAGGTAGCCCGCCTAGCTGTAATCGAAAAATAGCCCACATTTACATACATCTTACAACCCCAGGCGGCGTTCTCACAAGTGTAACATGAACGCAACCCCGACTAGGCGGGTTACCCAACCTTGAGACGTTTACTTGGCAAATTGCTTCCCCGGCTGACAGGGTTACCCTACCCGACAGACCGGACAACCCCCCTAAGTGGGTTACCTCACCTTTCATGTAGACGTGTTCAAGATAAAACAAGAGATCATATGAACGGGCGGTTACCCCATCAAGGCGGGTTATCTCGCCTACTTGGGGTCCCCCATCTCCATGTTAACAGGCTCTGAGTGACCTCTGCATATTCTGATCTAAAGTGAATTCTTTTAGCAATTTCTGATTAACCCCTAAGCAGAGAATTTCGATCACATGAGAAGCAAGACCACGTGTTTGGTAAAGGATCGCATCTGATAAAGGTCTATCAAGAAAATTTATGCCCTGAGTTTGGATCGAAAAGATTAACAATTCAAAATTCGGACTTAAAGTGTCTATGACACTAGTTTTTTTGTGTGTGTGTAAAAATTTAGCTTATCATATGTAAAAACCAATTCCGATAGAGGAAAGATTTCAAAAAACTGAACACTCGCTCTTTTCGGGCCCAAAAAGCTCTTATTTCGTCTTAAAGGTGTCCCGTGGACTGGTAACGAATTAGCGGGTGATGGCGTCGAAAACTACGAAAACTCTCCGTTGACATTTACAAATCTCTCACATCTCTTGTAATTTTGTATCAGTCGGCGTTGAAATATTCTTGAATAATGTCAGATAGCGATGTATACCTACCTTCGGCAAGCCCTACCGAGAGTTGAGATACATCGTACTCAAGTGGTAAAGAAATGGAAGTTGCGAGCACGATTCAGCCCTACGAAGGAGAACCGTACAAACGAAGATTTCTACGCACACTGACCAAGACGGTTTCTTGTGTGCGGTGTTCAGGTCAAGATTAGAACAAAAATCTCCCGTTACTAAATGTTTAGTTTGTTTCGTTTGTGATTTGTTTCCTATGTCGAAATCTATGTTGAGAATGGGTAGTTTTTTTATACTTGTTCGTTTTTGTTGACGTAATATTTTATTTCTTCCCACTAAGTGCGGCGAAGGTTGCCCTTGGTCACTGCTCTAGAGTTTCGTTGCTGTACAATGATTCCCTTAGCAAACCACAAGCTAACATTTGACGAAACAATCGGCTGCATCACGAGGCACGATGATTTTGTGCCGAGAAGTCATCGGGCAGTTTCGCTCCTGTGATTGAAGGGGCTACTTTAATTTGAAGATTTTACGGCTTGAAAAATGCAAATCATGCTCCTTTCCTCAAAGATTGCAAAGGCGGAGGCTGTCGTCGTCGAGCCGGTCAAACGGAAAATGAGCAAGTTTGTCCGATTCAAGTAAAACTTCAGATAGAGATTTTAATAGAGAGAACTTTTTAAGTGTAACTGCAGCATTGCCATATGACCCCTTTCGCTCAATGGTAAATAACTGACATCAGCATTTTAAATTAATATTTCGTATGCATCGACTTTCAAACGGCCCCTTCAGGCTTGTGTTTATGCCAGTATCCGTCAAAGGTTTCGCACTGTTCACGCAACAGGATATCGGCCAGTTCAGGAAAGGGCTCGAACTTTATCATAAATTATGTATTTCTGGTAACAAAATACGATGGAAACTACAACTAGCAGGATTTTCATACGATAAGAAAAGCGCAAATGTAGTCATGTGGAAAGACAAGGAGGATGAGTACATCTCAAGCGCGTGAAATAAACCTGAATAATAAGGAGCCCACCATTCTTCACTTGCGACATGTCAGCCGAAAATAATGTTGAACAATCGTTTGCGGTGTGGGAACAGGCACCTTAATCAGCATTCTTTTAAGCTGAATTCTTTGGTTATCTTCCCCACAAAAAAATGGTCAAGGAGAACTCGCTAGGCGCATAAATTGATTATTTCTAATGTTGAATACAGCTATCAACCAAAAAATGCAAAAACAAATTTCGTGCCATAGGCACTTTAACGGGGGTATGATGGTAATACAATGATGGAGTTATGATGGTAATACAAACCAAAACGGGCCAGATAACTGGTATGAGACGTATTGAACGCGATGAAACTATCATGGTTGAACTAAGCTTCACTCAACTGTGGCACAGAGAATATTGTTATTGAGC